CTTTCTGCGCTTTTGAAGAAAAAATCTAGAGTTTATTTGAGTCAAAATACCAAGTTGCTAAATTAAACAGCAATATAACAACATTTGCAACCTTAAGAAAATAAAATATATATAAATTCCAGTTTTACCTCTTAAATGGTAAATATTTGGAGGATCTGATACTTTTAAAGATGTTGAATATCAAACCATCATGTGCGCTAATTTTTTCATTTGTAATTTGCCAAGTGCAGTTTAGCATCCGACCAATTGTGTATAACTGTTATCAAATATTAAAACTTTTAAATTTTTATCTTTGCAAAAAGACAAACCATTATACAACCTTCAAGTAACAATAAACATGTTTACACTTAATCATATTCTCGATAAATAAAAAAAAAGGAAGATATGTGGGTAGTTTCACTTTTTTTTAATTAAAAGTATGGATAGTAATAAGTAATTAAAAATACATTTAGTATAACAGCTTTTTTTTTTCTATTTATTCGAGTTTATCTCAGAAATTTTTTTAATATTTTGCTAATTCTTAAAAAAAAATCCCTATTTCTTAGCCATGATCGATTTTTGTTATCTCTTTTAAACAACTGACTAAGGTAGTTTTGTTCAATTTAATAAAAAACTTTTCAACAAGTATTAAGATTTTCTGAAAAAATCCTGATAAATCTGCAATGAAATACAGATATTAGTTTCTTTTGAAATAGAGTCCACTAGTGTATTAACCTGGGATAAGAATTCCAACTAGACAAACTACTATTAATATGAACATTTTTTATTATTTCCGGAAATCTTTAATTAATTTTATAAGAGTAATTCAGACTTAACTTTCGAAGCGCACTTTTATTAAAATTTCAATCAAGCTTCTTTTAGGTCCTTTTGTTTATATTTCCAGTACTTAATTTAACAAAAGTTAGTTTCAAAGTCAAAAGTTTAATAAAAAATCACCAAAGCTGTTCATTACTTGTTCTTTTTTCTCAATTTGACATATAAGTTTTACATTAGTGATTTGAAAATTTAAATTGCTGGTCATTTCATCAAAGAACTGGTTATTCAACACAAGGGTTGTTTAAGGTTGTTTTTTTTAACTTAATTTGCTGAATTTATAAACTAAACTTTGTTTAAAAATAACAAAAACAATCTTTCTAAATGATTTCACATTACTCGATTTTTTATTATTGTATTCTTTACGAACGTTTGATAATTATGCATTTTGAATAACGTTTAAAATATATTTTTCAAAGTTTATTTTATCTATGTTTTCCCGTCACTTCACTAAATTTGAGTGACAAAAATGCTTTATTCTTTAAATATAACATAGAAATTTTTTATTTTAAAGTTATATAATAATATTGAAATGATCCAGACAAATATTGATAATGATAAAAGTTCTCCAAGTAAACAGAATAAAGAGACCACAAAGAGTTTGAATCTACATGCGGTAGTTTATACAGAGAATAAGCTCAAAATTCCTTACCAACGCTAATCATTAGACATTAGACATTATTTTTGGATGATATTTTTCAGCTGTCTTGTTCTTCTTCCTTCCTTTCTTCTTCATATTTAGTCCCTTATTTTACTGTTATAACATTTTAATTTTTTTCCTGATTTAGTTCTATCTTAGGCTGGTTGTTCTCTCGCAAAGTCTTTCCAAGTTATCTGTCAAAACCAAATAGCTTCCAGATATGTCTTCAAGCCCCTTTTTTTGTCTTCTTTTTTTTCAAATTAGCTCTAAGCCTGTTTGATCATCTTGAGGTTATGACAGTAAAATAAGGGACTAAATATGAAGAAGAAAGGAAGGAAGAAGAACAAGACAGCTGAAAAATATCATCCAAAAATAATGTCTAATGTCTAATGTTTAGCGTTGGTAAGGAATTTTGAGCTTATTCTCTGTACTTTGAGTAACACCATTTTTGACATATCTAATCCTTCTGCTGCTGACTAAATAAATTAGTAATGGATGCCTTATTTTTTAAACTTTATGGCGGGAGTATCCCCAAAATCTTTCACAGTGCATGCTTAAGTTTGCTTGAGTTAACATTTTATTTTCAAACTAAAATGACCGGGGTTGTGTCAAAAAGGTTTAGCTGCTTACGAAAATTAAAATGACCAGGGTATAACTATGAGAATATTCACTTATTACTCTTATTATCCGGAATTATTTATTATTTACAAATTATTATGTTCTTGGCTTAAAATGAGAAAGATCTAAGCGATGAACATATCAGTAATTTTCTATTTTCTATTTTTTAATTTTTTTGTCTTCGTTAAGTGAACTTTTGTTTATTTTTGATTGCATTTATTTTTTTCTGATTATTTGCTTTTTACCAACAATCAACCACATGTATACCTTTTAAACCAGATATATTTAAAAATTTTGATATAGTAGAAGTTAAAATGAATTCAGTAATTCAGTAATTCAGTAATTCAGTAATTCAGTAATTCACTAATACAGTACAATGATTCTATAGAATATTATTTTCAGTATGTTAGTCGTCTTTCTAAAATTTTTCATACAATGATACGCATACTAAATCAAATAATCACATATTTGGTTACATGTTAAAATGTTAATCTTATATAAAAACATTTCTTATTGCAGTTTTTCTTTTTTTTTTTTTGCTTTTAAATGATCTAGATTTTTTGATCTTTAAATTTAGAAAATTTCTTGTTTTTTTAGTTATACTTTTTCATAAGAAAAGTTCAGTAAACTTTGAAAAATTTTATTTTATTTGGTCAAACTTGAATGAATAGTAAGATTTAAACACAATTCACCTTGAAAAAATAAACCTTTATTTTATTAATATATATATATAGAAACCAAGTTGTAAAGTATTTCTGAAAAACTTTAGTATGTTTAGTTTATTGAACAATCATAACGATCATCAAAGATTAAGTTTTTTACGATTAATTTTCAATGACATAGTGTTCTCTTAAAACTCGGACTACAAGTTATCCAGTATTATCTGGAAAAATATTTCTATGAAAAGAAGTTAAAAATGGAAGGGATCTTTCGTCAAAAGATAAAGATATCGCATGGCTAAAAAAAAGCAAATAATCGTTGTCTTACGAAAATAAAGCCGAAAAAATAAGCAACGCCAATTTTCAAAAAGTTTTTAAGCTGTGAAGAGTGAACGTGCAAATTTAACTTTTGCATTGTCAATCATAAAGAAAAAAGCTTGTTTGCACTAATAGATAGAACCAATATTTTGTCGACTATGGCCAAATCTTGCTAAGCTTATGTGCAGTGTGTTTAAATCTAGCAACCTCCATCAAATAGATTTTCTTGCCCTTTTGTCTGACGTGGAATTTTTTTTTTAAACTTAAATACTGTTTCTTCATCTACAGACTCTAAAAAGTGAATCACAATTTTAGAACTGGTTTTAAGAAATCATCTGTGAATCATTAAAACTCGATAAAGTTGTTCACTTGGTTGTTAAGTGCTTTATAGTCAAAAAAAAAAAAACTAGTGATCAGTTAACCTGATTAAAAAATAACAACTTTCCCTTTCAAAAATTTGTTATAAAAAAGTTCTACGTTTGTTGGAAAGACATATATGCATCTAATTAAGGTGAAGATTTTTATGGACGGCAAAAGCCTCCAATCCAAACCAGAATCTCATATTTTTTGTCCATAAAATTTAACTAAAGTTGGTTTTGGTACATGTGGCAACATAGAAAAAGTGGATTGTAATAAAAAAAAAACACCAAGAGGAAAAACAACAAGATAAAAACACACAAACTATTTACTCGAATATGAAGTATTTTCCAGGTGGGCCCAAGTTCGGTACAAAAATTTCGTCGGTTAAAGAATAGTATTGATGTTGCGTTATTTTCAAAAACTACAAAATTTCAGCACAAGTTTCTCCACCGTCTTTTTTTAACTTTCTGCTAATCAGTAGAATTATTACAATAAGCTAAAAGCAAAAGCATTTTCAGCTTTTAAAGCAATAGTTGCAAATAAAGATTAAGTTAAATGGGGGTTTCGGCCTATCGAAATATTATCATTCAGAGTTAACGAGTCCTAATCAGAAATCAAACTTATACTAATGACCATTCTACATCATGATTGAAGTCAGTTGAAAAGATTTAATAATTAATTTTTTGTTCCTTTTCTTTTTCTAGTCCAATACTTAATCTTCATTCCAAAACCAAATTCTAGTGGTCAGCACTTCACAAACACCTACAGGAAAATATAAATCAAAAGATGGAGTTCGTGTATTGATACTAACATACACTTGGCCCATTGTTAATCAAAATAACTCTTAAAATCTGAAAGTTAAAAGAAGTTAAAAATAATGGTCTATTTGAAGAATAAATAAAAAAAAAACTTGTTGTGTTTCTTCAAATTTTCTTACAGAGTATTTTAATCGATTAGTCGACGAGATCCTGGAAAATATTCTAACTGTTCAATTTTCAGAAAACATTTAACGTGTGATTTCGGCTATTTTTTAATCTGTTCACGAGAAATAAGGCATTAAACTCTTATTCAAAAAAGATATAGTTGGTTATTGCCAAAGTCTGGTGCATGAATATCAAAAAAGGAAGTCTGAAGAAACAAGGTCTGAATAACAAGTATTGACAAGAATAATTTTTCTGACTTAAAGAAGGAACTTGATAAGAAAAATACGTAAGAAGAACAAAAGAATTTTAAAAGCAAAGACATTTTTTAAACAAACCAACAAAAAACTTACGAAAACTAAATTATAACCGTGGACGCAAGTGAAAAAAGAAACATCGGCGAGACTTTGTTGGACTATCCGCTTTTACAACGTTTTTAAAATTACTCACAAATTGAATTTCCGTATATATATCTTTATAAACTCTGAATTTTTTTTGACTTTTTATTTTTTTAATCATTCACAAAATTTCAAAAAAATATCCAAACCAAAGAATTTTTTTTTGAATTTTTTTTTTTGACTCCATATTCGGCATAGGGAATATCTTATTTTGTATTGTCATAGCTGTCATAATTACATACAATAAGCTGTCACAAAAACAAAAAAAAAAAAAATGGGTGGCGGACAAACACCAATCAGAAATCAGAAATTTAACACTAAAGATGCAACTTACTCAAGTCACAACAGCAACAACATTAATACGGAGTCATTGGAATCGCCCACAATCCAGAATCAAAGTAAGATATCAAATAACAAAGACGAAAGCAATATCAATAAACAGGAAATTTCTTATTTTGACGACAAAAATAGTATTGAAGATGATGAGTCTACGCGTCATCAGCCATTAAATCTATTACCCTTTTTACAATCCCAGCAAGTTAGCCGAAGCAGTAGTGGAAGCAGTACCAAACACCTTCAATCGCCTGTTGAAAGTCGGAATTCAAAGCCTCTTCTTTCAAAATCTATTAATAATGCAGATAAAGATAAAAATATACTAAAAATTAAAAAAGAGGTATCACATGGCTCTGAAGAAGCTTTTCACATCCAAAAATCTATCGAGGCTAAGGATTCAAGACTGCCGCAAGGTGAGCCATATCCATTTACGTCGGAAGAGCTACAGAAACCAAATAATGATCACCAAAACCAAAATATAGTTTCTCCAACCTCTTCAAATTCCTCTTCTTTTTTTTTTTCTTCTTCAGCTTCTAGCCAACAGTCAGAACTAGAAAGGGTAGTCCCTCGGCTTTTTGGAAGTCATATTAATGTACATCAGACAACAGCTAATAGCGGCAATATTTCAAATGGCCCACTTGCTCAAAATAGTCAAGAAAATAAACGTATTTCATCTGGAATAACATCAAGAGAAAAAAGAAGCACATTAGATAGTATTACAGTTTCAGTATCTGATAAAGACTTAGAAAAGCAAATGGAGTCAAATGCAACAATACGGTCTGCATCAGAAATATGTTCTCCGCAACAAGAAAATACTTATCAAAACGAAATTTATAGCCCAAGTCCAAAGATGAATGAGAAAACTCACGAAAAAATTAATGATGGTGAAGGTCGTGGAGAAAGCAACAGTAGTGGCGGGATTAATACAACTACGATGGCTATAGGTGGTCAAGGTTCTCTTTCTAGCGGAGATAGCCATGAAAACAGGAGCACACGCTGGTCTAATAAAGATCTTTTACCTGTTCCCAGCGACAAACGCACTTATACCGCCGTTTCATACATTTGGTTTTGGATGGTTGCTGGCTCTTCAGTCACCACATGGAGTATTGGCGGGTCTCTTTTGGACAGTGGTCTTTCTGCCAAACTTGCCATCACTTGTATTGTTGTTGGCTCTATAATAATTGGGTGTTTGTCATTTTTATGTGGGTGGATTGGGCGCCAGTATCATATTGGCTACACAGTCACTGCCCGGTCAGAATATGGTATCTATGGATCTTTTGTTTTGATAGTCATTCGGCTCTTTGTTTTAATTATGTGGTTTTCCATTCAAGCGTATTGGGGTGGTCAGGCAATGAGAGTTTTGATTGGAGCCATTATTCCTGGATTTGTTAACGGCTCTCTTTCAGGGTTGATTTCAGAATCGTCTCATTTACAAAAGAATGATCTTATAAGCATTTTTATTTTTCTTTTATTCTATGTTTCTCTAGTTGTGTTTGTTCCGCCTGAACGAATGCAATTTCCTTTTGCATTAACCTTTTTGGCCTTTTTGGGAACCATGATTGGGTTGCTGAGTTGGGCTATGGCTGAGACTCATGGTAAAATTGGACCTTTATTTTACAGTACGCGCAACAATTCAAACCTAAGCACTGGATGGATAGTTATGCAAGGGATTACAAGTGTTGTTGGTACTTGGAGTGGTGGTTCACTAAGTCATTCGGACTGGACGCGGTTTGCCAAAAATTCATACTCACCTATTCTCAGTCAGTTTGTTTTTGCACCAATTGTTATTGTCGTTACTTCTTTTATTGGAATTGTAGTGACAAGTGCATCAGGCCTAATTTTCGGCATTTCTCCACAAGCTGCTCATCCATGGAATCCAATAAATCTTTTAGCCCAACTGCAAACATTTTACCATGATAGTAGTCGTGCTCGTGCTGGAGTTTTTTTTGCATCCTTGGGACTTGTTTCTTCTCAGATTTTCATTGCAACGGTTCTCAATAGCATTTCAGCATCCTTAGACATGAGCGCCCTATTACCCAGACATTTGAATATTAAACGTGGGGCGCTTTTAATGGCACCAATAGCTGTGCTTGTACAGCCGTGGCAACTGAGTAACAATTCAGGAATTTTTCTTGTGGTGCTAGGAGGGTTTGGTATCTTTATGGTGAGTGGGATTGGTGTTTCTATTGGCAGTTTTTTTTTCAAACTACGTCGGAATGTTTCTCTTCAAGATCTATTTTGCGGTAATCGTTCAAGCATCTACTGGAATACCGGAGGGTTTTCTATTGTAGGGTTGTCATCTTTTACTTTGGGATTTGTGTTTTTAATTCCTGGATGGGCTTACACCATAAAAAATGCACAGCGCGCACGTTATATTGCAGACGGTAAAACCACGGAGCAAGATGCAGGGCCTGCTTATAACAATGGGTGGATGCGTGTATACAGTCTCTCTTCGCTTTTGGGGGTAGTATTTGCTTGTGTCAGTATTGTTGTTTTGTCGTTGATAAAAAACTACTTCTTTATGAATGGCGTCGGAGGCTTAAAAAGGCTTGGCAAAGAAAGAGACGACTCCAAAAAAAGTGGCATTAATAAAATGACAATTTCCAAAAAGATTGGTTTTATTTTAAATTGTAAATAAATAAATAAAGTCTGTTTAAATTATTCATCCAGCTTCAAGCTGAGGTAATGCAAAAAACACTATACATATAACAATATACTGAAACTAATAACAATTAATATTTAATAATACAGGAGTAAGAATAAGGTTTGAATGAGATAATTCGTTTGTTGATTTCAAAAAAAAATTCTTGGTATCACTTAAATGGAATACCAAATCTTTTATTTGAGTTTCAAGTTACCATTGATGTATTTGTTAAACATGGCAAGCGAATTCTTTGGTTGGTCGTAAGGAACCATATGGCCCGCATTGTAAACTCTCAAGAAGGTAAAGTGCTCGTAGTTAAACTTCTGACCAGCTTCTTTACCATCAACAAGCCAAGGTTCAACCTTAGCGTTAGCCATGCCTGTAGAACCAGACCACTGCAGTTGGCGGACCCAAGCCTGGTTACCAAGCCAATTGCAAATGAAATCCTTGTCACCGGCATAAATAAGGACTGGGACATTCTTAGAGAGCACATCAGTGACAGCAGTGTAATATGGCTTCATCCAATCTCCAGCAGTCAAAAAGTTTCTATTCACATCAAAGTTGCAGCCAGTGTAAGTATCAACCTTAGCACCGACGGCCTGCTTGACGAAATCTTGGTTGAGATACTTGTCAACAAAATCAAGGTCATCATAACACAAACTGCTTTTACCACAAGGAGTGCGAATATCATAAACATTCTTTCCAGTTTGCTGATAGGGTCCAATCATGACATTGTTGCAGTATATCGCGGCAGGAGTGCAAATCCAGGCAGATTGGGAAGAGTAGCAAGCTTGAATAAGGCGATCACATCTAGGCTGAGCATTATACATACCCTGGCATTGATCATCATCAAGGACAGGAGGGGCGCCGCCCTTTCCACAAGCCATAGGGGCATATTGATCATACTGTCTGAGAGGATCAGTAAGACCATTGCCAACAAGAATAGAGGTAAGGTTAAAGTTTCTATCACTATGAGAAAGAATTTCAGAAGCAAAGACGGGAATATAATGACCAGCATAAGATTCACCAGCAATATGGAAGTCAAGAGGAGCGTATTCAGGAAAAGCTTGGAAAAAGAGTTTAAGGAAAGCATAAGTGTCCTTGGAAGCGGCAATCGTGTCAGACACGGTATCGCCTTCAGTGTAAGAGTAACCGGTATTAACAGGCTGGTCAAGGAAAATAACAGTAGCATTGTTATTCCAAGAGTATGGGTTCTTGACTACCTTCAGGTTTTTGTCAATGCGAGCAGGACCAAGCTCAAAAAAAAGACCAGTGAGAGAGGAACAGCCAGGTCCGCCATTAAGCCAAAGAACAATAGGATCGTTCTTGGGGTCGTTGCGCGACTCAAAACTCCAGAAAAACAAATGCTTACCATCTGCAACATCAAGGTAACCGGAGTACTGTTTAGTCGAATCAACTCCTAAAACCTCGGGAGACTTGAAACGTAAACTGTGGTTAGGAAGAGCCTGGTTAACAACAACGCCTTCCCAACCTGCAGCTTCAAACTCTTCCTTTTCCTTTTCAGTTTGCTCTTTAGGTTTTTCTTGAGAAGTGGCAAAAGACTTAAGAGGACTGCTAAAAGAATTGATAGAGCTCTTAAGGCTTTGCTTGGCCTTAAACTTGAGCTCTGCAACAGAGTCAGGGAATTTTTCAAGAACCTCGGCCCACACATCGACGGCATTGTCAGGAATCTGGTCCCAGGTTTGTCCAAGAGATGACGCGACTGAACCAATAAGACGCTGAGCCATACGCTGGTTTTCGTTGGAGGGTTTGTAATCGTGGGCGGCCTCGGATTTATCAAAAAGTCCAGAAAGACCAAGTCGGAGTTGGCTAAAAGAGCTCAAGTCGAGAGCCGAGGCGTACGACGCGAGAGCCAACACAGCGGCATGAGAGAATTTCATTATATACAGAAGAGAAACGCGTCTTGTCTGTTAGTTAAGTGTAAGAATAAAGAAAGTGGTTAATATTAAAAAAATTAATTGTAAAAAAGTTCAATGTGATAGGGATGTAGAAAGAGGAAAAGCAGTAAAAAAAAAAAAAGGGAAAAGAAAAAAAAAAAAAAGAAAGAGAAAAATAACTGGGGGAGGAAATGCGACTGTTTAAATACTGTGGCAAATCTTATCGCCTAAGCCCTGGTAGTGCACAAAATTATGTCATATTTTCAGCAATCTCCGCACCAACTAACTGGCTGGATAAGCCGCCTGGGAAGGAGACTGGCTAGCTTTATGAGAAGCAGTTGACCTTTTGGGAAACTGGTTTTATATATTTAATGTATCTGTTTAATTACCGGAGGATCTTTTCGCAAATATTTTGACTATCGCGTGTGAGATCCCTGAAAATTTTAATGTTTTGCAGTTTCATTATCACATTAACCGTGTCGACTAAAATGGTCTATGTTTCAACGCTACACTGAGATTGCCAACAAAATTACTACTAACACTACTACCAGTACGACCAAAACGCACATTGACCAGTTACGCTTTTTGCGCTGATATTCATTAGCTGTCACCAGCTCGTCGACTGCGCTGTGCGTGTTGGCCGCCATGTCGGTTACATTGTCTTCTACCGAGTCAATTTGCTCACCTTGCTGAGTAACCAGAGTTCCTAGGTCTCTAAAAATGGCATTAATTTCCGCAATCCCTTCCTGTATTGTGCGAATCTCTAGCTCACGCTCTTGAAGAAGGCTTTGTTGAAAATCCACGTCTTCTTGACGCACCACATCTAGCATTTGCTCTTGAGCAGATTCTCGAAATTCACCAGACGGGTGATCTTGTAATTGTTCTGTAAGCTGTTTGTGGTGGAGGTGCTCACTTAAGCTTTCATATTGGCCATTACCACTATCATCGTAGTCATTTTTTCTCTCTAAAAGATGAGAACGCTCGCTGCTTGAGGCATTGCTATCCTTTTGAGCTTCTATCAGAACAGCATGTTGAACCTCTGCTAGATCTCGTTGTTGTGATTGGAACTGCTTCAACAGTTGATCAAATTCTCTCTGAAGTCTCTCTTGAGACAAAACCTGCTGTTTTGTCAGCTGTCGCGTATCCCAATCCAAAAGTGTTTGCAAGTCAGACCGTGATTGCTTGAGCAGCGCAGCAGCTTCTTCCACTAAATCGACAATTCGGTAATCTAATTTTGTTGAGTTTTTGCGTGCCTTTTGGCGCGACAGAAGCTTTTGCACACTGTTTACCTTGGTACTCGCATCATACAAGTGATCTGCGAGAGAACTACTCAACTGATCAAAATTGATGGGTGTACCCTGGGATTCCAAATCTGGCATGATGTATAATATTATTGATTTTTATTTAATTATTTTTTTATATTTCCAACGAGCGACCTGCGTTCCTTGTTTGAAAAACTCTTTATGTTATACTTATAAAACATATATCAGTGAACCGGGTTGAGATTTTGTATAGTCAGGCTTGGTTTGGTGGTTTCGACTAGGAAATCCGCGCAAAGCCGAAAATGGGGGAGACACGGCGGCTGGGTTTAGTTGGGCGGCTGGATGGTCCCCTTTTGGATTAAAGATGGGTGGGGCAGCAAACCCAAATGGATTTCACACTTACTTATTTGGGAAAAGGTCAAGTGAGCAAATATAATCATTATTAATCATTTGTTGATGATAAGTAATGATTAGTAATAACTTTATTATGTAATGTAAACCGCGAAAAATCCACGCCACGCGTAAATGTTATTTTCAAAAAAATATATTTGGGAAACAAGTCGTGTTTTGTTTTGTTTTGTTTTTATTTTGGTTGGTTAGATTTTTGTTTACTTTTACTTTTACTTTTACTTTTACTTTTACCTTTACCTTTTCCTTTTCCTTTCTCTTGTTTACTATCTTTACCATCTTTCACATCTTTCACATTCACCAATACCAAATATATTAAACCCTAGCTAATGTCTAGTCGAAAAGAAAAGCTTGCAGAGCTTGCGGCTCTTAGAAAGAGTGGGAAGTCCCGTTTATCGACTTATAAAATTAATGAAGATTCCCTGTACGATGTCGTTGACGAGGATGCCAGTAATAACCATTATGACGATGACGATGATTTCATTGAAGTCAATGATGGTGATCACGGATATTCTCGAAACGACGGTTCTAATGATATTGGAGGCTATAAGAACAACTATTACTCCGATGATGATGACCGTGACAAAAAGGGATCGAGAAAGTCTAAGAATAAAGACAAACGACGCAAAGCACAGTCCCCACCCCCCCCTCCACCGGAAAATAAAATTAAAAGCAGAGATATTTCTGAAATGTTCAAAAAAGCTGCAAAATCAAAATCTGTATGTTAATTTAAAGGTAGTAACAGCGTTGATTTCGACCTAACCATTTTTAGAAACAATTAAAGAAAAATGACGATGATTTAGAAGCCATGATTTCTAGTCTTGGAAATGGAGTTAAAAAACCTTCAACTTTAAAAAGACCAATTTCATCTTCTATATCAAGTACAAAAGCTTTGGAAAAGGATCCTTTTTCGGAAAATTACGGTGATCTTATAGATAGTCTTGGGCCCAGCAAGCATATTATAAAAAAAGCAAAAACTTCAATATTTTCTAAATCAAACCAGGAACCGCCCATAGATATTGAGATGCATTCGCCTTCATCACCTATTACCGACCATAAAAAAGAAGAAGAATACGAAGAAGAAGAAGAAGAAGAAGAAAGCGATTCAGATATTGACGAGCCAGCTCCTCTAATGCCTGGTGCTAATTATAAATCTGTTGTAAACAAAACATCTCAAAAGCCAGTAAGCATTAACATCAATTCTACCCCTAAACCATCTCTAGCACCTATTCAATCTCCAACAAAGTCACCTTTTTCACCAATATCTTCACCTTCGCGTCCCGAATTTTCACCGACAAAGTTAGCCCAACCTCTTACACCTGCTCCTGCTCAAAGCTCTCGTCCAGATACGCCGGCTTGGATGAGTCTTAATGAAACTTTGTTATCTAATGTACTAGATGAAAAGCATACACATGATGATCAAAATATTTCCAATTTTTCTTCTGAAGACGTTGTCGAGGATGACGGTAAATTGCGTATATTTTGGACAGATTATCATGACTTTGGTTCTCGCCTGGGTCTTTTTGGCAAAGTTAAAAACAAAAAAACTGGCAAGTTTGGAAGCGTTTTCCTTGTGGTAAATAACATTCAGCGTGAACTTTACTTTTTACCCAAACGCGAAAATAATGGAGAAGATGGTCAGGTTCCTGTTCTTGACGTTTATGCCGAAGTTTGTAAAACTCTTTCTAACTATGGGATAAATAACTTTCGTTCCAAACCTGTTACTAAAAAGTACGCTTTTGAAATACCCGATGTTCCAGCAGAAGCAGAATATTTACAAGTTTTATACAATTATGAGAATTTCAACCAACATGTTTTACCGGCAGATATTCAGGGAGAGACTTTTTCTCATGTTTTTGGAACTAATACAGCACTATTTGAACAATTTGTATTGTCTCGTAATGTTATGGGTCCATGCTGGTTAGAAATCGAATCTCCCGATTTTTCATCAATCCATAATGCTTCTTGGTGTAATCTCGAAGTTGCTGCTGATTCTCCTTTAAAAGTCTCTGTTGTTTCCGAATCAGAGGTTAATTTTCCTACCCCTCCACTTACTGTCATGTCTTTATCACTTCGCACGGTCATGAATAAAAAGGAAAATAAACAGGAAGTTGCCGCTATAAGTGCCCGAATTTACACTGAAATGGCACATGATACAACAGCCAATCCCACAGAGTTGCCATCTTTTGTCTTCACCTATGTGAGACCAGTTACAGGAGGTGTATTTCCTATGGGTTTTGAGCGTGAAATGAATGACAAACGGCAAAACAGCAAAATTCGAAATACTGTACGAACATTTCGCGATGAGTCAGGCATGTTAGCTGAGTTCCTCAAGCAGATTCAACGATTTGACCCTGACGTATTCGTGGGCCATTCTTTAGAGAATGTTCATTTTAATATTTTGTCTCATCGTATCCGTGATAAGAGAATTTCTGGATGGTCTCGTCTAGGCAGATATCGTCAAACTTCCTGGCCTAATGGATTTGGCCGTGGAAATGACATTAATTTCCAGCGTCAAGTTGCCACAGGTCGTTTGCTTCTTGATATTTCCAATACTTACGGTCAATCACTTACCATGAAGTGTGATAGTTGGACTTTGACGGAAATGACCAAATTATACCTCAACGATCAAGAGAGACTTGATCAGCCACTCGATGCGGGAAAGAGTGACTGGGTGACAACTTCAAGTGGCTTATATGAATATCTCATGCACAATGAAACAGATACCTTTTTTTCCATTGCAATTGCTTTTCGTACGCAAATGCTGGCGCTTTCAAAACAACTAACAAATATTGCTGGTAACTCTTGGGCACGATCTCTTACAGGTACTCGTGCGGAGCGAAATGAATTTATTTTACTTCATGAGTTTCATCGACAAAACTATATTCTTCCAGATAAGTACTCTTCTCAGAAAAAATCTCAATCAACTGCCAATGGGGCACACAAAAATGGATCATCGAAAGCTTCACAAGTCGCATCACAAGATTTTCACCATCATGATGAAGATGATTTAGACGATCCTTCAGCAACACAAACACATCAACCTGGTAAAAAGAAAGAAAAGTATAAGGGTGGTCTTGTTTTTGAACCAGAACGTGGTCTTTATGACAAAATTATTTTAGTCATGGACTTCAACTCTTTATACCCCAGCATCATTCAAGAGTTTAATATTTGCTTTACTACCGTGGACCGTAGAGCCTATAATACCAAAATTGCTAATGGGGAAGAGCCTGATGGTTATGACGAGGAAATTCTTACTCTTCCAGATAGATCAGTTCCTTTGGGAATTTTTCCACGTCTTGTCCAAGCACTTGTTCAGCGTCGTCGAGCAGTAAAGAACAATATGAAAGATCCTAAAGCTACCCCGACACAAAAGGCTCAATGGGATATTAAGCAACAAGCTCTAAAACTTACCGCGAATTCCATGTATGGTTGTTTAGGCTATGTGCGGTCGCGGTTTTATGCTCGGCCACTTGCTGTTTTGACAACATATAAGGGCCGTGAGATTCTCATGGCAACTAAAACACTTGCAGAAACAAATGGGCTTCAAGTTATTTATGGAGATACTGACTCTGTTATGATTAACACCAATGTTGATCAGTACGATGAGGCTCTCAAAATCGGTAATGATTTCAAGTCTCAAGTAAATCAACGTTACAAACTACTTGAAATTGACATAGATAATGTTTTTAGACGAATGCTTTTGCACGCCAAAAAGAAGTACGCAGCTGTTAACATGTCTGGTCCTGAAAACAATAAAGATACTCGCATGGATATTGAAGTTAAGGGTTTGGATATGAAACGTCGTGAATACTGTATTTTGTCAAAAGAGGCTTCCAAGTATGCATTAAACGAGATTTTGGGTACCGATTCTTCTGAAACAGCTATTGAGAATATCCATGAATATTTAAGAAAGCTCGCAACACGAGTACGTGAAAATAAGGTCCCTCTTGGTCAATATTTAATTCGCAACAGACTAGGAAAAAATCCCAAAGATTACCCTGGTGGTGGTTTGACACTACCTCATGTTGTTGTTGCACGACGACTTATTTCTCATGGCGAGGTTGTGCGACCAGACGACATTATTTCATATGTAATTGCTGAAAAAGAGGAAAAAACTGGCGAAGATGTGAATATGGAAGATGATGTCGATATTTCTGAAGAGGGTATAGAAGGTTCTAAGCCATTTAATAATCGACACCCGGCCCAGCGAGCATTAACAAGAAAAGAAATTGATGATTCCAATGGTCTTTACCGGCCAGATTCTGAATATTACCTCACACGTCAGATCTTGCCACCTCTTGAGCGTCTTGTTGCCCCGATGAGCGGGACAAATGCCATGAGACTAGCTGATTGTTTAGGTTTAAACCTAAGTAAATACCAATCAAGGGCTAATGGTGGAAATGGAAATAATGATGGAAAAGAAATATCATTCACTCCATTTCAAAGCACCATTGATGATAGCGAGCGATTCCGAGATTCTACCACATTTATGATTGCTTGTGGATCATGCTCTAAAACCTTTGCATTTATTGGGCTGAATTCTTCTGATGCTCATGAATCTTCTGTGGTAACTGCAAACGGTGTACGTTGTTCCCATTGTCTTGAGAGTGTTCCTATGTCTCGAGTGAATGCACAACTTGAAGTTCAGTTGCGATCGCAAATGGCACAGTATTATGCCGCTTGGGTTTCATGCTCTGAATGTGGCACTAGGACACGACAAATTAGCGTTTATGGGCGACGGTGTCTGAATGTTGTTGAAACCGCAAATGGTGTGTTTCAAGCATGTGGTGGACTCGTTTCTTTTGAATATGGAGATTTACGAATGTACAATCAACTTATTTATTATGACAGTCTGTTTGATGTGGATCGCGCTAGGCGCCGAGTACAAAAACGACTAGAGCTCATAGAAAAAGGATCTGCTGATGGAGAAGTCGTTGCAGCTGTTAAAAAAGAGTTTAATACCATCAATGCTTTGGCAGAGCATAATCGTGGGCGGTTTGCTTCCACTCGTGGAGTTGTGGAAAAATATATGACACAATGTGGTCGCCGGTATGTGGACATGAAGGAAATTTTTGCATTTGCACGCTAATCGAGTATTTTTTACTTAATTTTGATTTTGATTTTGATTTTGGATAACTTCATATGTAATAATGAACTTGCATTAAAAAATATATAAAAATATAAATTCTGAAGTTTATAATCCTAAAATTTAAAATAATGGCTAAGCGGTATTTGTGGAAAGGGTGGGTTCCTCGGTAGTATAGCTGGTCACAGTTGTGATCAGTGGAGACGTAATTTCTTCTGGCTCTGAGTCTTCATATGTGTTTTCAATGATGAAACGAGGTCCAGAGTTACCAAAGCATAAGCTACAAGAGCTTATGCAGGCAACACAACATATAGAAAATATGACGCCTATAAACACACCGCAAAGAGCAAAAACTGGGGAAAGTAAGTATATCACTGAAAGAAGATTTAATGTGTTAGATTTTGTTAGAGAAGTAAAAGCTCAATTTACTTACTAAAAGCACCAAAAATAATAATAAAAATAATAAAAAGTATCTGATATACGGGATTGTCGTCAAAGCCATTTCGAAAATCTATGAATGATTTCGTTAATTGAGGCTTTTTCTGGTTATATGATCTGAGCGTTTAACTCACCAGATAAGAGAGCAACATCTCGAGCGACAAGAGTTGTAAGCTGAGAAGAGCCTGGTAACATAAGAATCGGAGCCATTTTGAATTTAAAATTTAGTATATTATGATGATGAAGATGATGATGATGATGATAATAACTATGTTAAATATATATATATAGTAAGGTTTAAATAAAAAAATCTAAAACTCAGCCCAATAAACAAAATTTTCGGTTATCTCACGAAGAGGCTATAAAATGTAAGCCCTGCCACAAGACTTAAAGCTTTGTTTAGGCGCATCTTGTATAACTTCTGGTTGTTGCTGTATTTTTTTTTTAGAAATACTATATATATATCAAAAAAAAAATAATAATAATAAACCTATTCAGTTTTTAAAACGTATATAAACTAACAAAATTGCCCAGCTTCATTTGCTGTTACTCCGGGGCTGTGTTCCTGCTAATACGTGGAGAGGAAGAAGGCATCAGTGGCTTGGGAGGGCTTGTTGCGGCTAAGCCGCACTCTCTCACCCCTCGACATACTTTATATATAAACTCACCAAACCTCCTCTTTTTCTACCAGAACTCGTTTTTTTTTTTTTTTTTTTTAAATTTTAAATTTTTTAATTTTTTTTCACTACCCAAACTATTTATATTAAGTGCTACAATTTTTAACAAAATGGCACCAACTATTTTATTACCACTTCTCGATCAGTTTTCGATCCCAAAAACTGACTTTTGTCCTTATAATATTCTGCTACCTCGCGACTTTATAGGAGAAGTTAAAAATACAACCCAGTGTAAGTGCCTTTAGAATAAAGAAAACAGACTAAAGAAAATATTTCTATTTTAAGATTTTTGCTAACTTGCTAAATTATATAGCCTTTTCAAGCTGGGATAGTTGTATGAACAACACAGCTTGTAAATGGATTGCTATTATTGGCATCATTCTGGCCTGCCTAGTGGGTAAGTAACTATTATAAGATTCATTTTTAGCTGATGTTGTTTATTAACATACGATTTTTTTAGGTATTTGGATTCTTGGTACTATCTTTCAATGTCTTTTTTACGGAGTTGGTTTCTTTGCTTCTCTTTGCTGTCTTTGTACTGCTTGCTGCTGTCGTGGAAAGAATAAAAATTATCGTGACACTCAATCTTCTTATAACCCTGGAGCTATGCCACCGCTGCCCCATCAAACAAATTACTATGTGAATAATACCTATCAACCCGAACCTAATCCAGGACCGAAAATTACACCTGCTTGGGAAACATATTCTAAGGATGGAACTGCATCTGTGTCTTCAGTTCCGCCACAGATGCCTCAGCAATCGGCACAAAATGGAGGCTTTTTTTCGGGCATTGGTAACAACGGTGTTGGCTATCAACGTCTAGGTGAAAATACAGCCTATGGTGGTGCTAGCACTACTTACCAGGGCAATCAGGGATCAGCCATTGAAATGAGCCCGTATCCCCTCGGTGAAAACTCAAGCTACTACAATGATAATCAAAGCGATATGGGTAATACACGCCATTATTACAACAATTCAAATGACCCATTTAAAGATTCCACTGCCACTAAACCATATGGGTCTCAAGATCCTCCCCCCTACAAATAATGACCGAGATGATGGCTAGTATTTTGCTTTTTTTTTTAATTTTTATATACAAGGCGTTTAAAATGAATTTGGTTTTTAAATTATCTAAGTTGCAAGTGATAAAAAATCCAGCTTTTAAACAGTTCATCAAACCAAGACTTGATTGAATGTCTTATTCTTAAAATAACTATCATTTTCTAAAATCTTCCACACTCTACAACCACTTTGTAATCAAGATTATTATAATTGCCAGTCTCTTCTTTTTGGTTTTTTTGTAAAAAAAAAGGTCCAGATCCTGGTATCATATAAAGCTTATAAGGTCATACAATTTCTTACTTTGGGACTACGCGACAAGTCAAAAACTAATCCAGGAGACGCCACAGTTTTGAAATTTTCATCAAAGTCCATTTTTCTTTGTTGTTGTAACTTTGTATAATTATTGTGATGTATAGTGATTTCGTATCGTTGAATACGCGTACCTGGCGCGAAACTTATCTACGTCAACAACACACCGTATGCCCTCGAAGAGACACGCAGTCACAATTTTGGTGAGTGCCTTTTAAATTGATCAACGTTTTCATCTCCTTGGCGACACTTTTTTTTTGTCTACCCCTTTAGAAAATTCACTTATTTAAGTCAGCCTTGTTCAAAGTGCTTAAACTAATCGTGGGGAACAACATCTCCTTAAGAGTCTTGTGGTGTTACAAAGGATGACCCATTTAATGGTGAAAAAGGCCAAATTTGTCTTTTTCGATTTTAATATATTCCAACTGAGGGCACTTTCAAAGTATCATATTTTGCTTAAGACTTGCTAATGTAAAGCTTACACATACAAATTCCAGGTTGCGAAAAAACATGGGCCTTTCTCCAGCCGTTTCTGTCGTTCCAAAAGTTTTATAGAAAATGATGTTGTTGTATCATCAGAACCAACACTCTCAACATTCTTAGTATGGCTACTGTTTGTTCGAGAACAGCTGTCATTTTCTCCATCATAGTAGCCTACAGAAACTTTAATTGCTTCAGTGTTATCGCTATTATTAAGAAGGGAATTTTGTTTTGATCTGATCTGATTTCGGTACTGCCTCTGACCTACGATTCTTCGAAAGTCAAAGCCTGCAAAATCATTATTGTTTCTCTTATTATATTTTTGAATGTTGTATACAAGGCTTATACACTTCTGAGTGAACTTCCAATTAGTCATGCATTGAAAGCAAGTCAAAGTCAGTTCCATAATTCAATCTTTGAATTTTGGGAATTGTGAAAGAAATTGCAACCCAGAACTACTAACAGATCGACTTTTTTAAAAACATAGATATCTAAGTCAAGCACCTTATCAAATTCTTTGGTTATAAATGACTTTTCAAAACAAAAGTACCACTTTTTCTATGGACCTAACATGCGGCAAACTTAACTTATCAATTAGTGTTGGGGATCTTCTTTCACTTCGCCCTTCCTCGGTGATATCATTAGTTTCACTTGCATTTTCATCGTCTTATGCCTCAGGATGCTGATGATTGTGACATCGTAAATGGCATCATTGTTATCAACATCAATGTATGTGATGGTTTACAAAAACAATCTTGAGTAGGAAATCCTGCAGCATATATGGTTGGAGGTATTGGCGACCAGTTCACAGTACTCGTAATTACCTTTAAGATGGTTTATTGTGTGCATCGTTACACTGTTGAATCCGATATTGTTCAACTGCTACTTTTTTATGCTTGGGTGAGAATTAAAATCATCTCTCAGTCAGTAACTTTGAAAAATGCCTGTGACATTAAGTACGCCCTCCTAAAGCTCTAAAGCTTCCAGATTTTTGATACATTGCGAAAGCCGTAAGTCTGTAATATAGATGTGCAAACATTCTATTTGCATTGCTGTATTAATTATAATTGATACCGAAAAACCATTATCGTAGTTACACATATAAGCACATGACTGGGCCAAATATGTATATTGATGTTGGTGCAGTTTGGAATATTGAGAAGATCTCGGGCCAGCATAGATTTCCAAAAGCAATCATATTATTGACAGTTTCAATACCAGAAATAACAAATCCCGATCTTAAAAAAGAAATAGAATCAAGTTTATATGGTTCCAGTATGTCATATAGATGGTCTTTTAAGCAAGCATGATCCGCAAATTTATAAACTTTTCAATCAAAAAAAGCTACCAAGATGTTTGCTAATTATTTTATAATATATTCGTCTTTTATTGAACAGATGTCATTGAGAGAGCCTCAGAGAACCTTATTATTCTCTACAAAAACTCGGGAATAAACCGAGACTTGTAGTGTTCTGGAAATAGAAGCATGTAGGCTGAAATAGGCTGGCTGCAGAACGTTGATACTTATCCTAGCTCTGGTTTTCGGTCATGTATTCATTCGGTAAAACTGTTACATGTTACTAAATTTGCTCGCTAAACCTATGGTGTAAACGGCACTGATGTTTGGCAAAGAGACTTGATGTTCTGTAATGAAAGATAATAATAATAATGATTGATACTCTATCAACTTAGTTTTATGTGGCCTAGACCTTCCGTGCGATTTAAAATGTACTGGAGAAAACATGGCAGTTCCTCTGAGCTTATAAAGTGTATAAAAATGTTTGTATTTAATTAAAAAGGAAGACTAGTTGTGAGACTATGGATTATGGATCATGGGAAAAGGAGCGATGATTTGAGTTCTTTTTTGTTTGGGTTTCCTTTTATTTTTTTCCCTCCTAGTTATCATACCTAATTTACTTAGATACAGCTTCCGCCGTAGAAACAGAAGCAGAAACTGGCTCAGGAGCAACTTCTTGTAACGTGATAGCACTGGCATCATCTTCAACAACGCGCTCTGGCTGAGCACGAAGAGTAGAAGGTGCTGTTTGAGCCTCTAGATCAATTTCCTCCCCAGTCTCAGTGACTTGTCCTAATCTTTGGTGAGGGGTATCTACTTGATGAAGAGCATGATATTTAGCAGATCGCTTTCTAGATAGCAGTCCTAATAAATGTTAGTTGATAATGAGAAGAAATAAGATTAATTAAAGATAATGATGTAACTCACTTTTGTGGTACCAGGCAGAGAGTGCGATTGCCGAAATACTTCCCGCAGCATTATACTGTAAATGAAAATAAATTAGCAAAATGAATGTTTGAATATCAATTCTTTACATACAAGAATATCCTTAAAGTCGAATTCTCGATACTGAAAAAAAGTTAGCAGGTTGTCTATTTATAGTCGAAATAATGAGAAAAATACATACAGGAGAAAAGTTTTGTGCAAATTCAGAGCCAATTCCCAGGAAAACTGTGCACACCAAGAAAGTAAGATTAATACTCTTCTTTCTTGATGAGTCAATTGTCCAGTAAAACACTAAAGTTAAGATGAAAAAAGTAATGGCATGAAGAGCCTTGTCATAACCGAGGTGGATATCGGCGAAACCAAGGTATGCACTCAAAGCACAAAGAACCAAAAATGCTGTAAATTTAAAAATATATATAAATATAACAGGTTAATAAAAGGCGCGTTAATTGATTTTGTATATTCGGCAAAAAAAAAAAAAAAATGAAATAAAGCCATAATTAATGCATCAGAAATTTGAGCATGTTAGATATTAATATTTAAAAAAAAAACACGTACCAGCAGCAAAGGAATTTCGAATTTTCATTTTTGAAGATTACCAAGAAGTATCTTAAAGTCAAAATGAGATTATTCCGGGTAAATTTAAAGGCGGATAACTTTTATGAGATTTGTCTTCTTCTACTTTCCTTTTAAGAAGAAAAGAAATGGCTATTTGAACTCAACTTATACTATTATAGTTTTAAAAAGGTAATAAAATGGTGGAAGATGGAGGTCAGGTAATTGAGTTAGCAGGTGGCTTGCAAAAAATTGTAATACATTCTGTCATTGCAACCCCCAAGTTTTTTATAGTAGGTAGATTACATGAAAGCCAATTTTTGTCATGGATCTTCTTATTATCAGATTAATATGATCACAGTTGACAATTACATAACTGAGACTTGATATAAGTTAAGATGATATCAATTGAAAATCACCTGTTCTTAGAAAAAATCTGCATCACAATTAGATGTACTGTGATTTTGTAAACCCCAGTATGGTCGGGTAATCCTCAGTGCAAATAAGTCGTCTGTTCCAAAACGATTTGCGCTGTAAATTTTTAAATGGGTGCGCATCAAAGGAATCTTTAGTCACTTTTTCCTCATCTTACGAGATTTGCTTAAAAATAGAGTATAAGTAGTGACCGTACTTATAAACGCTAATACTTCTTTTGATTTTATCAATATCGTTAGTTATCTTGACCCAAAAAGAAAATTATAAGACCTCTTTCTTAAAACAAAATAATTTATTTTTTTGATCGTTTAACGATAAAACAATAATATTGATGTCATGATTTTTTATTAATAATTTTTAAATTATTTGATATGAATAGCCGATTAGGATATTGTTTCTTAAAAAAATTATAAAGTAAACCTGTATTTACAATGTTGAGTTTTTGACCATTTTAAATCGGTTCCCTTTTAGAAGGGAGGTAATTAGATATATTGCATTACGTAATACTTTCTGCGTGTATTGTAGAAGGGAGAATCCGAACCAAATCTTGAATTCTCAATTCAAACACACATGAGAGACCTACAACACCTGAACAAAATCAAAAAAAAAAATCAAAAAAAATTGTTAGAAATGATATGATCATGATAAGAAAAAATGATAAAATATCAGAAATACCTTATTTTTTAGTTTTAAGTTTTATTTCAGAAAGTTTTAACTTGAAAATGCAAAACGCGACTCCTGACAAAAGTTGTTCCGTAGTTCAAGAATGTCTCGTTAATTACCAGAGCCACTACCTATCCCAGCATGTTGATTTGATTTCAGTATGCTAAATATTGGAGTAAACATTTCTTTTTGGCTTGGTTCGAATATTAAGGGGTTGAATTTCCTTAACGCTATTTCATCTGAGTACAATATACCTTTGATGGGATCCAAGATTAAACTAAGAATTGTTAAAATAGTTTCGTCTAATTTCAAAATTTTCATATTCAAGGTGTGGATCAAGTATTGTTTTCCATCTTCAAATTTATTATTGATATTTCAAGAGAAGTATAGAAAAAAAATATTAATGAGGTGTGGAGAACAGATAAGAGTTTAAGAAAATTTTTGGTGATGGTGAGGATAAAACACAGCCCCTTATGGTGATAAAAAGGGGTATACATACAGAACATTTAACATATTGGACTGCTCAACAAAAAACACTAACAAAATGAAAATAGATCAAGGATCATTTACCATGCTTTATGCCATCATATCAGACACAATTTTGGGTCAATTTTGGGTTTTTGGAATATCTTGAAGAGTACTGTCTGATAAATTTGACCATTCAAAATTTCTCAGTACAATTTTCTTTATGAACAAGTTTCTCCATATATTTGTTTCAAGACAAGTCGTGATCGTAAATTTTCCAAACATGTGAGAGGACAATTGGAAGTTTGCTGAATTCCACAATTTGCAAAGATTTAATAGCTACTAAATTCAACAATAAGAATCTTGAGTCCCATCAATCTATCTTTTGTATTTTACTTCAATCTTTTGAGTCTGTAATTATTGACCTCAATTCTCAGTTTGCAAAAGAGATAAAAAAAAAACCTCAATTTGCGTTAGCTATATCTCATTGTCGATATTATATCAAAATAAACAAGTCCGCATCAAATCTTTTAAAACTATAATTAAGAGCAAGTTTTTCAATGACTAACAAGTAATGCTCAATGTAACAATTTTTTTATGATTTTTCAACGAAATGTTACTTACTATCGACTTGGTAGTTAATATGACTTTTAGTTTTAAATCCATTTACAAAAAGGCAAGACAAATTTCTAAACCGACAAAGCTTGAATTATCTGTTGCAGTTTATGCTTTCTTAAATTGAGGACTGCATGTTGTTGAAGATTTTTGTGATTTTAGAGATAAAGCTCTCAGTATATCTTATCTCGTCCATCTGCTATGAGAGTTATTCTGTCAAAGGCTACACCCGAAAAACATGGCAATTGCAATGTTTATCTTATGGATAACAATATTAAATTTATGTCGGGCAGTGAGAAACACCCTTGGATAAACTTGTTAAATGTTCACAGTAAGGATGAGAATTCAATAAAAATTGCAAAGATTTATAAAAGGCATAGATAACCTTATGAATAACCTTAAATCGTAAATACTACATATATGAGAATAATACCAATTTGTTCTTTGAAAGATCCCAAGAAACATTCTTGGGTTAATTTAACCTTTGAAAATATAGATTGACAACCTTTATTCATGTTTTTTTTTTTTTTTTTTTTTTTTTTGATTATATGCTATCGTACCAGTAAAATACATTAATACACAGTAGAAAAATAGAGTTTGAAAAAATTGGGTGGAAGGTTAAAATTTTTGTTCGGATTTTGTGTGCTAATTCTTTTAGTAAAAAAAATTAGCATGGGAAAAAATTAGACTGAATTCAACAGTGTACCAAAGTCACTCATTAGTTATGAAAATGGCCTGGCTAGTTTTTTTTAAATTCTTACATGTACACGAGAAATTGAAACATGACCTTGTATAAAAAAATTGCACTTAGTTCATATACTATGTACTGCAGTTTTAATGACCTTGTGACTATGATTTCTTAGAAGAAGTTTTAAAGAGTTTGACGCGTCATGTTTGAAGTAAAATAAATAAGGCAAATTTGCCCTTTAAAGGTAGGACTTGCCTAATTTTGATAATGGGTTAGGCCACCTGCTTACTGTTTGAAGGCGGGCTGGATATGTGGATTCAGGGAAAGTTCGTTAAAGTGCAACTGAGGCTTTGATGATAATAAAAGATTCTTAATCATGATAATAATATAGTAAAAATTGAAATCAGTTTTTTTTAGTCTTTAATTCTCCTTACAGTTATTTATCATCAAAAGCCCCGGAATGCAAAAGAATGAAGGAGAGTGCAGGCTTGAGATAACTAATTGTTCCTTATCTTATACAAGGTCACCCATTTAGTCCATATAGGGAGGGCTTCTAACTTCAAGAATACGCTTAGGCTAAGTCTTAATGTGTGTTGCGCGCTTTTTTTTTTCTCTGCACAACTGCATAACTATTCTCGCATGTTTGCTTATAAGCAAAGAAAAAAAAAGAAAAAACATTTTTGATTATTCAAAAAAAAAAAAAAAGGCATTATGAGATATGTTAGATCCTTTATGAAAGACACGACAAGAAAAAAAAAAAGCTTAGAAATTTTAGTTTAGTTTAAACATTTTTTTGACTGATGAAGAATTCGGTTTGTGAAGCGTTTGAAAAGTTATTGAAAAAAAATATACAGAAATTGCCATGGTTTTGGTAATTATTGTTTTGAAGCCATTGAACCTGGTAAAAAATAAAAAATAAAAAAAATAAAATAAAAAATAAAATAAAATATAAAAAATAATATAAAAAATAATATAAAAAATAATATAAAAAATAAAATAAAAAATGATATAAAAAATAAAAAAATAAAAAAATAAAACGAGGAAAAAACGCGCTTACCAACATATGATCTTTAGGTTTAGACCATTTCTTTTAAATGGTTTCCTAAATCAAAAAAAAAAAAAAAATTGGTTTTGGTTTTGGTTTTGATTTTGATTTTTCTTTTTCAATACGCATTTTTGATCAAGACTAGGACGTTTACAATATTTAAGCTTAGGTACTAGATTGCTTGTAAATAGCTAGTTTTTTTAAAACAAAAGGAATTTGGCTATTTTAGTTCGGAATTTTATCAATGAATACTGTGGATAAAATTCTAAAATCTTTGTTTTCTTGAACAAATAAGTTTACCAGACTTGCTACGGCCGTTAGAAATAGACAAGTATTTCTTGTGTTACCATGAAATGATTTACTTTGTCATAATCTTAAAGATGCGTAATCCGCAATTGTTAAAGCAACTGAAAGGGTTCAGCAAACGTTGAGTATTCCTCGAGATATATTTACAATTATATTTACTTTTTCTCCTAAAACCAACCTTTTAAATTAAACAAATTCATTAGCAGTAAAATAAATTTTTTTTTTTCTATTTATTCAATGCTTTCAAATCTTGTATGAATTTTTTTTTTAGTAAACATATTTTTCTTCTACGTAAAATCAAAACACAACCTTGTATCTTAAGGAGCCTTGTCGCTTAGTATCAACATGGATAAGAGTACATATATGTACAATCACTCCTTGTTCTATAAACAAGGAATGAAAAATACAGACAAGGAGTGAAAAAAAAAGATCAACTCTGGATACAAACTTAAAAACTTAAAAACTTAAAAAAAGAAATTGTTTATCGATCTCGATAGAAAAATAGGATTGGAATAGCAAGACTTTCCCGAAAAAAAAGCAAAGAGAGTTATTCCAATAATAATTATAATGGAAAAAGGGGAAATATAAATGCAAACTAAATTCTACAGTCAATCACTTACAGATTTACACCAGTAGCCGTTACTCGGTAACAATCAAAGAGATTAAAAGATCTTTGGATCAGTCCACTATCCTGTTATTTATGAATTTAAAATTGCAAGATCGAAGACAAATTTAAGTCCAAGAATAAAAAATTTTTTTTCTCGAAACCAGAGCCTTGTTTGGATATATGGATTACAAGTATTTAAAAAAAAAAAGAAACTTTAAAGAAATAAAGATTTTATCTTAGCAACATTTTGAATTGACAAAACCAGTCTAGTTTGACAAAAATATCTACCCTGACTTTTCCCCTTTCCTTTGAAAGTACCAGGACCCAAAAAAAAAAAAAAAAAAAAAAAAAAAAAACAGTGTGTAGCAGGGATAGGAAAAGCATACAAACCGACAGACAGGCAGACAAGCTTGCAACTCTTGGATTTTTCCCGTTAACTAGTAACATGATGCAAAATGGCTTTAAGATGCTGGCCTTTTACTTACCACCCCTGAAACATTTTAGTATCCTGCTTGAGCTCTCATTGAGTTAAGAGTGCTTTCAAGAAAATGCTAAATGTTCACACAAATTCACTGTAAAAAGACTTTCAGCCAGCAAGATTAAGCTTGTTTTTCAATCAATACCCCTGAAAAGAAAGAAAGAAAGAAAGATGAAAAGCCTAAAGAAAATGATCTGATTTTTCAAGTAAACTTTTCTTCCATAAAAGACACAATAGTAATTAAATCAATTCTTCTTTTAAAGAATTTAAATGATTCATTTTGACTTTTTTTCCGTTTTATCTTTAGAAAGAAGACATCTTGATTTAGTTTTTCAAGGGTTTCATGAAAAAATTTCAAGTATACCTTAGATAAGTGGTAGCCGACATGAACAAGAAGGTATACAGTTTAAAATGGGACCCTCTAATTATTTACAAGACTCAAAATGGTTAAATAATAATTAACAGAATCAAAACTCTGGTAATAAATGTAAGACCAAGAACCAGAATATAGGAACTAAACAATATACTTTGGATTTTGGCACAAGTAAGAAAGCAGGCATAAAGAAGGAGAGAGTACAGCGACAAAGCTCAATTATCTGTGCAGTGAGTTTAAAATATAATTTTATTTTTTTATTTTAAGCGACTAGAAGACAAAAATGTAAGGATAAGTGATAGTTAACTTTGGTTCTTCATGGTGATGCAACCATATATGGTTATATATATAAAAATCTCAGAAAATTGGTGCACTAAAAGTCAGTTGTTAAAGGTTGTTTAAGTTTTGCGGAAAAAGAAGAAAAAGAAGAAGAAGAAGTTAGAAAAAGGTTTAATGACCTGGACATGTCCGCCAAATATTAATTTGCATTAATTTCCAGATACTTTACAATAGAGCATAATTTGTAGAAAATTATCTTATAAAGTTACGGTTGGTTTAAGTGTGCAACCTTTCAATGAACCACCGACGTATACAACATCATATTCTGAATTATTTTTTTTTTTTTCACAAAGTACTAAAAAAACCTATTCTCATATGAATATTTATTTAAATATACAGCCATTTCTCTTAAGTTTTCATTCAAACCTGTAGAAATATTTTAACAGAAAAAAGTGCCGCGGGAGTCCGTCGCATGTATTTGCATCACTGCAGCTGTACAATTGTTCATATTAGCTCTAGTTGCAGAGTTAAATGAATACCGCGGAGCCCGCCGCTGCCTATTGCACACACCCAGAAAGTCTTGTAGAAATCTTGTAGAAAACCAAAAAAAAAAAAGGTTCGACAAACATCCGTTTGTACATAACTTCTAACTGAGTGAATGTGTGCATATATGTGAGTCCGCGGGACCTTCACCCCAAAAGGTCTTGAGAGTCAAGAAAAGTGGACCCAAAAGTACTCAAAGGAGTAGAGATCCCGAAGCCGCGGTAGCTCACCGAAAGAACGAAAGAACGAAAGAACGAAGAAAAAACAAAAGGAAAGTTTCCAATGTATGTACTCCAAAAGAAGGATTATAATTATGAGAGAGAAAGAGACATTGAAGAGTACTAAAAATTTTTGAAAGTCTGAAAATACTAAAAGAAAGAAAGAAAGAAAGAAAGAAAGAAAGAAAGAAAGAAAGAAATAAATAAATAAATAAATAAATAAAAAAACAAAGCAAAACCTCCAATCCTGAAAAGCTTTAATCATGAGTTTTTTTTAACTTTAACGGAATAAATGAATTATTCTTTTTCTTTTTTTTTTTTCTATTATAACGTTTTCACATCATGGGTCCTAACGGGTCCGCTGCATTCCTCTCTCAAAGTCAATTGATTCCATGAGTCTGGAACAGCGAGGCTCCGGCAAATATTCCGCCCATCTCAATAAAATATATATTTTAATTTGTATTTAATGAAAAAAATATTATTATCATTATTATCAATATTATATTGTCACATCCTTCCTTTAAATATAGTAGTTGTAGTATGGACAATATAATTATAATATTTATTATAATAAATATTTTATGAATCGAAAATAAATTGAAACATCAAAAACAAAAAACAAAAAACAAGTGAAGGTGGAATGATACTCACAATTGAAGGCTTTTTTTTTTTTTTTTTATCTTTGGAGCATTCGTTTTTTTAGCAAATTTATTTTGTTTATTTGTTTATTTGTTTATATATTCATTGGACCTAATACTTGAGCTTTGTGGGCCATTTTTTTCTTCTTCTTTGGTTCATAACTGGACATGTGAAACTATGCGTCCGAAATAGCAATGCTTTGTATTTGCACCTCCAACATTTTGGGAAAAGGTCTATTGTGATATTGCTCTCTTTATTCCCAATTTGTAAATTCTTAAATTATTTGGCAATTGCTTATTTGGTTCTATTGACATACGCGATACCTCTCAAATTCAAAGTTGTGAATTTGGAAAATGGCGCAGACTTTTGGTCTTATCAAATCTAGTAGAAGCTCTTTTGCGGATTGCATTTTAATCTGTTGATTCTTGAAGATCTTTTGCTGCACAGACAGCTTTTTTTCGCTTTGGATGCAAGGCAAGCCTGCGTTAGAAGGTATTTTGATTATTTTGATTTTTTTTGATTATTGACTTTACAAAATTATTATTTACAGTGGTTAGTATTGTCAGATATATTACAGTCTTATAGGGCTAAAGAAACTCATTGTGTCTGAGCTTTGTTCTTTCTAAAGATCTAGGTTTTTCTGAAGTGACAATGTAAAAATAATTATAAGAAATCAAAACGAATATAGTTTTGATTAAGGTGGGGTCAATCTCGACAAAGCTGTAAATAGCAAAGTAATAGTCAAGAAATAAAATAAGCTAAAATCAAAACATTTTAATTTTGAAATCTTTATTTATATTTTTTTTTATGTTTTCTTTCTTCTTCATCTTCGTCTTCTTATTATTTTATTTTTGCTTTGCTATCTCATATTTGTTGATAACCAGCCAAGCGCGCTTATAAGCTTATAAGCTTATAAGCTTATAACGATAACCAGTTTCTTTTTGATAAGGCACTCCCCCCTAATACTTTTGTGCCCCTTTTTTTATATTTAATTGTTATTAGATATATAGTTAACTTATCAGTGTTTATTTTGTTTCTTTTAATATTGGCTCGTTGTTTTTTTTTTAATTATTTAAGACGACTTTAAGGGCTGCACAAACATCTATCAAAGTGCTCTGGGACAATGAGTGTCAGACATTGCGAGGTCTTCAATCCGGCTGGACAAGATGAGAATTAATGAGTGTCTCAAAGAACCTGGTCAAGAAACGGGTTATGCTTAAGATGTGGTTTGCACGCGACTTTAAAGGTATCATCATTATCGATTCATTTATCCATTTATTCATAAAGATATCAATAAATAACAATAACAATAACAATAACTAACAATAATAGAGACTAATATAATTTTAAACTTAGGGAGTAAAAAGGCGGGGGGTTGTAGTAAATTGTGGAAATATTAAGTTCTAGATAAGTTTTGGCCACAAGAACCATAAATGTCAATTATTAATAATCCACATGCGTATATTAACTCCTTCTTTCCCAATTTTTTTTCCCAATTTTTTTTCTGTTGTTTTTCTCAATAAAATTATATAAATTCTCCTCGGTTTCCTCTATTTTTTTTTTTTTGTTTCTTTCTCCACAAATTATTTGTATCCTCGGTGATATCTAAACATTTTCACCAATACTCCATCTAAATATATATTTAATTCTATACTCAACAACTGTTCTTTTATCCACCATAGCCATGGCCATGTCTGCCACTACAATAACTACAAACCCCCCTACTCAACAGCAGCAGCAGCAGCAGCAGCAGCAGCAGCAGCAGCAGCAACAACAACAACAACAACAACAACCACAGCAGAACCCAAGAAAGCCAGTCAAATTCTATCTTGGCCACTCTAAGAAAACGATTCAGCATTCTTTGTATCAAGAAGAGTCCAACTCATGCTCCTCTACTGATATCGAGTCGGACATTGACGACCGCTACGCATACATGGACGCAGATGACTACTCTTCTCACCCATGCTTGTCCAAATTCTCATCACGCTCTAGCTCTTACAACTCACTGGCCCGTTTCTCTTCTCACAAAAACAACAAAAACAACAATAACAACCCTTATAACTCTGGGGCATCAACAAATCCACAACAGCACTTTCGAGTTTTTGATGCGTTCTCAGCTCGTCTTGCTAACCCACCATCTTCCGCTTCTTCCAACTGCTCTTCAGTGTCTTCAACTTCTGGAGCTCTATTTTCCAAAAGCTGCTTTGACCACTCATCTTTTATCGATATTAAAAAGTCACAACAGCCACAGAAGCGGGAACCTTCGTGCACCAACATTCCACTTGTGACTCCTCCAAACAATATCGACAAGTATTTTGCTACTATCTCACAAGTGGAAAATGTTGACAATGACAGTGGATCTTCTATTGTCAATGATGTAGAAGGAAAGAAAAAACAACAGATGCAACGGAATAAAATAGATGAGCAAGAAGAACAAAGCTCTGCAAATACGGTTTCTACTGCGACGCTTAATGCCGACCAAACTCTTAACAATCAGAGCATAAACTATTCTTTCAAGTCAATTTCCAAGCCCAAGTATGCTGATCGATCTCTTCCTCCTTCCCCACCAAAGTCTCTTAGCTTGAAATCAAATGAGCAACAACAACAACAAATACCAGAACCCCACTCTGGCAGAATTTCGATTTCTGCCCCCACAACAAAGGACGAGTTTGATGCCACAATGAGTACATCATTCTCTCCTTCTTCTATTCTTTTCAGTAGTTTATATGCGCCCCACCAAGCCCCAGATGACGAGATGATTGCCCCACAAACACCTTGCGAGGAAACTCTATCTATTCGAATTAGCTATGAGCATCCCTCTCCTTTGGCTTTGGCTAAACACCAACCCGATAATAATGTCGATGATCTCGATTTGGACGAGGAACTCATGTTTGGCGACGGATCAAGCAACAGTAGCAGCACCAATAATTTTCACAATAGTAATAATGGTAATACTAGCAATTTTTACGAATCTAATTCTCGTACTCGATCCAGTCCTGATTATAGCCGCAGCTATAATGACAGCTATAGAATGCCTGAAACTAGTTTTGAGCCATCTTTTGACGATTATGATGAAGATGTTGAGGAGTACGAGGAGGAGATTTTATCCCACTTGAATCTGGAGCTGGACCCCCAGGTAGTTGATGAATTTCGTCCTCGGCCGCTTTTAGCCAACGGTGGCCGACCTTATATTCCGTCGTCGCCAGTATACGAAACAGTTGAGGAGCTTCTTGCAGATGTGTACCCTGAGCTGCGTCGTGGGACTGTTGACTACAACCGTCACCTCCGTCGGCTTAAGGAGAATCGATACAAGCTGAAGCAGTTACGTGAGTGTATTAACCGCTTTGAGGAAACTCGACGTGAGGAGACTCGCCATGAGCGTGCTTATAGTAGCTGGGACCCGTGCCAACAGCGGAGATGTCGGAGTTACCGATGAAAAAAAGCCCACAGTTGGCCGCAATGACAACATTAACAACAACGATCTTTAATATTTTTACGATTTTATGAATTTTTAACGACCCTTTACTATTTACTGCTACTGTTTTTTTTATTATTATTTGCTTTATGTATTTCTGGTGTTTTTTTTTACTGCTTTTTGCTTTTATATAGTTTTTTTTTTTAATAATTTTCAATGTACTTGTACTTTTTTTTTACATTTTAAATTACAAAAATTCAATTAAGAATTGCAAATCATATGTGGTCTGTAGAGCGTCGCTATGTGTTTATTTCCTCCCCTCCTCTTATTAAGGTATTGTTGAATCAAGGCAAGTGATTGGATCTGCGCTCAAAGAAATTGAAGATTTGATCAAGAATTAGTCAAAAGCTTGTGTGGCTCGTAAATAATAAGAGAGCAAGCTCTCCTTTTTTTTTTTATCTCATGACTTGAAAAGATATTATTAGTTCATTCGCCTGTGAGGCAAAATAATCCAGCTAGGGAGGGATGATGTATGTTTGTAACAAAATATATGATAGGATGATGAAAAGTGGTATTGAGGAAGAGGAAGAAAAATAAGAATAAGAGTAGGACATGAAAAAAAAAAAAATTGTGGAGGTTTGTTTGGGCTTTCTTGTGTGTATATATTTATTAAATTATAACTGTGGCTTGATTTTGGGGAAAAAATAAAAAAATAAAATAAAAAAAAATCCACACCTGCCAATTCTCGAGAGTGTGGCATGTGCATGTTTTGCCTCTCAATGCATGAATAAACGAGAGACATTTTTTTAAAAAAAAAAACAAAGACGAATTTAAATGAGGATTTATTTCTCCAATTCATTTTTTTCATTTATATTCTCAAATGTGAAAACCTACAAACAAGTTACAAAAAAAAAAAAAAAAAAAAAGAGAAGTTGTAAGGCTGCAGACGTAAACATAAGAGAGGAAACTAAGCTTATCACAGCTTAAAGTAAAGCAGCAAACAGGACAGGTATCATGTGTTGTGTTTATGGATTGTGATGGTGAAGACCTGGACAAGAGAACAAACGGACCAGTGGCATTGGTGGTGGGGAGCTCAAAACAATAAACAATTGCGGGTTTTGGACAGGTTCATCCAGAGATCCGACAACGGCTATGATGTCACTTTGAGATGGAAAGTGAGATAATTTTTTTTTTTTTTGTTTAAAGGAAAAAAGATAAAATAATAAAGACAGAATTCACTCGTTTGCATGAATCACAAGGCAATAGGACCGTTTATAAAGAATAAAAAAAAATAAATAAAAAAACAAATAAAAAAAAAAAGAAAAAATAAGAAATAAGAAATAAGAAATAAGAAATAAGTTTAAGCCCCTGAAACGAACGAGTTCTTCAATTCAAAAGGACGTCTTTCTTCTAGAGCAAATCATGCAACCAACTTCCACAAAGAAAGAAAAACTACAACAACACCATTATCAACATTTAAGTATATCAGAGGACGGCAACACAGCTCTTATCAGTGATAAGCCAAGATTGTAATATAATAAAAAAAAAACTAGGCCTGCTCGGGCGCAAACGTTTCCTACTATATTCTGCTGCAGACCTGTTGCCAACCACCTTGGAGCGAAACTAGGCAGAGCGGGGAAATGCGTCCAGTCCAGTGACCAATTGCAGACGCTGCTATCTATCTATAGTTGTCTATTCTTTAAAAAAAAAAATTAAAAATCGCTATTGTCCGAAGAAGAAGAGTGACCATCTATATTTTTTTTTTGGGTCAGATTATTCCCCACCACACGCACTTAATAAAGAAGACTTTCTAGATTTGCACGTCTGGCCACGAGGCCACGGGGTCTAGGACTTTGGACTTTTGGTAAGGGCCTTGCGTTTTCTGCGCAATTATTACAACCAAAAAAAAATAAAATAAAAAATAAGCAACAGGATTTGTTGTAACAAAATTGATTAGATTTTTAACCTGTAAAGAAAAAAAAAAAAAAAAAAACAAGATTTTATGGGTTCACGATTATTTTAGAACTTCTCATTCTTTCCAACTTTTTTTTTTTTTTCCATTAATACCATATTCTACACAAATACAAACAAATTTTAGACCAAGTGATGTTATAGTCTACTTTAAATTTATGCAGAACAGAGAATGACAAAAAAGAAGGTTACCTGACTTCTTCTCTTACCATCTTCGATGAAATCCAAGGCGTCTCTTGTCTATTACAATCACATCTTTTTTTTTAACTCTTCTTTTGCCTTGACATCATGACCTATTTTTCAGCAGCTCATCGCTCATCATCTTGTTTGTCCACCTGCGCTTATACACATGTCGATTGACAACACATTTATTACCGCCACTCTTTATATAGCCTCTTTTTGATGAACTGTACTCACTCTGACCTCAGCCTTACAATCATTTCTCAAATTTAGAAAAAGTTTATCTGGTCTTCAAGGTTAAAGTTTATAGCCCAGTAAAAGTTAAGTTAAAAAGAAGAATAAGAAGGAGAAAAAGAAAGATTCATCATCATTCTTTTCTACTTTGCCACAAAATTGTCCCTTAAATACTTTAAAAAAATATATATCGTTATAAATACCCGTTCCCACATGACTAGTGACTTTGTTTCACTTCAAAATCATTTAAAGGCACTGCGCAAAAGATCTTTTAATTTTTTCAGTACCATTCTTGCGCCTTTGCTTTAGCTGAAAAAACTTTTTGCTTCTTTTATTCAGCTTCCCCCTTTTTTTTTTGTCGTTATTAATGGTCGATAAAATTTGAGTATTAAGTTATTTACACAATATATACAAATTACCAAGAATCGATATTTTTTTCATTTTATCCTGAATTACACGAGATACAACATACCACTCACTTTATTTCTTTAAGAATAACACATTCTAAAAAAAAAACGTTAACTCAAAAATTCCATAACTGTTTTTTTGCATTCATCTTTTATCTCATCTCATCGCATCTTTGCTATCTTGCTATCCAATATCTAACACAAACAAAAAAAAATTAAGTTTATTTGTATCATTGCTATTTTTTTTTTAAGATAGCGGTTCTCTTTCATTATTTCGTCATAGTCAAATCTTTCATCATTGTTCTGTTGAATAAAATTTTAAAGGACAACAGAAATAAATGGATTTGTAACTGGTGATTAAAACATCCAGAAAAACTTTTTTTTACTACCATTCTTTTAAACTATTTGATTTGCGATAGTACAAAATATCAATTAAGAAAGCAATGGTACTTAGATAAATTTCAATGTAGCATTGGCCATACCTTGATCACACTGATATCATTTCTACTCAAAAAATATTTATTTTTCTCTCTTTTTTCAGTTTAATCTTAACAATATACCATTTCTCCGGATTTAAATCATTTTCTAAATAGACTTTGAAACAATGATTTGTCTTTTGAAAATAATACCTCTGACAATGATTAATTGATATAATAGTTTTTGATTTTTTGATTACATATTAATGGTTTATCAATTTAATACAATTATTATTCAAAAAAAAAAAAAAAAAAAAAAAAAAAACTTTGATACCATCGTGTCTCGGAATCCCTATCTAAGACAATAGGCATCTTCATCGCAAATCTAAAGAAAAAAAAATTAAAAACTCAATGGATTATTGATGCAACTCAAGCTTTCTAACCGAATTTTTCTGAAATGGAAAAAAAAAAAATTGATAAACAATAATTTCACCATAAGAAACTAGATACCACGCTTATAACTCATAATCTTCAATTAATTGAAGATTAAAGAATATTCTTTATTTTTTTTTGTTATATTTCTTCCTTTTGAAAAAGGGTTTGTACCGTTATCATATCAAAAGGTCTGAAATAGTAATATGCCCTCAAATTTACTTTTTATTTTGTTTTATACACATTAATCCATAACCTTCTACGAAAAAAAAAAGCCCTGTCTTAAAGAAATGAGTTGAATTACCATAACTATTTTTTTTTCTACAAAAATTGGCTCAATGATTAACCCTCTTGTCCCCAATGTATTTGCAGTTTGAGATTTAAAATTCACAGAGTTTTAGGAACTTCGAAATTGAAAAAATATTCTCGTTTTTACATGCTAAATGGTTTCAGAATATTATTTTCAGTTGCCACCTTATTACCGTTTATTATAACACTTAACAATAAAAAAATAATGGGCGACTGCTAACATTTAATATGAATGTCAACAAAAATTATTGTATGGTATTACAAAACATGTAAACATCGCAGGCTAGAAAATTCTATTCAATTTAGAATTCATTTATTTTACACACTCTGTAACAAGTATTGAAAAGCAGTGTAGTTGTCAAACATTGAAATTGCTGCAAAATTCCAGAAAAAATTTGAACAAAGAGCTTTTAATTCTTCAATTGATAATGCCCTTTTTTTTTCCCTCATATTTTTCCAAGAAAAAAAAATCACCCTATTCACAGTGTACACGAGATTATCTCCTTTACACGAGGCTACACACTGCATAGATGCATAGATGCATGCATGTAACTGTTGGTAGTATTTGATTTTTTTTTTTTTTTTTTTCTTTTGTTGCTCTTTTTTGAACCCTAAGATCTATCATCCATACTTCTTGAGTGAATTGCAGGGTAATGTACCGATCCAATTGATCCAATTGTCTTTTCTTAATATTTTCTACATTTTTGAAGGGAGAACGAGGTATTACAACTTTAGTGGTTTATTTATTTTTTTCTTGTCTAAATAAACAACGAAAATATTAATTTAAATTTAAATTTAAATTTAAATTACCAAATAGATTACAAGTTACAAATCTCAAGTTACAAACTCCATAATAAGCTATAAAGTACAAGTTATAAGCTATAAGTCATTGATAAATTAATAACCGACAAGCAGATTTTTTCTCAATCCTTTAAACTTCCCCCACCCACCCCACATAATTACTTTCAAAACACCTAATTTCACAACAATTCTCCGCTTTTCGACCTCCACTTTTAGCTACCACGGCTAAAGAATATCCTTGAACGGCTCTTCCCATAAAAAAGGTGTCATTCACTTTAATTCTCTCTCGCTCACTACTTGCTCCTCAGTTAATAATTATTGGCTTATAAGCTTGACAGAGGTAATTGCGATACCCTTGCAATATTCCAATATTTCAAAAGAATCCCCGCATAAACTCCATGGCCTTTAAATTGAATATAAATAGCATTCGAAACCCCACAATTTCTCTTAATTTTTTTTTATTCCCCACTCATTATTCTTTAAAAAGCCACAATCATATCAAACATAATCACTCAAAATCATATCACCATGGTTCTCTCTGGAACAACATTTTCTTCAGCCGTTAGGTTTCTTCAATATGAAAAGGTCTATGATAAATCCATTGATCCAAACGTTCCTCTTCTTGAACAGAAAATAACCAGCTATCAGTATGTCGAAGGCGCACCCCAATCGGTAAAACTTCCAAATTCGCAATCACCCGGATATTCCCATGTATTTCGCAATGCCCACTCTCCAGAAAAGCTCATCACATCCCCCCACCCCAGCATCAACACCGTTAAAGACTTCCTAGAATCTACTGTCCAACTTTACCCAGACGCCCTTTCTTTGGGAGAACGCAAATATAGCCCAGAAACTAAAACATGGTCCCAGTATGAATTTCAAACATTTGCACAGATCAAAGAACGGGTCATCAATCTAGCCTCCGGACTGGTTTCAGTGGTGGAAAGTCAAATCCATGGAGCACCCCATCCCGACAAGGAACAATACAATGTAGGGTTTTACGGACCAAATACTCGCAATTGGTTTATTGCTGACATGGCCTGCGTCTATTCCAATATCTGTAGCGTGGCCCTTTACGATACCCTTGGCAAAGATTCAAGCGAATATATCATCAATCTAACTGAAATGCCAGCCATCTTTGTGTCTATTGCTCACGTTCCCTTTTTGCTTTCAATTAAAAGTCGACTACCACATCTTAAGATAATCATATTGCTCAATGATTTTCACAACATTGAAGGCTTACCTAAAAATATACAAAAAATTGCCAACCGTGAAGATCTTACTGCCAAAGCGAAAAAGGCAGGTGTTGTTCTTTATGATTTTTCTGAAGTTGAAAGTATTGGAAAGAGGACTCCTAGAACATTAAAAGGACCTTCTCCAGACGATGTTTTTACTCTTAATTTCACGTCTGGAACCACAGGTAATCATCCTAAAGGTGTGATTTTAACACATGGAAATGTTGCCGCTGGAATGACAAACTCTATATATAAAGATGCACTCTCTTCGACAGATCAACAATATTATTTATCCTTTTTACCATTAGCACATATATATGAACGTCTTAATCTTCATATGTTTACTCTAAAGTGCTTTGCTGTCGGCTTTATTCACGGTGATGTTGTTACTTGTCTTTTCGATGACATTAAAGCTATCAGACCCCATTTTATTTGCGGTGTGCCTAGAATTTGGAACAAACTAGCAGCCCAGCTCCGAACAACAACGCTTGAAGCACCAGGAGACGTTGGAGAAATTTCTCGCAAAGCATACAGTGAAAAACTAAAAGTTCTTAAAAGTTCGGGAGATGTTAGAAATGAATTATGGGACCCGATGTGGACCGATAAAATAAGACAACAAGTAGGGTTTGACCGCACAGCCACCATTGCAAGCGGTGCAGCACCTCTTTCTAAAGACAACATTGATTTCCTTATGTGTGCACTTGGCGTGGATCTTCTACAAGGCTACGGGCTTACAGAAACGTGCAGTGGGTTTGCTGTCTCTAAAAGAGGCGACCTTGTTCATGGATCCAATGGTCCTGTGGCTCCAAATGCTGAGATCAGGCTCAGGAGTTTACCAGAACTAGGTTACAGCGTTAATGATTCCCCAGATCCACGCGGCGAAATAATGATTAGAGGTCCGCAAGTGTTCCGAGGGTACTACAAAAACGAACAGGAAACACTTAATAGTTTTGATGCAGACGGGTGGTTCCATACTGGCGACGTTGGTCGCATCGATTCGATGGGGAGAATATTTATTGTTGACCGCGTAAAGAATATGTTTAAGCTTGCACAAGGAGAATACGTTGCACCGGAACGACTTGAAGCTCTTTACTCATCATCATCGTCTCTCATTTCGCAAATCTTTTTAGATGGGAACTCTCACGAAAGATACCTTGTTGCAATCATTGGCGTAAACCCTGAACCATTCTCCACTTTTCTTAATCACCATTTTGGGATATATGTAAATCCCAAAGACTTACCCGCAATTAAAACCAAATTTTCTAGAAAAGATGTCCGTAAAGCATTTTTAACCAAAATTAATGACGAAGCACGACAAGCGGGAGTTCAAGGTTTCGAAGTGCCTAAAAACTTAGCCTTGTTTTTGGAACCTTTGTCGTTTGAAAATGGAACTTTGACACCTACAATGAAGCTGCGTCGCATTCCGGCACGCAAGTTTTATGAAACAACCCTGAAGGATCTTTATAAAGAAGGTCCCCTGGAAGAAAACCCCCTTAGACATTTACTGTAACAGATAAATACATATAAAAATTAATATAAAAAAATCAACAAAAACTAACGGGTATTCAGTGACCCAGAGCTATACTCCCGTAAAAAGTCAAGAAGGGCTTTGCTTTGAGACTTAGCATTATCTTCTTTGGGTTGGACTGCAGGAAGAGTTGCAGCTTCAATAGCAACATTTGCATCAGGCAAACCTGTGATAACCTGAGTAGGGGAAGGCATACGAATAAGACTTTGACCCTCAGGAAGGACAGTGGGTTGAGACACAGGCTGTGGGGTATTTGTTGCAGATCCTTTCTTTAATAGCGAAAGTAGCTCATTACCTGCATTTCCATTAGCAACTGGAGAAGAAATCGAAGGAGAGGGAGCAGAAGGAGCACTTGCAAAGATAGCGGAAAGTAATTGTTGAGATGATTCAGACTTGGAAGAATCTGAAGATAGATTTTCTGAAACCGATGGCGCGGCAGAAATTGTAGAGGTATTTGAAGAAATGGCTGTAGGTAGGTTTGACACAGAAGCATTGCTGGATCCATGTTGGATCAAATTAAGTAGATCTTTCCCAGCATTCGAAACTGTGGATACATCTGTAGGAGCGCTGTTATTTAGCGTAGGCTCATTATTGTAGAGTGTACTATGGGCAGGTGCAGGTGAATAGTTTGATTCTAAATCGCTAACGGTGAAAAATCCACTAACACGAGGGGAGGCCGTAACTGATTGTGTATCCACTTGTAAAGGTGCTTGCGCAGCTGCTTGAGGTTGTTGTTTTTGTTGTACGAAACTCTTAAAAATAGCATCTTTAATGCTTATTCCATTGTTAACTGGAGTGGCCGCTCTTGGTGATGGTGTATTATCATTTTGGCGAATAAGGTCAAGCAATGCTGCACTGGCGCTGTCTCTAGGGGCTGGTGTAGGCTCAACAGGAGGCAAAGTACTTTCAATTGAACTTAAAGTGGGGAAAGAAGATATGTTCGAAGGCTCCAGGGTATTTAATGGCTCCGAGCTAGTACCTTTCAGCATATTTAAAAGAGTTTGTGAGCTATTGGGTTTGACATCTGTTTCTGAGTTTCCATTTTCTATTATTTCCTGAGGGTCGATTTCAGGAACAGAATCAGGTAACTTCGACTTCAATATATTAAGGAGCGAAACACTATCTGCTTTATTTTTATTTTCGTCCAAAACGGGTGGAGGAGCTGGAAACTCAGGCGGGACAGGAGGTGTGGGTGCTGCAATCTTTGGCTTATGAAGCAAAGAAAGAAGTGCCTTAGAACTTGATCCAGATGCTGAAGAATGATTCACCTGCTTTATAGGAGCTTGGGTGATAGATGCCGTGGGAGATTTAGGCGTATGCTTTTTGCCCTTGTTTTTAGCCAATAAGGCTAGAAGAGTTGCACTTGTCGGAGGATGAGGAGCTTCTGGAAGTGAGCTTGTTAATGAAGTGCTAGGAGGAACTAATTGCAAAGGTGGCTGGGAGGTTTGTTGTGGGAAACTGTTTGCTATCATAGGCGAACCCAATACATTAGGAGGTTGACCCAGCATTTGCTGGGACTGGGGTGGTGGAGGAGGAGGCCCAGGAACTGGAATACCAAACATAGGGGGTGGATAGGGAACCATTCCATTATAAGGCATCATTTGAACTGGAACATTGGGAGGCATAAAATATCCCATATTGTTGACATAAGCACCGGGTTGAGGAGGAAGTACTTGTGGAGAAATATATGGAGGTACTCCAGTGGGAATATTTGAGTAAGGTATTTGATTTTGTGTAGCCTTGTGTAAAGCATCCTCTTCTTTCAAACGATCCATTTCTGTCTTTAATAATGATAAGAGCTCCTTTGCATGGTCCATTTCTGCATGAGGAGTTGAAACAGAAGGTGTATTTGCAGTTGAATTTTTAAGAAGCCCCATCAATACATTCTTATCACTTGATTGTGTCTTAGTGTCGGTAGATTTAAGAATGCTCAACAGTTCTGCAGCAGCAGCATCTTTATCAACAGGAATATTAGAATTAACACCTTGTTGATTCGGAGAAGTGACACCAAGCAAATTTTTGAGCGCTTCCGCCTCTGATTGAGAGATACTTGACGGAAGACCTCTTTTTTGAGCAATATACTTTGCAAGCTCTTGCATGAAAGGGGCAACCAAAAAGTATTGATTGACGTTTTCAACCTTCGATTCTGAAGAAAATGCTGGTAGTGTTTTAACGTCATGCCATTCAATTTTGCTGATTTCTTTTCGGGTTTGAGGGCAAAATTTTGTATTTCCTGGAACGCCACGAATAATGTAAAGTTTGAAATTCTTTTGACGAATTGTGATGTCTATAAAATCCTCAGGAACTAGGTAAGGAGAAATGTCAAAACCGATTTCTTCAAAAACTTCGCGTATGGCGCAGACATCATCAGGCTCATCTTTGTTGATTTTACCCCTGGGAAACCCCCATGTGGCATTCGATTTCCAACCTTTCACCATTAAAACTTTAGTCATTTTCTTATTTAATATTATTGCTCCTCTCACAGGAATAATGCTTTTGTAATTCTGAAATAATCCAATCGCTGAAGAAAGGTCTGAGTTAGAAATAAAAGTATTTAAAATGGGACAGACGCGAAATAAATGCTCAGAAAATGACTTTAGTCTCATGGAAGGAAAAGATGGGTTTTCGACGCGAACAAAGTCTTCGTAAAACCATTGCGCTTCTTCTAATTGAAAACAAAGACGCTAAAAATCAAAATCACAAAGTTATTAGATAGAGAATTTATCGTCAACACGGATATACATACTTCAGGCTTTTCAACATCTTCTTGAGGAGCATTTATAATAAAACGAACCGCCAAATCTTGAAGTGCTTGTACAAGAGATATACTCTTATACGAAAAATTTGAAGGAATAGACATTCTCTACTAATATATTTTTATGTCGTAAGTAGCTGTTTAAAATGTAAAGATATTGTCTATGATGTTCATTTGAGCTTTACGAATTGGAGGTGGTGGGTATGAAAGGTGGAGTTTATTAATTTTCTCGTAGGCTACCGTACGCGTTGTAGTAAACCACTGCTGGCGAAGATTACAGATGACTATAAATTTGCAGTGACATAATATTCGCAGCAAATTTTTGTTACAAATAATTATTGTAACGGGGGTTTGTAGCGGCGAAATGCTTTAGCCAATTGGCCGGTTCGTAACGTAATTATGCTTGTGCTAGTAGTCATGCAGCCTCACGATTAAATAAAAAAAAAAAAACTTTAAGATTATCCTCTTCTTTCCATTAGACTCCACGCTAAGACATCTGATTTTGAAGAGAACAGAATATCAGAGCCTTTTTAAATCTCTTGAATTCTTGGATAAATTTACTTTTTTTTTTCAATAAGATTATCGCTAGATTAAAAGTATAATATACTGAAAATGGGTTGGTTTTGGGCAAGTCCTCAAGATGGCTCTTCAAAGGTATGCTAATGTAAATGTTTTTTTACTTACAATATCGTAATTTCTAACGTTGTGTAGCCTGCTAAATGTCCTGTAGACCATAATAGCTTTACTGGGTGCCCTGTTGATCAGAAACCCGCCTCTACAGGCTGTCCTGTCAATCACAATGATTTTAAACCACAAGCTACACAAGTTTCATCGCAACCTCAGATGAGCGGATGCCCAGTTGACCATGAAACTCGCTCAAAATTTTCTTGGTTTAACAAGCCTTCTGGACCTGATGTTAACAATAATAAAATAAATCCTCTCAACAACATGCCCGACTTATCTTCTATGAGGGCTCCAGGCCAAAAGCTTGATCTCCCTACCGAGCGTACTCTTTCAACTATTCCTAGAGGTTCTACGAACGAAGAGGGTGTTTGGGAATACCCTTCTCCACAACAAATGTATAATGCTATGCTTAGAAAAGGAGGTGGTGAGATAGCTGAGGATGCAGTGGAACCGATGGTTGACATTCACAACTTTTTGAATGAAGGTGCCTGGTACGAAATCTTAAAGTGGGAGCAGCCTTACACGAAGGAAACAAAGATAGAACCTCGTCTTTTGAAATTTACGGGAAGACCCAACGACACATCTCCAAGAGCTCAGATGCTGCAAGTTCTTGGTAAAATATATCCTTCTAAATTTGGAATGCCACTTCCTTTCGATCGCCACGACTGGACTGTTCTTAGAGCCCAAAAAGATGGTCAATGGGAAAAGGTCAGATACGTTATTGATTACTATTGTGTAGATGACGAAAAGAACAGCGAAGATCCAGAGTTTGTTTTAGATGTTCGCCCTGCCCTAGACACCGTAACTAGTGCTGTTGATAGATTCAACTTTTGGTCTGGCAGCGTGGTTCATAAGGCTTTGGGATTTGAACAGCCTTATAAATAAATTAACCGAAATTTAAGTCCATACTAGGCATGTGATTCTCACAAAGACTAATGAATCCAATTAGTTTGGCGACTTACGACGTTTTACGTTTTTAATGTATATATTAATGATATTTATTTAGTTTTTTTTGTTAGCATTTTTATTAAATTTATTTTTTTTCAAGATGTTTTTTCAATGGAACTTGACAAACTTCTGATATCAAACATCAAAAGTTGTATGACTTGCAAGCTTGAAAACATTGACGAATTTTATAGATGTTTAAAACTTGTATTGTGATAGAATAAAAGTCGGGATGTTAGTTCTAAGTTGTAATAATAGTGTAACAAAAAAAATTGGAACGGCTTTACTTTAAAAAAATTTTTATGGTTAACATTTTTTTCAAACATATTCTATTCAATTAGTTTTTCAATTTCAGTTTCAATTTCAAAAAAAATCAAAAATGGTGAAATCTACAAAGAAGACAGAAAGAAGTTTAAAGTCAGCTTTAAAGGATTCAACTAAGTCCAAAAATATATCTTTTGATAATTCTTCAAATCAATTGGATAATAAGCCAGCTCAAGATGAAAAAAATTCAAGCGAATCTAAAAGCCCCGAGGCAGAGGCGACTAAAGGGACTGAAGAGAAATCAAAACTCAGTAAAATGTCTACCTTAGCTAAAATGACAACACCGGTTTTTAGAGTCGTTACTGGATCTTACGAACATAGTCTTTTATGTTTGTCTCTTTCTCTATACGATGATGGATCAGTTTTTACTCCCATTTTTCACTTTACACCTCACATCCAATCGATTCGATGTCTTGCCCGATCCAAGAGATACTTGGTTTCCGGTTCCAATGATGAGCACATTAGAATTTATGATTTACAAAAGCGAAAAGAACTGGGCACGTTGATGCAACATGAAGGCAGTGTCACAGTTTTGGAGTTTTTTGACAATAAATGGCTTCTATCTGCTGGTGATGATGGAAAAATATGTCTGTGGAGGACCCGTGACTGGGAAGTTCTGGGTGAACTCAAGGGTCACAAGGCTGGTGGAATTACCGATATATCTATTCACCCCTCCGGAAAAATTGCTATTTCAGCTGGTGGAGATCATACCTTAAGATTGTGGAATTTGATGACATGCAGAAAGGCATCGGTGTTGAAGCTTGGAAGAGATCTTCCCCGAAAAGTCCAATGGACTTCTTTGAAATTTGACAAAGCTGCTCATTATGTTGTTGGGTTTGACAAAAAAGTTGTTGTTTACTCATCTGAAAATGCTACACCAGTTGGAAAAACATTTGTGTTTAGATCCACTCTTCAACATATGGAGCTATATATTCTTGATGACGTCGAGTACGTTGTCACATCTCACGACAATGGTTCTGTCAACTTCATTCCTTTGACAGAGCTTTTGAAAGAACCCAAGGAAGGCGAAGAAGAAATTTCTGCAGAAGGATTACCCGAATCAGCATTCAAACTTCAAGGTCATGCTTCTCGCGTCAAACACTTTAGCTTTTTCTACAGTCAACCTCGCCAAACTACCTACATGTCTACTGTTTCTTCTTCTGGCATGCTTGTTATTTGGAATCTAAATAAAGATGTCCGTGATCAAGTTGCAGCCTATCAGACTGGTAACAGATTAAACTGCTGCATTATGTTCCCAGATGATATTGAGCGATTTGAAACTATGAAGAAGCGTCGCAGAATTAATGACGATGGTGATTTCTTGTCAGAGGCTGAGGAAACAGACTTTTCCGAAGCTGAGAGCGATTTTGAGTCAGATTTTGAAGGTACAAAGCCCACTCCAGCTTCAAAAAGTGAGAAGAAACGTAAGAACAAGAAGAAAACTAAAAAACCAAAAGTTACTGTTGAGTTTGAATAAACTTAGATTAATTATAGAATTTGTTTCATAACACTCATGATAATAAAAATACAAGGATTACAATAATGAAGAACCAGAAGGTCCAGTTGCAGGTGTATTTTGAGGCAGTGTGGGAGGAGCCGCAGATCCCTGATCATTCCCACTTCCGTAACGCTCATTGTACATAGGGCATGATTTGTTGGTTCTAATATGACCAATGGCACCACATGTAGCGCATTTTCGGGTTGTAGATTTACCCTTTCCAACACCTTTATTACTTTTACTTTTCTCAGAACTTGCACCAGCAATAACTGTTTTCTTTGGGGGTTCCAACCCAGCCTTAATAGCTCGTCTCACCATACGGCGATCCTGGTTGCGTTGTAATTTTGCAAGTTCCTGTTCAAGAATCTTTCTATGGCGCTTGTTTTTCTCGCCGTCATTTGTGAGAGTGATTTCATCGGTGCGTTGACTATAAACAAGTTAGTATAAATTTCGGTAAAAAAAGAAAAAAAAAAGAAAACATACGCCATAAGTTCATCTTCAATTTTTTGCCGACGCTTAACATAAGCACGGATTAAATTAGGATCGGTAACAAGTTCAACCTGGCGTTGAACTGTACCATTTTGATCTCGAACAAACCGAGTGATTCTCAGCACTTTATTTTGTTGATTACCAGATGCATGCGAAAACATAGATTCACTGTCACCTTTAGGCTGAGGGGTATTTACGGTGCTTTGAGCGTGTGAATCACCATCTCGTTTCATCTCATCTTCGTCCCAAGTTAAATGGTCTGTTTTAGGGTTGGATAAGGATTTTGCTTGGGTATACCAAATACGTTTTATTTCTTCGTCATAAGCTTTTTGCTGAAGAGCAACATTATAACTATGACCACCAAATTTGGACTTATCAAGTCTTTCATTGACAGACTCACCCATAGCACGGAAACCACCCTTCATGGATGTACGCAAAAAACTGAAGGCTTCACCACTTCCTGATGGATCACCTTCACCATGAAGTTGAAGCATGGCTTTTCCTTGTGTGGCATTAATAAAGTTGCGAGTGATATTCCAAGGCGCAAGTTGCTCCTCAATGCTGGTCCCCTCTGCTTCATCATCATCATCGTCAACTGTTTTTCCATATCCAGCATCTTCCAAATGTTGTTGACCAACCTGCATGGCTTCAAGAAGGGCAATATCTTCGGGAGTGATCATAGCTCGAATGCCATCTTCGTTGGGAAGAGTTTCTGTAGGTTTTATTTTCCAATAACTGTAGTCGTTGCCTGTACGCTGGAATACCATAAACTCCTTAAGACGCTGTCTATTCTGCATTTCATTATGATCAGGGAAGTGTGGAGAAAGATCCTTGACATTAATACGATGATGTTCGTCTTTGTTGAGCAAACGAAACACAACCATTTTAAGGCGGTTTTTACTAGCCGTGGTAACTTTTCGGGAATGAGGTCCGGGAATTGGAGTAACTGGAAATGTCTGACCAACACTAAAAAGATATGGAATAGATCGCAAAAAGTACTTCACACCTTGTCCTCCTCCAGTGGATCTGACCAAAAGAAAATCTGTAGAATTTGGATCGTGTCTAAATATTGGTGCACGGATCATTTTGTTATACAAGGCTGGCACAACATTGCCAGGCTCAATAAAACCAAAATTCCAAAATGCACTCTTATCTTCCACACCCAAAACATTAGTTTCACCAGTGGGGAGCTTAGGGCGTGTGCGATCATCTGGACTTGTTTTACGGTAATAATTTATAAGTTTATTACCCATGCCAAAGTTTGATAAAACAAGAGGGAACTCTTCTGAAAACTCCAGCATAAAAAATTGAGCAGAGTCGCCAAGTGTGAGGTCGGTGGTTTTTGATAAAAGCTCAGTAATAGGTTTTCCTTTATCACGTTTTCTTTTTCTCTGTTTGATTTTAGAAAAATGAATGACAGTTCCCGGCTTAATGACAAATGAAGGTCTATGGAAAGAGCGCATTTCGTCTTTAGAAAGTTTGACCTTATAATGAGGAGACTGAAGTCTTTGAGCAACCATTGAATGATCAATAGTGAGCTCACTGATAATGCTTCTGACTTTAGACTGATAATTTTCCTTGAGTAAATCATAAGCCCTATCGTTGGATATATTGTATCTTTGAAGAACGCTTTTGTTAGATATATCAGTAGGCTTGGAGATCTGATTAGAACGGCGATTGTTTGAAGCCGGTTGCCTTAAGGATTGATTAGTGTCTGTGAATAGTAAATGATTGTCATTCATATCCAAAATAACTTTAGATTTGTCAAAATTAAACACGCCTTCAAAAAATCCTTCTTCTTCTTCAGAATCATACATATCAGGATGATAAATTTTGACTCGTTTTGAAGGGCGTCCCTCGTCCTTTTTCACCAATGCAGTAGAATTTTTAGATTCTTTTTGTATATTCTTATTGGTCGTATTGGTTGTCTTCTTGTTAACAGATGAATCTTCATCACTGTCTTCATCACTACTATCAAAACTGGTAGAGGTGCCATTAACTTTAGGAGGAGTTTTAGGAGAATCAGTGTCCATATCAACATCTGAATCTGATGACCCCCATATTTGATCAAGATTCCAATCTGCAGTCGCAATTAAAATATTTTCTTCTTCTCGGAGAGGGTTTAATTTGTTGTGATCTAGACTTTCAATGTCACCCTGTTTTCTATATTTTGAGTCCGATACGGCTGCTGTGGTATTGGGATTTATATTTGTAACGTTTCCATAAAAAGTATCAGCATTCCTAACAGTTCTGCTGCGCTGAAATAAAGACTTTTGGTCTGGTTCAATTTCAAGAGAAACTCTAGCTGGAACTGCTGGTTTGGGGTTTTTAGGAACTGGAAGAACGTATTTCTTTTTTTTGTCTAAGGTAAAAAGGGAATTCATTTTCAAAATTTTTCCCTTGTGGAAATCCGGATAATAGCGTCTAAGTGTATCTTCTTCTATTGATTTATTGTTCTGTTGAGTAATGTTATTTTGATCTCTTGAATTTGTCGATTCGTCTTTCAAAGCAACTGTTGAAGTATTAGAAGGTATTCCAATAGTTACTGGAACTATAGGAAGAGAGTCCATAGGTCCCAAAGAAGATGGAAGCCCTAGACCCATGACACCACTTCCTCCCACAGTAGTGGATGGTAATGTAAAGTTGGTTAATGAGTCAAACGAAGGAAATGCTGATGTTCCCATCACCGACGTAGCTGGATTCGCTCCAGTAAACCAGTCGTCATCAAAAGTCATTGCCGAGACTGCTGCAGCATAGTCACTTCCAACACGTTCTTCTAAACTCATTTCGCGACCTAATGGCGGTGCAGTGCTCATAGAAAAAAAGTCAGCTGGAAGTGTCGTAGATGTTGATAAGGGTAATGTCGAAAAAGCATCACTTGTTGTCGGAAACATCATACTTGAGCCATTTCCTGTTGATGGTGCCCAAAGATTTGTATCAGTTCCAATTCCAGACGAATTTGACGCGTTTAAACCAGGTACTGCTGATGAAATAAGGGGCACCACAAGCCCTGTTGACGCGACCGGCGCGGAAATAGGAAAACCTCCTGGAACCGTTAAAGATATACCGTTTGATGAAGTTGTGGTCGAAAAAGGTATAGACTTCGTTGTTGTTGATGAAATAGCTATATTTGTAGCGCCTGGCTTTGGTAATGACTGATCATCCTCGTCAATTGGATTATTTCCGCTTGGGGCCTCTTCGTCTGGCAAATCATCATCAGATAAATCTTCATCTGCATAATCGATAGCATCAGCAGCATGTTTTACAGCTCCCGAATCGTCTCCTTTAGCATTGGTAATAAGCTGATCAACATTGCCGAAGCCACCACTCATCAGCTTTTTCCAGTCATCGTCACCACGTCCATCTTCCTCATCTGACATTATAGCTAAAAACTGTAACTGAGATTATGCTATTAATGTAAGAAAAAAAATAGATTAATGGTATTAATAGAGTAAATTAAAAATCACGTAAAATAAAGTAAGCGAAAAAATATATGAAAACCTAAGACGCGAAAAAAAATAGGTGGAGGTGGAAAAATTAATGGTTACAAATTAGGCCCTAACCCTCAATAAAATAACTACGCCACTTAAGTGGGTTAGGGTTTTATTTTAAATTTGATCAAAAGAACAGATTTCTGCTTCAAGTTATTAACACTCATACTATTGAAACCTTAGGCTGGATAATCCAGCTTTTTCACTTAAAAATAAGGAAAACATGTATTTTGCAAAATAATATTTTATGAAGATTCCCTATTTTTAAATATAACTACGCCCATAAACTGGCTCAGAAAAAAAGAGATTTCTTTTGTTAAAAATCTCCATACATGAGCAGCCACATCCTGAGGGGCACTCCACAGCCTTTTCGTTTGTGAACCAGTCTTCAGCACATGTATCATGTAAAATGTGTTCACATCGTAAACAAAAAAAGTAGCGGTTATGTTCCGTGACTGACAAATGGCAATACTGGCAAAGAGGATATTTAGTTTTCTCTCTATCTTGCTGAACCATGTGAAGGCCTTTGCCCTTAGCTCGAGCATCATAAGGGTTGTGTCTGCCGTGGAAAATGATTTTTGCAAGATGTAAACTATCAAATTCTGAAATTCGTTTAGGTTGATTATGGGATATGTCACTTTGTGGGACATTTGACGAATAAAGTGTACCGAAATCATTATTGAACTTGGGTTTGTAATAAGCGTCGGACAAATGAAGGTAATTGAACTTCAAAACCTCTAAACTTTCAATTTCAAGACCCCATGAAAACAATATTCCAGCGTATTGCATACGGTAACCTTTGTATTTAGCCTCCTTTGACTGATCTAACAACGGTATTGGCTTTAAACTTGATTCATCGTCAAGCAGCTCGTCGTTTACTATTGTGAGTTTCATTCTTGGAATACAAGAATTTGGAGGTGGTTTAAAGTGAATCACTTGTCCAGAATGTTCTGTTCTGGAAAACTGCGCGTCATAAATACTGTTTCTGCTCGTAACTTTAGTAAATGGAAATCCTGTTCCGCCAATATTAAGTGTTGGACTATAAATCTTTTCGCCAGTTACAGTTGACCTTTTAGGAGGCGAATTGAAAACACCATGAGAAGTGGAATTGCTCCTAAGGATGTTTTCGTTTGAATTTACGAGAGGTGTTGTTGTGTTACTGTGTGAAGGGCTGTTTATTGCACTGGGTAGCTGAGACATTGTTAAAAAACTCGATGAACGCGGAAGATGTGGTTTATTTGAATGATTTCCATGCAAGTTAAGATTATGCGATATACTTCCCTTACGAGAAATTAAGCCAGTAACTGCGCGTTTTGCCAAAAATTTTTCAGGTGACAATATTATATCATCTCTGCTAATTTGATAGTCATCAGTAGATTGGTCTATTTTTGTAGCAGACCCAAAATCCCAGGTGTTCATTTTTGAAAAGGGACTTGCATGTCCAGCTGTTTCTGGAATAACGGGTATTCCTGACGATGCATTTGTGGTCAATGCTGCATTCATTTGTAATAACTCCTCGAAATTAGACATTGGACTATCAGTGGTTTCTGAATCCATATTTTGGTAAACTGATAAAAGCCTTTGTCGATGATTTGTTTGTGGAGTTGAAAAACTAGAAACTTGGGTATATGATGGATCTTTATCTCTAGAGGAAGAAAAGGAAACAGATGCAAAAATGCAAGACATATTAGCCAACATTTGAGGATCCTGTCGTTTTTCAAAATAATTAAAAAGTCGCTCGACAAGCCACTTACGTCCATAGGGATGATTTCCCCATTGGAACTTTCCTTGGACAAAATCTATCAGGTTTCTAGTACCTTGATCAATATTTTCTCCCTCAACATATTCCTCAATATTATTCAGATTAATCTCAGTCGTTAAAATCATTTCAAGCAACCGCCAGCAGTTTGCAAGCTCGATACAACCGTGTTTTCTAGCCACAATAGAGTTATGCTGACACATTTGTTCAGGGGAAGAACCCATTATTACATATTGTGCAGCCAGTTCTGGTCGAGCAGGAATCATATGTCTGAAATCCCGAATGACAATAAGATTTTTCTGGTTATCCTCAACTATTTGATGAAGAGAGTTTGTCGGTTGTGATCGGTTTTCCATTGGGCCATATCGAAGTGCACCAGACACGCTGCTCCAGTGTCTGGTTCTTCCAAGAGTGCTCCATCTGGTGTGAAAAAGTCCCTCATCTGCACTAGAGTGTGAAAAGTTGCTGTCATCAAAATCTTCCTCACTTTCATAGGAATGTAAAGAATTATTTAAGGCTAATGGTAATTTGTTTGATGAATGGTCCACACCATATTGGTAGTCAGTATTAGAAGTCTTGTCACGTTTTTTGCCTGAAAAAAAGCAAACAAGCTGGCCACTTTTAGACCACACAGCCCCAGAAGTTCTTTTTGATAACAAATTCTCCCTTCTTGGAATAGGGATTTCTGAGGACTTTTTAATCATGTAGTCTAAATTGACTTCATCTAGGGAAGACTGAGAAGAAGAAAATTGAGAATCATAAAGTGGATTTTCCTTTTGTCGAAGTTTGTTCTTTTTGGATTTGTCAAAAAACCCATCTTCATCATTCGATATATCCTCATCTGTAGCATCGCTTTCTTTGTGATTTATTTCCAGCTCTTCATCGTTCAGATAATCACTTAAAGAAACTTTTTCTCCAAGTAAAATTCTGAGACATGGCTCTAGACAATATTTACCATGTTTTGTCAATTCTGTAGAAAAGGCAGTCAATTCCAACTGCAGTTCCTTGATTGCATCAGTAGAAAGTTTATAATTGTCACTAAGAGAAAAAGTCGGGGCACCATGTGGATAATTTTCTGGAAGTTGAATATCAACTCTTAAAAATATCAGTTCATTTAAATTATCATATTCGCCAGATGGTGCCCTGTTAAGAGTAATAGTAAGTTTGCCAGTAGTGATTGAAAGTTGTTCAAAGTTAATCGTTGGAAACAAGTTATTAACCAGACTTAGTTCTTCACCCAAATTTGCAGGTGTATTAGATTCCAAATATCCTCGAAGACTATCACTATTTCCCGAACCAAGATCTGATGGCTCTGTGGCACATGCAGAAAGCCCTATTCTAACGCCAGCAACCCATCTCAAATGGTCTCGTGTTGGCTCATGGTTAAGAGCTAATGGTCCGGCAGCTCGTGTCATCATAGCTGGGGTGCTTCGGTTGCGACTACTTTTGTGTGCAAAGGTACTGGATAAATGAGATATGACAGCAGGTGAAGTTCCAAAAGACCCTCGCTGCATTCGAAAAGATGTTGTTCGTGAGTTGGCAGGTATTATCTCGGGTTCCTTGTGGTAAGTTTTATACTCAGCACCTGCACGAGGCATTGCCATACTTATCCGGCTACCGTAGACATAGTTAACCTTTTCCAAAGTTTCGCGCTTAACAGGCCAGAGTCGAACGTCATAGTCGCGGGCCCATGTGACAAGCTGAAACTCGCGGTCTTCAAATTGTGGATTTGATCCACCTTTGTATCTCCATAGAAATTCGCGAAGTGGAGCGTTGTGTGCTTTAAACTCGTGAACTCCTTCAAGCTGGACTGCCGATCCCTTGGGTAACTTTGAAGCACTAACGTCTACTAAAAACAAGGAGTCGTTGCCGCCCCGTAATGGCATAATTGCACAACCTGTTCCAAACGGTGTATGACGGGCACGGCCCACTGGGAAGTTAGTTTTTATAGTAGCTTCAGGGGTTCCTTTAGCGCAAGATTCGGTATCATTGAGATCCCATATTTTGACGGTCATATCATTTGAACAGGACATTAGCTTATTTTGTCCAGAGCGCGAAAAGTCAAGTCCGTTGACTTTTAATGAGTGTGCGGGGATCGATACCACCGGAATAGAATTGTTGCGGTCATCCCATATTAGAACGCGAATATCGTGGCTTGATGCCAACATATGGCTGTCAGCACGACTCCATTTGACTTGGTTGGCACCGGAGAAAAAGTCGGCATAACTTTGATGAGGGCGACGGTGATCTCGCAAGTCCCAAGTATGGATGTAAGAATCGATTGAAGATGTTGCAAGAAGTACGGGATCAGTAGTATGGAAATTTATGTCTGTGATAGCACGCGAGTGACCGTGAATAACTGTTTGAATGGCGTTGCTAGATGGGAGGTCGAGATTCCAAAGAAGTGCTTTTTGATTAGATGTTGATATCACCCAATTAGGAGTAGCTGCATGAGGAGACCATTGTACATCGGCAACTTCCCATGAAGTAAGATGGTGCAGCCATCGTGGTGGGCTAAAAAGATTGTCAAGGTCTATAACATATAGACCGTTTCGGCTGTGGACTCGGGTTAGAAGGAATGGCAAACAACATTTAATGCAACTTACGAGGCTAGGACAATGTCGCGGCTACTTGGACTAATGGACATAGCACCCGCAGATTGGTCAACGCGAATAGCCACGGGTTTCCTGAATGTCGTGCTATCCTCGTCATTTTTGTCCTTCTTGTTAAACATTGGTTTGGTGAAGGTCTAAAACTAGGATTTTAAGGGAGTGGTGAGGAAAAGTCAAAAAAAAAAAAAAAAATACATCTGTACCCCCTAAAAAAAGCATACACTCGTACACACACATAAAAAATTACATAGCCGAATATGAACACTGTTCAACCGTATATTCAGATTTATTTGTATATATAAAAAATTACATTTAATGCTTTGCTGAAAAGAAACATCTAAATTCAGCTTTACTAGATGATTGGGCCTTAAGCACCAAAGGGTGAATAATTTCCCAAGGAGGATGAGTGGATTCCCAAAGGGCTTTACGGTCCACGGTTGCTTCTTTGATAGAATCATAAAGCAACGAGTAATTTTGTAGCATCTCAGGCGTTTGGAACTTTTCCATTGTGACTCGGATTAATCCGATATCTGCAATGGCCTGAAGCAAACCATACCGTCCGAACTGTTCCACTTCACGGTAAGATGCCAACAAGGTTTTAACGACATGGTCGTACAACACAGTAATGACCTTAGTTATTTGGCTAGGTGCAATCTCCGAGACATGAGAGTGAACCACCACAATATTCAAGAGACACTCGTAAACATATGAACTGACTGTTGGAGGAATTTCCTGCTCATTGGAACTCCAATTGATCCCCGACTTTAAAATGCCCTGACGAAGACCTTCCGCCAGCAGTGTCTTCTTGCGGCGATTATAAAGCTCAAACAGAGTGCTAGTCATTTTCTCTATACTTGAGCGTAAGGTACCATATGCTTCCTTAGAATTTGTATTGATAAAGGCATCAAGACGTTTAAACAAAAGTGGCAGCTTGTCGTCACGAATTTGTTCCAAACTCGTAAGAGTAAGAAGAATCTTGCGCTCTTCACTGACATCATCGGGTAAAAGCTCAAGTGCCAAAAATTTGTCCATAGGATCTGTTCCAACAGTTGGTTCAGAAATCACTTTGCTCGATCGGTGTCGGTCAGTTTTTTCTGAAGAAATCATTAGTTTCATCACTGAGTCAAGAGTTGCAGAGACAGTATTGTAAAAACAATTTTGAAGTTGATTTGTTAGTGTGCTGGATTTAGGCGGTATTACAGCACCCTTAATTTCCTGTCCGTCGCTTGAGAGTTTCAACACATCATTTATACCCATCAGGACTGTGTTTTGATATGCATAGAATAAATTGGGAATTCTTGTTGATGCACGGGTTTGTGATGGCATCCAGTCCTCAATAAGGTAAATAGTTTCAGCATCCTGTTCCCAAGAGTAAATGGTAGCATTGACAGCACGCTCGCGAATTGACTTTAAAACGTTACATAATGACTCCGTAGTTTTTGCAGAATCAATATTAATGACCAGTTCATTAAAACCAGAAGAAATCAAAAACATAATTTTTGAAAGATATTTTGTTGTGCTAATGGCGTTGGCAAAAGGCGGTAAAAACTTTGGTAGTTCATCCTTGCCAATTCTGTGAGCATGGGGCAACGCTGCGGTGTTTGACTTTGAAGCACCAGAAACCATGGTTAAAGGTGATGAAGTTTCCGAAAAAAATTCGTAGATCTTAGTTGAAATCAAAGAAATAATTTTTTGGCCACTTTCCATAATGTTTGAGAGTTCGTCATCAGAAAAAGTTAAATGGCTGAGAGATTCGTTTTGCCAACCAGTCGGCAAGCTACGCTGGGGGGTTCCTTCAACAAACTCAATGCAACGCTTCCAGCAAAGACAAAACATGGAAATCAGATTATTAATATCTTGAAATTCAAGACGAATGGCAAGCCACATCTCAACAACGCTAGAACTGTCGTAAATGACCGATGATGAGTTTCCATCAGCTATAGAAGAATGTTCAGCATTGATAGAAATTTTGCCAGAAGAAGAAAAAGATGATTGTTCTGCAATGCTTCGAATGGCCCTAATAAGAGGAATGGATGGGTTCTGAGGGACAGCAAGAATGTTTGCGGTATAAATATCCAGAATAGAATTGAGTTTTTTAAAACTGGCTTCAAAGCTTTGTTCAAAGGAAGTAAGCTGAGACGAAATCCACTCAAAAATTGGATTGTCTTCAACACCAAGCTCTAACAGCTTAGTGATTATAGAAATATAGTTTTGGTCTGCTGTGGCGTTTGCCAGAGCCTTCCACTCGCGCTGTTTGTACTCATCGACAATAGCTTCAACTTCATTCCAGATACGCTCAAGAACACGCTGTTGCTCGATTTTAGCAGTAAGGGTATCAGAAGACATTAAAATATCAGTTTCGTTTGAGCGCATATCTTTTCCTCTACGGTAATCTCTGATAAGACTGTCGTGGTCATTGTTGTTAATATGGGAAAGAATGAGACTTGGGAGATTGAAAAAATACTTGTTGCTATTGACAAGTGAAAGAGCAGTCTTAAGGCGTTCATCTTTGTTATTATTATCCATTACAGGCTTCATTAGAATGGTAGCATTGGCATTAGATTCATCAATGTAATTTTTGAGTTGTTGGAAGCCTAAAGTAGAGTCTGGGTCATTAAATGCCGCGGCTTGTATGTTTTTAAAAACAGAGTCTAACGAAGACTTGGCTTGTACAAAGCGGTCATAGTCATGCTCTACTAAGTATCTCAAAGCCTCAGAACGCTCCGAAATTGTAGACTCCAAATAGTTCAGAGCATTAACAAGGTTATCAAAAGTTGCATCTGGGTGCACGTCGCGCAAAAACACTCGTGGATTAAAGCTCGTTGAAGAGATAAAATAACGGTTTCGTTTAGAAAAATCTGAAATATCAATTCCTCTTGATCGAAGAACAGAAACAATAGAGTTTGTAGAACCCAGTGGGTCGGGTTCATCTTGAGGGACCTCGTAAGGAGCAGCAGAAGCAGAGGAAGCGATCTGGCGCAAAAGGGCGTACTTAGAAGAATCACCAGTGGCTGAAGAGCCCAAGTCGTTCAAGTTAAAAGTAGAAGAGTTGGGCTCCGTCCATTCAGTGCTGTATTCATCAGAAAGATTGTAGAATTGGCGAAGCCTGTCAGGGTCTGCCATGGTGTGTTGATTGAGAGTCTAGGTTGATTGTGATGTGAAAAAAAAAAAAAAAAAAAAAAAAAAGGCGGTGATGTGTTGGTCACTTTTTTTTTCTGCTCAACCGAAAAAGTAGCGCACCCGAACCCTAACAGGAATTCTATTATTAAATACACCTATGTACAGACCATCATATTTTTTTTTAGTTTTCATCTCAAAAGACTATTAATATTATTATTTTTTTTGTCATTCTATAAAGTCACTTGTAAAATCGTTCATAGGGGGTCATGAGTAAAGAGGTAAGAGATACTCTCGCCGTTGTGAAGTCTGCGAATGGCCTCGGCCAATGTTGGAGAGATGTCAATATGGTCAAGCTTGGGGCAGTCCGCGTTATCGTGGGGAACAGTGTTTGTGCAGACAACACGGTCAATAGGAGAGTTATTAAGACGCTCAAAGGCTGGACCAGAAAAGATACCGTGAGTGACCATAGCGACAACAGATTTGGCGCCGTTGGAAGTAAGAGTTTCAGCAGCCTTGACAAGAGTACCACAGGTATCGGCCATATCATCAACAAGGACACAAATCTTGTCACGCACATCGCCAACAAGAACCATGCGAGAAACTTCATTAGCACGCTGGCGTTCCTTGTGAATCAAAGCAAAGTTAAGATCTAAACGGTCCGCAATGGAAGCTGCGCGCTTGGCACCACCAGCGTCAGGCGACACAATGACGGCGTTTTTGTAGTCTAGGTTTTCGCGAATGTAACGGAGAGTTGCGGGCTCAGCGTAAAGATTGTCGACAGGAACATCAAAGAAACCCTGAATCTGGGAGGCGTGCAGGTCCATAGTGATAACATGGTCACAGCCAGCCTGTTGAAGACACTTTGCAACAAGCTTTGCCGTGATTGGCGCTCGGCTCTTGTCCTTCTTGTCCTGGCGCGCGTAAGAAAAGTTGGGCATGACGGCAGTGATGCGGCGAGCAGAAGCAGTTTTGCAAGCGTGAATCATAATGAAAAGTTCCATGAGATAAGTATTAACATCACCGCAACCAGTCTGAATGATATAAACGTCTTCATCGCGAACAGACTCACCGATAGTGACCGAAGTCTCGAGGTTGGCATACTGGGACACATTAACCTTGGCAAGCTCAAGACCAAGACGCGCAGCCACGCGGTTTGCCAGGTCAGGGTGTGAGTTACCGGCGAGTAGTTTAATGGAGTTTGTGCTCATTATGAGAAGATGGAGATGAGGAATAGAGACAAGATAGTTGGTTGACAACGAAGGTGGGGAAAGGAAAAGAGAAGAAGAAAGAAACTGAAAGGGCCGGGATTTTCAGGATTTTCCGCACACAAAAATTTTTTTTCTGGAGGTTTAGGAGCACGGCTGGACCGGCAGGACACACGGTAGAGCCACCGGGGCGCACGTGTTGGGATGAGTATTTGTGAGAATTTAACGGTTTTTTAAAAGATTTTTATAAAAATTTCAAGTTTCTTTAATTTAATAATAATAACAATATAACAACGACAACATGTCTTTTATAACAATGACTACTAGATACAATTCTATGGCGACGGGCCCATTGTGATCCATAGACTCAACCGCTCCGTCACCATTTCCTCATGTGGATCCACGCTCTGATGCCGCGATGAAGGTAGCAGCAAAGGCGTCGTTGTTCCACTGTTGGCACCACTGCTTGTCCCGCCGGTTGCCGATAATCCGCTAGGAATGCTGTTGAGTGCGGCTGTCAAGGCCCTCTTGCCAACCTTGGAAATGGGACCGCCAATATTACCACTATTGCCTGGACCACTACCACTACCACCACCGCTGCCACTGTCACCGCTCAAGTTGGGGCTGTCAATTCTGTTACCACTCCCACTAATGCCGTTACTGTCATTTTTGTTATCATTTCCACCACTTTCAGCCGATGCACTTACCACAAACTCCAGAAGATTAAGTCCTGTGGCCAAACGTACTTCAAAGCGCGATGAAATGGGTGCATTGGGATCTGCCCAAGGCGATGTGATCGACGATTGGTAAGGTTGCACAAGAGTGCCGTTATGGGTAAGTACAACAAAGTGATGTCGATGGTTAAGAGACTCATTCAGTAGAGCTACAAGAGAAAAGGTATGATGGAAGTATGGTACCCAAAAGGCAAAAGCACGTTCACGGAAATGTTCCGAAACAGGGAAATGAATTTGAAACATGCTAAGCTGCTGCGTGGGGGGGATTGGATTCTTAGACTGGTGGTATTTGCTGATAGACGGAACAAGTGAAGAAAACGAAATATACTTGATGAGCGCATCAGATACTGGCTCCTCCTTAGAACGACGAATCGAACTATAATTAACAGTTGTATCCAGGAGAGGTTTCTCAGGCAAAGCTTTTTCAGGTAATGTAGAGAGTGATCCTGTTGGCACCAAAGTGCCATTTGTCAGAGTCGATGAATCTGAAGGAACAGTTGTCACCAAGGATTGAGGACCTGCTGGTATAGCATGAGAAGATACAGATGCAAGAGTAGGTACAGATGGGACATTTACTTGTGCTGAGATAGCAGATGTCGATAATTTTGATGAGGAAGAAGAAGAAGATGGTGTAGCTGTTGCATTTTTTAATAATGATGGAGTTGGTGTTGTCGTTACCGCTGTAGTTGCAACGGCTGATTTGGTTTGACGTGTAACATTGTCAGGAGCACGCTCTGCTGTAACGGTACGTGGGCGACCGCGTTTTTTAGGAGGGGTTGAAGTAGCCGCCTTGAGATCTGTAGCCTGCTGTTGAGGTTGTGACTGCTGCTTTTTCTGAGACTGTTGCGTTGCTGGTGCTGGTGAATTTTGAGAGAGGTCCTTAGCATGAGCATTTTTAACGGATTTCGGAGGGGATGCAGACTTTGTTGTGGCCATAGAGACGGCAGTAGTAGTCGTAGCATTAATATCGGATGTATTACTCTCTTGTTTATTATTGGCAGGTGACGATGCATTCTTCTGTTGTTGTTTGGATGTACTGATGGTGATTTTTGGCGACGGCTTGTTGTCTTTTTGTGGAACATGCTCGTCGTCTTCCCTGGATTTGGAAGAGGATCTGAGACTGATCTTGATGCGGTGAGAAGAAGGAGCAGGATTCGGTGAAGTTGGAGAGGACGTCGACGAAGATTGATGGTATGATGAATGAGGTTGATCCTCTTGTTGTTCAGAAGATGGCTCTATGAATTCCTGCTCAGAAGCCTTAAGTTTAATGCGCTTAGGCAAAGGTGGAGAAGCCGACCCTGGTTTGAGTTTGATTTTTAACCCAGAGTTTCCATTAGCTTGTTGTTGTTTTTGATCTGCAGTACTGCGGGTAGTACGTGTTTTGGGTGCGCCGTTCACAACATGTATAGTTTCACTAGTATTAGCTTCACTGCTGTTGTCCTCCTCATCCGGGTAATCTTTGGCTGCAGCATAGTCAAACTTGGAGGCCCAATTCAAGAAACCTTCTGGGGGGGTGTTGTTTTCTTCAAGTTGCTTTAAGCTACGGTCAAAACGCATGATAGATGTTTTTTGGAGTGCGATAGAGTCTGAATAAATGGTGCTCTCCGGGTCATTGTATTGTTGGGCATTTTCGAAAATGAGGACCACAGCATCTCGAAAGTTTGTGGGCTCAAAGAACTTGCCATGCCACAAGGAAGTCTTGACATTAAGAATGGAGGTTGGGGATTTGATGATTTTGTAATAATCGGGGTACTCCTTGCGCAATGGAACCTCGACGAAGGGGTCACACATAAATCTACTATTTTTGATTCGGGGTTTATAGTACTGAACCTCGTTAAGGACACGGGCCTCCATGTCCAAAACATTGGAAGCGTAAGACTTAAACTCAGGGGGGATCTTGCGCATCAGATTGAACTTGTGTACAAAACTAAACAGTTTGAGCGAGGTTAGAAAGATGGCTGACCCACGCGTATTGTAAGCCTGAGCATTGCCGCACAACAAGTCAAAGTCATCGAGAATTTGCTGGGAAGAGTGATACGCGCCATTAGAATGTTTGTTGTAAATATCTGAGAGTGAAATAGGCGAAGCAATGGTGACGTAGTAGTCTGGGTAAGCGGACTTGTCCGGCAGCGAGTCAAAGGGTGCGAGGTCTGTTGGGGTGAAAAAGGTCTTAAGAGAAGATATCAGGGTAGAAAAAAACTTGGCCACGACCTCGGGGGGGTCTCCTCCTCGATTGGACTTTTTAGAGTTGGTTCCATCACGGGTTGCCGAAAGACCAGCCTTGGAGGCTTTCCGTTTGGAGGCCATTATTGGTGCGTTATGTAAATTAATATATATTCTTCACAAGAGAAAAGGAATGGAGGAGGAGGGTATGACGGAGTTATTCAAGTTGGGAAAAAAAAAAATAACCAACAATATAACACAACACACACACACAAGCCCGAAGGAATGTTTAAGAAGGAACAAGGATCAAATGACGCGGAGCAGAATTGACTGAACGAGTGCTCGACGCGAATGCTAGAATTAAAATTTTTTGAAAAAAAAAAGGCGGGGAGGGAAAAAAAAAAGTATTTGGGGCCAGTCAAAAAATTTTTCGTGAAGGGAAAAAAAATACCAAAAAGACGCGACTTTTTTTTGGTGGTGGTGATGTTAAAATGGGAGTGGCGCAAATTACACAGTGGGTGGTCACGGATTTTTGTAAAAAGAAAGAAGGAAGAAAAAAAAAAAAAAAGAACAAAGTTATTACGAGACTATTAAACTACCGGAAAAATAAAGGCACAGTCGGTAAGTAAAATTACCGGGTAACATAACGTTTTTTTTATAAACTTAAAGCAATTTAAGCCTAAGGCTTAAGAGAACGCGAGAAGCAAAGGTCCGTCGGCGTGAATTTGCGCGTCTCGGGTGGACGCCTGCCACGCCGCCTTTGATTTTTTGGCAAGCCATGCGCGGTCATTTTCAGACACAGAAGCAGCCGTGATAATCTCCCAATCATCAAACAACCCGTTAGAATCCAGAGAGCTCGAAGATTCTAACTCGGGAGTCGTTGTAGAGCCTGCACCAGGCGCAGTAAACGAAGACGAAGCAGCGCCGGCGCCGGCACCGGCCGTAGCTGCACAACTTGCTTGTTCACCAGAACCAACAGCTGCAGAGGTAGTGCCATTACCAGCAGCACCAGAAGAAGTAGTAGAGAAATTGGTAGGAATAGACTTGGTACCTGCTTGTCGATGCTTGGCCCGAGTCTCTTTGGCTGAGATGGGCCGCGCGGCCGGCGCGTAGTCCGATCGATTATGAGCCGTGTCGAGACTCAAAGAAGCTTGGACGCCGTCAGCTCCATGCAAACGCGCTGCGCCTGCCGGGCGCGTCGCACCAAGGCTCGGTGAGTTTTTGTTGATTTTATTATTGTTTTTGATTGCACTACTAGTTTGGCCAGTTTCTTCACCTGCCTCGGTATTCTGTTCATCATTATTATTATCTTCTTCTTCCTCATCTGTTAATGCATGTTTAGGGTATACACTTCTGCGGCCACGAAGAGCCCTACGAAAATCCTTTGCGGAACGGTGGTTGTCAAGATGCTGTTGGTGGTCAATCTCTGAGTCGGATTGGTCTGGGGATTTTTCAAGTTGCGAGATCTGCTCGAGCTGAGAAACGTCAAGAAGGTGGTAATTCATATAGTTTAGGATTTGAGTCAGCTCTTTGTTTCGCCGAGCAAAATCAGAAACACCATTATGGAAACTATTGGCACCCTCGCTGTCATCCTGTGCGGCCCCGGGTCCGTGCTTAACTCCATTAAGCAGAGGTGTTCGCTCGTCATCCTAAAAAAAAGGTTAGAATGGATTGTCTAAGTTATTTAAAAAAAAAAAAAAAAAGCTTACATGAAAGTCCCAACGTGACCCGCAAAGGCAAGACAAAATGGCGCCCATAATGATTAATGATCTCCAAGTTGGTTTGTCACAATGAAGCGTGATAGGGAGAGGTGAAATATGATGATTAGATGTCAATTAAGATGGATTATGCTGAAAGTAGATTTGGCAGGTTAAAGAAGGTTTGCCTAATGAACGGCCGGGTAACTTGCAATATTTTTTTTTCTTTCCCCCAGCTGTTCAAAAGATGGTTTTTTGTTTATTTGCCGCCAGAGGGCATCAACATTATCAACCTCAACATCTAATCGTCATCTTTATCACCACCAACCACCATGGCCACCCGAACTGCTTCCAAAAGAGTGAGTTATTAAAATGAAAATGTGATTTTATTATTTATCAACCAACTCTTTGCTAACTCTATTATATAGCTTGCTCGTGAATATAAGTCGATCCAGGATACTCCTGTGCCATATATTACGGCAAAACCAAACGAAGCCAACATTCTGGAATGGCACTATGTGCTGGAAGGTCCCCCAGACACGCCATACTTCGGTGGGCAATACCACGGGATTCTTAAGTTCCCTGCGGACTACCCTTATGCTCCTCCTTCGATCCGCATGTTAACGCCATCCGGTCGATTCCAGCCAGGCATGCGTTTGTGTCTTTCTATTTCTGACTACCATCCTAAATCCTGGAATCCTGCGTGGTCTGTATCCACCATCCTCACCGGTCTTATGTCCTTTATGGTGTCGGACGAACACACAGCGGGCTCTATCACAACTTCTGCAGAAACTAAAAAACAGCTGGCGCGTGCATCGCGCAAGTTTAACAATACAAATAATTCTCAGTTTAAAGAAGTGTTCCCGGAACTCGTGGAAGCAAATAGACTGGTTCTAGAAAATCCAGAAGGTAATACTACAGTGACCCCAACACCTGCTGCAGCTACACCAGCGACAGCCCCAACAACAACGACACCTACTACTACTAATACTACTAATACATCTACAACCCCAGAATCTGCAAAAGCTCCGGCGCCGGCGCCGGTAGGTTCAGTGCCTGCGGCCAGCGATCCTGGGGCCAGCCGGCCGAGTGGTGGCGACAACCACAATAACAACGGCATGTCTTTGAGTCAAAAAATTATCTTTGTATCTGTTCTTTTTGTCTCATGGGTCATAGCTTCTCGCATGTTTTCCTAAATCCTTTTTTTTTATTCCTTTTATTCCTTTTTTTTCTTTTCTCTTCCTTTTTGTGTTTATTTCATTTTCATCAAGAATTTACTTTAAAAACAAACACCCATGTATTTTGATTTAATCGAAAAAAAAAATTATATGAGCTACTAGTAAATGTCTCTTTATATTTGACTAGTCAATGCGAGATGTAACAAGCTTAATTATGCCTGGTTGATTCAGATGATTGCATGTTGAGAAGACATGCAACCGCTGGTCCATACAAGGATCCATCGGCGCCTACACTTAGCCTAATATCCACACCCTTGGGGAGGTGTCGTTTTGCAAGTTGCGTTACAGAGTTCTGGCACTGGGCCATGAACCCGGGATACTTGACAACCACAGATCCGCAACAGGCAATCACAAGGGGTGAAAACAATTTTGATGTGGGAATAGGTGGCTGTGGACAAGAGGTGGTGGGGAGGGAAATGAGCTGTGCGAGGGCCACGAGATGTGCGGCCACAAGACTCGCCGCGCGACTCATCACGGCATCAAAAACACGCACAGCCAGTCTTACGGCGTTGTGGTCTGTGTTTTCCAACACGAGACGTGGAACATGTGTTTCCAAATACTTCCTCACCTGTTCCGCATCCTCAAGCGCCGTCGCATAGGCCATGGTTTTTGTACTAAGCCCGTATGGCGGTACATTGTTCCACGCGCTTTTGTTACCGTTACTGACATGTACTAGACACCTACGGACAAGCTCGCCCAAGTGCTTTCCCCCGACTCTTGTTTCCAGCGGCTGGAACCCAGGTCTTTGCGAGGCTGCATCCACCTGCTTATCCCAACTTGTGGTTGGCAAATAGTTTTGATCAAGGTCCTGTGACGTATCAGCGGACCCTCCAAGTAACGAAAGCTCCGTGTTGACAATGATAAACTCTGCAGGACCAGGAAATGGCGAGGGGAGCAGAGCGGCAGCATTTACACCCGTACCTAAAATAAGGGCAATCTTCGTGTACGGGTCCCGGTATGCGGCCGAAAGTAGCACTGCTTCTGAATCGTTAACCACGGCACAGACCTCCATCTGTGGCAACCTTTTGAGACTATTGGCATCCTTCTCAGCAGCATCCGCAAACCCTTGAGCAAAAGCTGCCCGCAAGTCCCAACCTACAATATCGGAAGCGACGCGGGCCCAGCCTTTTCCCATGTCGACAACGGAAGCCGAACGACCGTGGTCTTTGGGAATCACGGGGAATGACCAGGACACTGCGACCGGCCAGCATGTGTTATTGTAGTGTATGTTTCCGTTAATATTTTGGTTTTCTTTATCGCTCAACAATGTAACTGATGCCTCTGTAGTAGTTACATAGTGCTCTGCAACAGCCTCACGAATCCGACCTGCCAGCCACGCAAATACCTCGCGACCACTCATCTGCTGGCATCCACTTAAGTCCCATTCCCGAGACGGGCAGCCGCCTTTTAAGGTATTTGGGTTTGTTTTGGTGCCACCAAGGTCACCCGTCTTCGGATCAACATTAACCAACCCAACACGTAGAGTGGACCCGCCAACATCAACAACAATAATCGGACAAGAAGAATGTGAGGATCGTTCAGAGCTTGTGGGTAGTCGAGTAGAACCACAAACGGCCATGGCTGGAGATGCTCTGTCGGCAAGTTGAGATTGCATGGCCCGGCGTGCTCCGGCAACCACGGCGTCGAGAGCCTCGGGGGAGTGGCCAAGTGCTAAATCGCGCTCAACCTTAAGTACAGCCGCTTGTAATTGACAAGTCATAGATAAAATAAAGAAAATTAATTTATTACGGGGGAGAGAAAAGTTCCTTCTATTAAAATAACGTTTGCATTAAATGGGGTGGGGTGGTTAGTTAGAGACGTGTAAAAGGGATGGTGCGTGCATGGGGACATGAATTATATATATTTTTTTCCAATTTTTTTTTTCATAATTTCATTTTTTAAAACTTCCTTCTTCTTCATCAATCATTTACAGCTTCTCAAGCTGGTCAAGGACAGCCTTGGTGAACTCGGAGGTACCGGTGCTGCCACCAAGATCCTTAGTCTTGAAGGCACCAGCGGCAATGACATCGTAGGTGGCCTTAGAGATTCTGTCAGCGTGGGAATCAAGACCAAGGTGACGAAGCATCATGGAGGCAGAAAGGATCATGGCAGTGGGGTTAGCCTCGTTTCTGCCCTTAATGTCAAGACCGACGTGTCTGCAGCCGGGCTCGAAAAGAGCGTGCTCACGGCCAAGATTGACACCGGGGACAAGACCGGGGCCACCAACAAGGGCAGCACCAATGTTACCAAGAATGGTACCGTAAAGGTTAGGGGTGACGAGAACATCAAACTGTTGGGGTCTGGAAACAGCCTGCATGGAGGCATTATCGACAATCATGTCGGAGTAAGCAACACCAGGGTAGTCCTCACCAACCTCTCTAACGGTGGCACGGAAAAGACCATCAGCAAGCTTCATAATGTTGGCCTTGTGAATAGCAGTGACCTTCTTTCTGTTGTTCTTAAGGGCAAAGTCGTAGGCGAAGCGGGCAATGCGCTCAGACTTGTACTTGGTGATAATCTTGAGGGACTCAACAACGCCGGGGACGGACTGGTGCTCGAGACCAGAGTACTCACCTTCAGTGTTTTCACGGATAAGGACCATGTCAATGCCATTGATACGGGTGGTGACACCTGGAATGTTCTTGATCAAGACGACAGAGGCGTAAATGTCGAGTTCGCGACGGAGAGCAACGTTGAAAGAAGCGTGACCAGACTTCTCAATGGGGGTGTAAAGAATACCCTTAAGACCGACCTTGTTTCTCTTGAGGGAAAGGATGGCCTCGTTAATACCCTCGGAGGAGTCACCAACACCGTGAACATCGATTTCCTCCCAGTCAATGGGGACATTCTCAGCCTTGAAAATAGTCTTGACAGAGTCGGTGATTTCAGCACCAATACCGTCACCTAAAGAGATTAAAGTGTTAGCAGCAACAGCAACAACGAGTTTCGAAGGGCTTCATTTTCTTTTCGGTTATTGGAGGGAATGGTGGGAGGCCATTAGTAGATAAGGGAGATGGGATAGGACAGGTTGTAGACGGGCAAATCACAGAGCAGAATGGGTGACGCAACACATAAATATATACACGCACACAGGCACGAGCGGCGGTACATTTCAAAATGGGAAGACAACTTTGAGGGACATTATACATTAAAGCCGTAATAAAAGACTATTTATCAATATGAAATGACGATATTTCAAAAGCATAAGGAGAATAATTATGAAAAAAAATAATGTTGATGAAATGAAATGTTTGAGGGCTGAGATTGTGTGAGTGGACGGGCCGGACAATTGAGTGTTGTGATTGGTTGAAAGTGTTATGTGCGTGTGTGTGTGGTATTATAAAATAAATTATAAAATAAAAAAAACAACTCAAGTGTGCAACCGCAAAAGCCGCCAAAAAAATAAACAAAAAAATAAAATAAAAAAAAAGAAAGAAAAGACGCTCAAAATTGACCAAAACTGAAATTGAAAATAGAATTGAAAATAGAAGCTGGAATCATTAAAACATACCAGGAATAAGGGTGACGTTGTATCTGCCACCATACTTGGTGGGCTGGGAAAAGGGAGCGACTGAGGCAAGGTGTCTCTTAGCGGCAGGAGCAGCGACTGAGCGAAGGATGGAGGACTTGGGCATTATGAGTTAGTTACAATGTTACAATTGAAAGAAATAGATAAGCTGGTATTCATATATCTTGAACTTGTTTAAGATTGACCAAACAAGTTTCAATTTTCCAAAGATAAAAAAAAAAACACAAAAAAACTCACCTTGGCGAGAGTGTTGCGGAACATTGCTGAAGATGAAGTTAATTGTTTAAATGAAGATATGATGAAGAGTTAAAGAAGGGAGGAAGGGAGATGTTTGAGTTAGTTGAAAGAAGAGGAAGAGGAAAAAGAAGGGAAAACAAAAAAGGGTGGGAAAAAAAGGCAAAAGGGGAGGAGGGGTGGGATGGAGGGGTAGAAATATAGAGGTATATATATATTTATATATGTATATATAACTGTTAAATGTAAATATGTAAATATGTATAGTATAATAGTATAGTAATATATAGGTGTAGTGGTAACAATAAGAGGGCTTTTATTTTATTTAATGCTGCGGCTCTCGGGTTTGCCAACTGCCAGACAGCCAGCCAGCCAGCCAGCCATAAACAACCATAAACAACCATAAACAGCCATTAAACAAACAAAACAGCCAGCCAAACAACCAAATAACACAAACAGCCACGCACCGCACTGCACAACAGCGCCCGCCAACCACCGCTTCCCACACGGCCCCGACTGGCTTTGGTCTGCCATTTCTGGCCTGCCTTGGACTGGCTGGCTGAGGGTTCTTTAAATTTATTATTTATTTCTTTTTTTATTTTTTTATTATTACTATCTTGGACAAAAAAAAAAAAGCGTGCGGCGGTCTCATCACCGTCATGGCCGTGATAGCCTTCCCATTATCCATATTGTACTACCCAATTTATATCAAAGATTACAGAGTATCTAACATATTTGCAATTATTGAAATTATTGAAATTTTTAAGAAATTTAAAGTCTTAACGACTTTAAATACACATATAACAATAATAAATGTGAAAAAAGAAAAAAAGAAAAAAAGAAAAAAAGAAAAAACCTCGAAATTCAACTGATTTTCATTGAGAAAGAAAATACGCGTGCAATTGGGTGTATTTTTTTATAATAAATAATAAATGTGTATGGGTGTAGACATAATTATTTATCAAAAGACGACACACATCAAGATAACGATTAGGACTCAATCACGACTTTTCTCTCCAAAAAAAAAAGCCCTAAACCAACAATTTATATATATACAATGCGCGTCTTGTTCTTGTGAAAGGATTTCAAAGCTTATTCGTCAAATATTTATTAAAATTTCAATGAAATAAAGAAACTAATAAAATAAAAAAAAAGAAAGAAAGAAAGGGTCAAAGATTGAGCGAGTATTTTGGAACCATAATAGATTAGAGAAACAAAAATAAATAAATATATATCCACTAGGGCAAAACGGCATGGCCCGAGTCCGGCCGGTCAGAAATTTCTCTCTTTCCTTTTGTTTAAATAAATTAATTTGACCTTAAAACTAAAGTAAATTCTTTAGTTTTTTTTTGGTTTTAATTTTATATATAAAATCCCAATGTAATGTAAGAAAAACACCGCGTTTTTTTGAGCTCTTTTTTTTATTTTTTTTTTTTTTTCAAAATTCTTTTCATTCATCACAAAAAAGCCGCGTTTTTTTTTAAAAAATTATCGCTAAAAAAATGACCTGCCAGCGCGCTAGAAAGCCACGCCTTGTGTAATAACGACAAACACATACACAAAATATATAAATGAATAGCACCGACAGACATAAAAAAAAAAAAAAAAGACAACAATAACTGCAACAATTGCACACAGACTTTATAAAGGCTTCTGGTGGTGGTTATCACCAAACGCCAAATTTCATTCGGTTCCGCGCGGTAGTTTTTAAGCAAATTACGCACACGTGACACGCATCAAATAACCGGGTGCGGCGATCGAAGGACTGCGGCCTCTGCCATCTGCCAAAACACTAATTTTTTTGTTTATTTTTTATTTTATTTTTTTTTTTCCCTCTCCCTCTTTTAAAGTTTCTTCTGCTTCTTTAGAATCCCCTCCCCCTAACCCAGTACGTCGAAGCGGTTGCACGGCTATTTTTTTTTTTTTTTTTTGGTTTAAAAAAAAATCTCTCTCAGAAATTAAAATAAAATAAAAAAATAAAGAAATAAAGAAAAACCTGGTGTAGTTTTCAGACTGGCACTAACACAAATTAAAATTTTGGTAAACCCTATCCCTCTCGGCCCGGACTTGAGTTTTCAAATAGACGAATCTTAAAAGACTTTTTATATAATAAACTTCATATTTTGGGAATAAAAAAAAGTAAGATTATTTCGTCAAATGTTCCCTCATTTTTAGTCTTTTAACTGTGTAATAAAGTTAACTTCCAGTTATTACAACAATAAATGTGGTAACTTGATAAGTACTTAACCGTAATCTATTTAACTGAAGTTATACTTTTATTTTAATAAGCAAATTGTTAGGATATGGGTTCTAATTAACATTCATAAATGAAACAACCTGAAAAAAAAAACTTGAATGTGAATATTATTAGCATGATATTTTATTCTCTTGTGTTAACCAATTTTAAATTATTTTTTCAATGATTTATTTAAGAAAGAATCTTTTTATAATTTTTTAAACAAATCCATCATGATAAAAATGCATTTCCTGAAGACTTCAATTGATAACAATCTTCCGACATAGAGCACTTCAATTACTATACTTAGTACATTTCAGTCTGTACGGTAACTTTGAGTACTACTATTTTTTTTTTTCACAGGATCTTAGAAGCTCATCCTTTGGCTAGGACTGGAAGACCTTTATATCAAACACCAAGCCTCTTTTTTTTCACCACCACCACCAACACATCAAATTTTTTTTTTTTTTTGAATTGCTCATCCTGTCAATCCCATCAACCAGTAAACCATTCCAAAAGCCACTTCAAAATCTTTTCTTGAACCATCTACCTCAAATTCAAATTCACTCTTTCAATAAATACACACTTTTACTATATTTGTCTTTTTGTTTCACTAGATCTAAATCGTTGCCTTTTTCATTACGCTCTAGTAATCCTCCCAACTTACCTAACGTCTATTCGCTCTTCCTATTCACTACCCTAACCCCACACACACAACCACTTAAATACACACATAAAAAAAAATGTCCACACAACAGTCTACTACAGCTGCCGCACGGTCCCTTTACCGCGCAATCTACCGTCAACTCGAGCGCCAACATGTCGCCTCCTCAAAGCTCCACCAAGCCCAGGATCGCAAGAAACTCGAGGCTCTTCGCAAGTATCAACAAATGAAAGCTGCTGCTGCTGCTGCTTCCACTGCCACGAACCCTAATTCTTCATCCTCTTCAAGCACATCTCTTCCTCTCATAGAAGATCCCAGAATTAAACCGTACCCCTCGCAAACCCTTCGATCCTTGTTTCTTTCCCAAACATCTTCAACAGACAACACCCCAGATGAAAAATATCTTGAAGCTATTGCTCTTTTCCTCAAATCACAGCACGAATACAATTACCTTCTGGAATACTACAACGGTTCCACCATTGACGAGACAAAGCGGATAGAACTTTCAGCCAAGCGAGTAGGTTTGGCTCTTCCAGAAGAACCAAAAGAGTAATAATACTCCACTCTTCTTTTGTAAATAATATAGACAACTAAAAATCATTTTGCGGAAAAATTTTTTTAATTTAAAAAAATACTTGATCATAAAAATGTTCCTTCATCTTTTTTTTTTCTATCTAAAAGTTTTATTTTTTTTTTCTTTCCGTGCAACCATAACTATATTGTACACACAAAAAACAACCATTTTTGGCACGTTATAAAAAAAAATCATCAATCGTAAAAAAACATAAATGTCTATCGTAAAAATGCATTTCAAAAAAAAAAAAAAAAAAAAGAGGGGAAATCTCCCTTTTTTTTTTCCTTATTCTTCTTCTGAATGGGGTCATTAAAAATTCGTCAGTCGTTTACCACCACAAATGTCGTCCTAGTAGTCAAAATAACTTCCCTGGTTATCTTCATGCAAGCTTAAATTTCTTCAGAGTGATTTCACGCTGGCGAACAGCCTGCCAGAATGCACCATAACTCCAAGTCAAATCCCGAGCTCCAGTCATGAATCCATCGTATCTGTTGAACTGTTCGCTCAGGTTACCTTCATTATCCTGATGTTCACGAACAACATCCAAAAATGAGTCCGCATAGTCGATAACCATCTTTATCAAAAAGTTGTAAACATCAGAATCTCTGTTAAGAACATAGTCATTAGGATCCGACCAATCAAAACCTTCTTGGCCATTTAAAAACAATCCGTAAAAGCCCTTATTCAAGCCATTAACAACAAGGTTGAAAGAGGTAGGGCGAGAGGCAAGATAGTCAGCAAGCAAGTACAAATTCTGGGAAACAGTAGAAGTGCACAGGAACCATGGGTTACCGACAGAAGTGCCATCACCATTGTAAATATCCTCAGGGTAACGACCAACACCAATGCCAACCATGGATGAGTTAAATCCTAGTTCGGTGAACTTGGCCATACGGACGGAATTGATGGGGTAAAGGTTGCGCATTGATTCAATGTATTGGGAAAGCGAAGACAAAACCTCATCGCTGTAGGGAGGGAATAAGTCAGTAACAGTGCCCTGACCATCCCAGTTCAAAACGTCGAGAGAGTGAAGCGAGGCCAAAAACAAGGCCGAGTCCAAACCAGAACGGTACTCGAGGCCATAAGTCTCAATCAAGTGGCCCCTGGTATTGTTCCAAAACTTTTCTTTAATAAAGGCAGCCATGTATTCAGCTTGGGTTGCATAGTAGGACGCAGCATCACGGTAGCCCATAGACTTTGCAATCTTAGAGCCAGCGACAAGAGAGCTATATTGGACCATGAAGGTGTAGAAGTGCTTGCCCTTAATCTCCTCCCACAAGTCAAAGCCATCCTGGTGCCAGTAAGCAGCCACATAGTCCAGATCGTAACGGACAATATTGTTGAAAATGTCACGGTAAGTATCAAAGGAAACTGAGGAATTGTACTTGACTTCGGTATTAATAAAATTAGAAATAGTGATTGCACGAAGAGCAGGACCATCACGCTGAGGACGACCCCAGTTTCCAGTAAAGGCCTTTCCATCAACTTCAAACTTGGGTTCACCGAGGCCCTGCATGTCAGCAAAAGTTCCGCTTGGGTTGCTGACTCTTTGAATCTTGTGCATCAAGTAAACATAATCGGTAATGATACTCCATAAGGTAGAGTTCCTTGCACGCTGATCAGCATGTTGTAAAACCAAATTATTGATTGAAATTGCAGCATCGCGAGTCCACTAAATTTTTTTTTAGAGTTAGTAAATGGAAATATAAGTGCAAGACAAAACAAATCAAAAAATTGTCCCAAAAAGGAAACCGGCCCACACGGAAGAAAAGTGACAGTAGACATGTGACTGGGAGACTGCGGCTCTTCGTCACCCACCGCCCAGTCTTAACTTTGTGTTTTGAGTATATAGGGGCCCACCAGGTAATAAAGCGTGCCCGGAAAACCAAACAAGAGAGGGCCGGCCGGAGGTAGAGGGAGGAAAAAAAAAAAAAAAAGATAAGGAAATATATAATAAAAACAACATACCTGATAGTAATAATTTGGATGAGTTCTTGAAGGACTAGCCACAACAGTACCTGGAAGAGCATCATCGATTCCAGTACCGTAGCCACCAATGTTACGAATGATGGATTCAAAAGCATAATCGGATTCATTGCTAATCCAATTCTCATAATCGGCTTGTGGAATGAGAGAGCCGATAGAGAATTTTCCGTATTTGGATGAGATTTTTTTAGAAGAGGAAGAAGAGGAAGAAGAAGAAGAGGAAGAAGAAGAAGGGGACTTGAAGATTGGAGTGTTGAGAATCTTTTGTTCTAAAGACTCAACATAGTGATTCAAGTCGATGGGTAGCGCCGATGACAGAGCTACACCTGCTGTGAGTAATAGTGTTATTGGTTTGTTAAACATTGTTGAGAGTGTATTTATATGTATCAGAGCAATATAAAAATCGACTGGTATTAAAAGCAATCAGAGGATGATGATGAAATCAACACAAAGAGAGAGTTGGGAATAGATGAAAGAAATGAGAAAATTTATATAATATATTTTGGGGGTTATATTAAGAAGAAAAGAAAAAAAAAATTAAATGTTCAAGCGGATCCGGGGAAGTTTAAATACTTGGAGATGAGAGGCGAGGGGAGGGGCAAAGTATTTAGTACTGTTATATTAATAGGGGAGAGAGCCCTTGGTAGTAGCAACAGAGCAGGAGTACGCACATCATCACCATCATCGTCACACAGCCAACAAAAAATATATCCTAAAAGCTCTCCACACATCTTAGCAAAAAAATACGATACCTGTGACCGCAGACCCGCAGTCAAAAATATTTTTTTTTTCTATTTTTTCTATTTATTAATATTATTCATTTTATTTTATTTTATTCTATTTTTTCATTCTGAAGAATCTTCACAAGCCGAGGAGTTCTTTTGTTTATTTGTTTATTTGTTTATTTGTTTATTTGTTTATTTGTTTATTTGTTGTTAGCAAGCAAGCAACTAACAAACAAACAAACTTTTTTTTTTTTATCTTAAGGTTATTTTTTTTTAAAACAAAAAAACTCTCTTTATTTTCTTTCATATGAGAATTGAAGATTAAGAAGATTAGAAAGATATTTCTATATAACAGAAATATAGTTTCTTCTTCTTCTTCTTCTTTATTTTATTTTTTTTTGTCGTAGAGCCAATACCGTAGTAGTCTTTTATTTATTTTATTTTATTTTATTTTATTTTATTTTTCCTACTCAAAAGCCCCGAGGAGTTTCCTATGCATTTACCGGCACATGACCTTCGCAGGTGACCGGCCGGTACGCTCACTGCCTTTTTTTTATTTTTATTTTTATTTTTATTTTTATTTCTTCTTACTGCTGCCGCTGCTGCTACTACTGTGCTTAACAAAAAAAAAAAAAAAAATCTGTTGGTTTCATAAGCAACGCCTTCCTCCCCCGTGGCACATGCGCACATGCCCATTTCTTTCTTCCAGAAGAAAAAAAAAAAATTTTAATAAATAAATAAATAAAAAAATTTTCCCCAGACTTTTTCACATTTATGAAAATTTTTTTTTTACAAAATAAAAAGTATTGTGATTTCAGGTCTCGAGCCGTTGGGTCCTTTGACTGTTAATTTTAATTTTATTTTTAATTTTAATTTTTAATTTTTATTTTTAATATTTTTTCATTGATTTTTCACTAATATTGATGTATTAATTTAAATCAACTTCTAGAAGGAAAAAAAAAAATAATAATAATAATAATAATAAAAAGGGTATAAAAATTACCCGCGTTGAAAAGATTTTAAAGAAGATGGTGGTGGGTCAGTTGAGCGAGCCGTGGTGTGGCGGTTGATTTGTGGAGAAGCCGATCGGCCAACATAATAATTTTTGGCTTTAGAAAAATAAATAAATAAACAAATAAACAAATAAATAAAAATAAAAATAAAAATAAACAAACCACAAGCCATTATTTACTTTTTAGACAAATTAAGAGTCGAATCAAAATTAAAACTTTCATTGACCATTTCACATTCTTCAAGACCCAAGGCTCCTTTTTTTTTTTTTTTTTTTTTTCTAGTTTTCTTGTAAAATAAAAAATAAAAAAAAGGGGTACAGAGAAAGGGACCAAACTGGTTGTTGGCTGAGTTACTGACTACCTGACTACCAGGTCAGTTGGCCAGTTGGAAAGCTTTGTGCCTGTGAAGAACAAAAAAATAAATAAAAAAAAGGCGGGGAAAAACAAACAACAAATCGACTTTAAAAAAAAAAAAAACTCCCCCACAGATCAGTTACATCATCATCATCATCATCATCATCATCGTCGTATTAAACCACCTGAATCATCCTTAGTATTAAAATCAATCATTTTAATCTTAAACATCTTGAAAGAAAAAAAAAGAGTCAATTATCCCCCACAAAAAACCCACCTTTTGTTTTCCCTCTTTATTTAAGTCTATTTACCTTTTAAAAAAAAAATCAAAAAGGTTTCTTATTTTTCCCTACACTCCTCTCCCCCTATTAAACCAAAGCGCTTATATTCACCTATTGTTATTGTATTTATTATTATTAAGACTGTCGCGTGAAATTTTTAAAAATAAGTCTTCACCATCAACAAATAAGAATCCATGAAAGCTGAAAAAAAAGTAACCCAGCGGCATACCAGTGGGCATATCCCACCTGTTTATCTTCGCTATTGTGTTTGCAGATATATATACATGTATATACACACCTCCGTACTTTACATTTCTCACATCATATGAACACAACCATTCTTTCTGTCATATTGGTTAACTTTCTATTTATTTTTTTCTTTTTTTCTTTTTTTCTTTTCCCGCCTTATTATACACTTCTTTTCAAAAAGCAACTCGGATCCCTATCATCAAATATCTCTTGCTTTTTTTTTTTTAAAAAAAAAAATAATTCTTAAAAATAATATTAGAATGATGATGAAAAATTTTTTTTTTCACATGTATTAACCTCGTCTGTGCGCACATCCTTTGCGCATACATTCTTTAACTATTATATTCGCACAAGATCAAATGAAATAAGATGCAATAAACCAATAAAATGCCAGAATATACTTACAAAGTACTCTGTAAACAATTATAAGCTTATATCTATTCATCCATTCTTCACTTAAAAATTTTTCATCGGGTGTATTCTCATATTATCCCCTTCCCGTATCTTTTTTTTTCTTTTTAATCTAAGAACTTTTATCCATATCCTTCTGTTTTTCATGTATTGCTTAAAATTCCTTTTTATTCTCGCGTATTTTTTCCTTCAAGAGGGAATGTTTCCCGAATAGGTAATTTATTCGCAAAGAAAAAAAATTTTCAAACAGAATTTTTTTTTTCAAAAAAATATAATGTATATACTTAATACATTTTTTATTATTTCTTTTTTTTTCACAAGTCAAAAATAAAAAATAAAAAATAAAAAATTTCACCCTTTCATTATCCCCACAAAATAACTCCTTAACTTCATTTAGCATTAATTGCTAGCTTAGATCCTGATCTTTTTTTCATTTTTCCCCACACTTTTCTATATATTTTTTCATACATCCATCTATCCAATCGGTTCATTGCTATCCTTTGTTTATGCTTACTGCTTGGTCAAAAAAAAAAAAAAACCTGGGGAACATAACTTAACTATAAAAAAAAAAAAGAATGTCAAACTCAATCTTTCATTCGCTAGTTAAATCATTTTCCCTCGTCTTGGCTAAGTTATTAATCACTATATCGACTCCGTAGGTCACATCTTAACTATTAATTTTAATTTTAATTTTAAAACAAAACAAAACAAAACAAAACAAAACAAAACAAAATAAACCTCTTAATACCGTCCTTGTGACAAGAATTAAATATATATATTTCCTTACTTTAAATAGCCACATTTATTATTTACGCCATTTGTGCACTGCTAGCTGAGTAAAAAAAAAAAAAAAATTTTAATTCCAATCATTTTCATGACGTTTTGTTTACGTATATAGGTATTTCTTATAATGGTGGTATAGTGCTCTCTATATTTTCAGCTACCTTGGTATATTATTCTCATCCTCACTTCTCTCAATCTCTCATCATCCTCTTCTTCTTTTTCTTCATAGTCATCATATACAAAGTTCTTCCATCTCTCATTTATTATCTTCCAAAACCTTGGACAGTTCCGAGGCATCTTCTGCTGTCTTTACTCTTACCATATGCTGCTTGGGTCCATCACCAGTCAACTCCACAATCGTCACAAGGGTCTTATTCGCCTTGTATGAAAACCCCTTGTGCAAAAGCACATTTAAAAGAACTCGTCCACCTCCATCAGCCCGTACAACAACTCGGCTCTTTTTTGTCTCTTTATGTTTCAGCACACGCAGTAATCCAATTCCCTCAGCTTGCAGCTTACCTTCAGCATTGGAATAAACTTTTGCCTTTTTCTCATATAAAGAATCCTCATTCTCTTCTCCAGGCCCCTGGGCTGTGAAATTTGTAGACTCCCCGCTCTCCTCAGCAGCTACTTCCCCATCTCCCTCTTCCTTAGATCCTTCCTCATTAGTCGACGCTGTAGAAGGTGCTGTTGTAGTAATAGAGGCTGGTGCTGGTGCTGGTGCTGGGCTAAAAGAAAATGCAGGTGTTGTGCTAGTAAATGATCCAAACCCACTGGAGCCACCGGCTGTACTACCAAAAAGAGGTTTGGTTTCGGCACTCTTATTGGCAGACGACGAGCCAAATTGAAACGCAGGAGCCGTTGGTGTGGTTCCAAATAACCCAGATTTGTTACTAGTGTTGCTATCAGAAAATACAGATGAACTAGACGATGCTTTTTCGAATAAACCACCTGTTACAGGTGCCGCCGGAGTTTTGCCAAACAAACTGGGCTTGTTTTCAGATACTGTATTGTTATTCGCAGAGGAAGAGAAGCTGAACAATTTAGACCCCTCGTTTGTCAAAGCACTCGTCGTAGTTGGTGGCTGAACTGGGTTCGCAAAAAAAGACTTCTGAGATTCGGTATCAGAAGAGGACAATGACTTGGTGTTAAAGTTGATACCTTTCTCAGGTCCCCAAGTATGATTATTTTCTGTTGCTATCTTCTTGGCTCCTTCTTTATCTGTGCCAAATAATAAGTTTGATGTAAATAATGGCTTGGGCTCATCGCCCTTTTTTTCTTCAGACTCCTTTGTTGCAACTGCTAAAGACTTGAAAGGCGATTCTGTTTTTTTTGCAGGTTCTGAAAATTTAAAGGGTGATTCTATTTTTGTCGCAGGCGCCACAAACTTAAATGTAAGTCCGGGCTTATTATCGCGCTTCTTCTCCGCATCAGAAGTCGTCGTCTTATTGAAAACAAATGGAGACGGTTCAACACTATCCGTGGGTTTAAAAACAAACTTTAACTCCTTATCTGCAGGTCTGTCGTCATTGGCCTTCCCTTCTTTTACTTCCTCTGGTTTGCTACTCGACGCGTTTTCAGGTTGCTCTTCAGTAGTCTTGTTTGCTCCAAAGTTAAAAAGAGGCTTACTATCTGTAGTAGATGTTGTAGTACTCAAAGATGCCTTGCTAGGAAGAGATGGTGTGAACTGAAATGAAGGAGTAGGTACAGAAGATGTATATGTTGGGTTTGATAAGGCGGGTGATGAACTCGACGTGCTTTCAGTCTTAATATTTTTGGCAAATGTCAAGTACTTTTCAACGGTTGAAGAATAGTCGCCATATAAATTGGAATTAACAAGTTCCGAAAGTTTGCGCTCAAATTTCTCGTTAAGAGCACGGAATTTAATCTTCAAATCATCATTATTCTTTTGGTGAGTAGAAGATGTCGCTATGTTCGAGCTAAAAAGTTTGCTAGTAGAATCTGTATTGCTTTCAACTGAAGTGAATGTTGGGCTCGACGCACTGGCTGTGCTAAAAAGACTGGATCCTGTCGAAGAAGTTGTAGTGGCACCCACACTTGAGAATTTAAATCCACTGGATGCAAAGGGATTACTAGCAGGCTGTCCCTCTGTCTGTGCTTGTGGAAATGATCCTTTTTTCACATTTCTAAATTTCAAAACTGCAATTCTTTTTTGTTTGTATATGATTAATATAAAATGTACATTGATCTATAATGTATACATGAATATATAAATGAATATATCCACTACATCATTTTCTCTCTCACTTACTTGCGCTTTGAAAGTGTCTCAGGGTCTGCAAGACGAACAGGGTCGCTTACTTCGGGAGAGTCGTCTTCAGGGTTATAACTACTTATTTGATTCTCACTTTGACGTTTCCCCATTATATTGATATATATTGATATATATTGATTGCTTATTTCTGCTGTGGGAAAATGGCGGGCTCGCAATGCTAATTTAGATGCCTCTTCGTCTTTCAATGTCACGGTGTCGATATCACCACCCTCTTTCAAAAATTTTTGTTAATGCAAAATACATTAGTCATTATTAATAATATAATACTAAATTATTTCACTTATTTACTATTATTTAGGGTTAAGCCCTACATTTTTTTAGAGATATTTTTGCTTTCCTTATTACACTTTGTTAAATATGTGACACAATTTTTCCACAAGTAAAATTTTTATTGTATGACTGAATATTCTCTGTACTAATGTTTACACAGTAATTTGTTATACACTCCTCGAAACAATCCGAGCCACCCTTTTTTCATTTTTTTTGGACCTTGTGAACCTTGCCTTCTACTTCACGGTTTTAGAAAGACACAGCATCCTTGAGTAACAGTACGTGAGATTACTATACATTGCTTTTACAGTCGATTAAACCACTTTTTTTTTGGTATAACTATTATCATGAATATGGACATTTATTGAATTAATGATACCTTTATTGCCTGTTATTTTAACACCAGTTAAATATTTTTACTGGCTATGATATCTTTTTTTATACCTTGAAAGTGGCGACTGTCTTTGAATATGAATATTTTATTAACATTTTAACTTAGATGCCACCAAAAATTCAACAATCTAAGGCCGCCAAGGCCGCCGCTGCTATGGCTGGTGGAAAGAAGTCTAAGAAGAAATGGTCGAAGGGTAAGGTTAAGGATAAGGCCCAGCACCACGTTATCCTTGACCAACCTCTTTACGACAGAATCTTCAAGGAGGCTGCCACTTACAAGCTTGTCTCTGTCTCCGTCCTTGTTGACCGTCTGAAAATCGGTGGCTCTCTTGCCCGTGTTGCCCTCAGAGACCTTGAGGAGCAGGGCGTTATCAAGCCTGTCATCAAGCACAGCAAGCAGTACACTTTCAGTATGTTTTTGTGATTTTCTATTGTTGATTTTAAACTAACTTTAATTTTAGCCCGTGCCACTGCTTCTGAGTAAATTTTTTAACTATAATTTTAATGCTTGTAAAATAAAATAAAAATCGGGTTTGTTTTTTCTACTATTTTTTGAAGTTTTTTGTAGTCTTTAAATTGTGTTTCTTTAAGAGTTGCTAAATCAAAACATTCTTAATACCGAAGAAATTTTGAGTTATTCCAAATAAATATCATCTGGGCATTGTTATACAAGGGTTTTTAAACGATTTAGTTAAACGTCAAATTGATGTTGAGAATTTTTTTTTATCTCAAATCTATTGCAACCAAAATCATTAAGCCTCAGCCTATTTTTACTTTTTCAAGTTTGTCTTATTCTCAGACTTCTCACATCAGACATACTTATCTCATAGTAGTATTGACATTGATAAACAATTAGTTAACAAATGCTTATAACTGATTTTGTGTTAATACAATGTTAGTTACTAACTAATTTAGATTTGTAATTACATCTGAAATAAAATAACAAGATTTTAATTAAAAGTTTTCTGTGGTCCATAGAGTAAGTATTATCAAGATACCTGTTTAAGAATTTATAAGGCGGTGTTTATCATGGTCATGATAAATGATCATCAACATCATAAATTAGCCGAGAAATTTATTACATCGTTTTTTTAGCACCATATGCTTTTTAATTAATATTTCTTTTAAATATATTTGAGTTTATTGTATGATTCAATTTAACTGCACTGCGATAAATAAATAATTTTTTCTAGAATAAAGTGTTGGCAAAATAAAATCTCGCTTTACATTTAACAAATAAATATTTGGGTAATTGGTGTTCTTTTGCAATATTATATTAAAAGCTGAGCCAAAATTCTGGATAAACCTAGCTAGTTAAAAAAACTATAGTTTTTTTAATTTCTTTTTAATAACAGATAAAGCTGTATCTTCTATTTCAAAAAATTAAAAAAGCGATTAGTTAGAATATTGAAAGACAGATAACTAGAGAATAGTTAAAACAATTTCTTAACTTATATTTTAAACAAAAATTAACTTTTACTATGATTTATTTGCTCATTATGAATCCCTAAGGTTTCCTACATTCATATACAACCCAATTAATCAATTTAATGTATTCAGTGTCTAAGTTTCTGGTGTTGCAAGAAATTAGCCATTAGCCATTAGCCATTAGCCATTTAAATATTTGCATTAATACCAATATTGGAATAATCTATGCCAACAGTTAAATGAGAAACACAATTGTTAAAAAAGTGTGAGAAGAGGCATATTTGTGTCGATAATTTTAATTATTCTTCTTTACATTTCACAAAAAAAAAATGGTTTCTGACTGAAAGATGACTAATCCTTTCCCCATTCTTTTTTTCTCTTTCTTCGAGCTGTATATAAACTGTACATTTTTAGGGTAAACCCCCAAAAAATTCATGGAAACAGAGCCTAGATGTGAGCGTAGCGAGCCACCATTTTTTGAAAAAAAATGTCAACACCAACAATACAAACATCATTCGAATTACAGTTACGAATAGCAGTAGCACAGGTAAATATTTAATTGCAAATTATATAGTAGCACGGGTAATCAACTTGTCTATATTACATTTCCGTAGAAAAAAAATTAGTTTTCTTCTAAGCACCCCTATTATGTTTATGTAATCCCTAACCCATAATTTAAACAACAGAACCTAGATGTGAGCGTAGCGAGCCACCATTTTGTGAAAAAAAATGTCAACACCAATACTAACGTCATTCTAACCCATAATAATTATAATTAAATAACAGAGTCTGGGCCTGATCACTTTGATGACTTTGATTAGCTTTCTTTTTTTTGTATATATATTGCCAACAGCACTATTACTTAATTGCGAATAGCAGTTACCAATCACAGTTACGAATAGCAGTAGCACGGGTGATATTAAATTGCGAATAGCTGTTACGAATCGCAGTTACGAATAGCAGTAGCACGGGTGATATTAAATTGCGAATAGCAGTAATATTCAATTGCGAATTGCAGTAGCACGAGTAAATAGCAGTGATGTTTAATTAAAAATTGCAGTAATACTTAATTGCAAATAGTAGTAATATTCAATTGCGAATAGCAGTAGCACGGGTAAATAGCAGTAATATTTAATTACAAATAGCAGTAACACTTAATTGCAAATTATAGTAGCACGGGTATAACTTGTTAATGATAACATTATAGTTAAATTATCATTGGTTTAAGAAATAATACACCTGGTTGTTAGCCACTGTATTAAAAGTAGGGTAAATAAGTATTAGCCCTAATAATTATAGGTTACCCGGAGTTTAAATAATTAATCACAATAAGAAGAGAAAATTTTTTTGAAAAGTATATATATAAGACACTTCCTCTTCTTAATCATTCTTATATATATAGTAGTAATTCTGTTATGATGTTTTTCTCTGATATTTTCCATAATTAAAGGTATGTAAATAACTAAGTTTTGTTCCAGTTTTTTTTATTTAAGTGATTATCTACAAAAAGATATCTGAGGATGTATATGCAGGACTACTTGTATTTAGGAATTCTTCGTTTATGATTTATAAATAAATTCTTTGGCTTTGGTTTTTTTTTGATTTATTAACAATAAATTCTAACTTGTTCAAAAGGTATTTATTAATTTTTTTCTTTTTTTTTTGCTGTAAAGCTTGTCGAGATGAATGTTTTCACAAAACTTCGTTCTAGCGAATCTCAAAAATTTCCATGAGCTTGAACATACATGCATCACCATCTGAACTATCACCAGTTTTCCAGTTTTTTTCAATTGATTGAAATCTCAATATTTAATATTCTAACTTTTTTTCAGGATATTGTAAAAAATATATCTGAAAGTTTTTGGTACGTGGTTTTTTTAAGAATCTGCATTTAATGATTGAATGATGAATAACTTTTTCAGTTCTGCTTCTGAGAAATTCATGAAGACAAACAAAAATACCAAAAGCTCACTGAATCAATCTTAAATCATCTATGTTTTTTTAGTATTTTGATCAATCTCTAACCTGAAATTAGGACTTCGTTTTATTGTAGTTAAATTTTTAGTTTATATAAAAATATCATTTTTTGTATGTTTACCCTGTCTATATTGTACTTGCAACTTTCACTACTGTAGAAAACTTGGATAAAATTTGGAAGATAGAAATTATTGGAAATTAAAAGCAAAGATATTTTAGAGGTTTTGTTGTGGTCTATGCTGACAGAAAAGCCCTTAAAATATTTTTAATTCTTAATGGTGATGATGGGTTGTATTAAACTACGAATTAATTAAGAAGAGGAATGTTTTTATTTGGAGAAAAAGCAAAGTCTTATAGGTGGGCGGATACTCTTAATTCTGGGAATATATCAGCCTATGGCTTTTTTTATTGAAAGACTGGTTTATAATCAGTAAGTTATTATGAAACGGTAAATTTACCGTTCCAATCTTTTAAATAAATGTTTGGAATGTAGGCATTGTATGAGTTTCTGTTACTATATGTGTGACGGAACTTGTTGTAATTGTAATATACTGTTTGGTAATAACGGGTTTATTGGGATAAGCATGCAGTCAATTAAGTCGATCAAAGTTATCGTTAAGAAGTTAAAAAAAAAACTTCCATTATTTTCTCAAGAGAAATAAATCTTTTTAATAGATTGTTTGGTCAAGTTTGTTACTAAAATATTCAGGTTACAGGGTTGCCAGTTTAAGCATGACAACAGATTATCAAGCTGCTGTTATACCTTTTGGTTTTACTTCATAACAATACAACGGTTAAACTTGTAAGTCTAAAACTTTAGAGGGGTTCTACTAATGGGTTGTATAGCCCATCATAATTACCCCAGAATTAATCAAGACACATTTTGATGATTACGTGGTCTATTGTTTTGATGAAATCATTAGATAAAGTGCATAAGTAAATAAATATTACATAAGTTAACTTCTTCATTGCAGGTGATTGTTATTATATTGAAAAAATAGGCATATGCTTAATTATTCTTATTTTGGTTTTGGAAGGATTCAATGCCTTCTCTAATATAACCAGAAATTTGCTGGTTTTGGGAATCAGACAAATTGACGTTAAGAACATTCTTTTCAACATACTCGACGCCCTTGTCAACGTAGTCGGCTTTGTAAGTTGTTTTCTGTTCAACTTGGGCTGTATTCCCATCCTCACTCTTAGAAACTGTAGTCTCTGATTTGACAGACTCACTCTGAGGTTGATCTTTGAGTTGATTTTTAACAAAAGAAGCAGCTTGATCAACAAACTCATTATTAGATCCTCCTAGGGCACCTGAAATTTTAGAGGCAACACCGTCGACAGCGGCATCCTGAGCGGCATTTTGGCCAGCTTTTTGAACTGCATCTTTAAGAAAATCCATTTTGAAATTAAAAGTATGTATTGTAGGAAAAAAAAGATATGAGAAAGAAAATTGATTTTTTTAAAAAAAAAACAGAAAAAAGTAATAAAATGTGAGAGAAGAGTAAGAATTAGAAAAAAATAATTCGAGGGGGAAGAAGGTATTTATAGTTGGCAATGACTGCCCCTTTTCAACTAAGGCGTCTCTTTTTTTGCGGCACTACTTGAACGTGGGCAAATACTATTGAGGCTTCTTGACCAAAATACTATATTCACTACAATGATTTAATTGACTTTCTACTTTCTTTAAAAATAAATTATTAATCAAAATGAAGTTTTTACCAAATGCTCACTGAAATATAATAAAAATCAATTGAACAACAATAACACAGATACTTATTGTATAGATCGACAAATAACTATTTACCCGAGTGTACTGCTGCTAGCTTAATAGTACCACAAAGTGCTAACCAATTGATGTTTACGAAAATATGATTAAAACCGGTACTAATAGTTTACCCTATGAACCTAAGCAAAAGAAATGGTAATTGTACTTACTTTCTTGAAAATATAAGTTAAAATAATTTGATCCCTCTGACGCCTCACAAAAAAAAAAAAGATAGAGCATTAAAATCAGTTTCATTTTATTGTTGTGTTAGTTATTTTCAAATTGTATATTTTGGACTAATAAAAATGATCATTTAACATTATCTAATTAGATGTAATATTTTTCGTTACATTATTACATAATACTTTTTTTTGTTTGTTTGTTTGTTTTTTTGTATTTTTATTTTTATTTTTGTTTGTTTATTTGACTTTAGATATTTAAGAATGAGCGAAACCGTAAATTATACAGTACTAATTAATACTACTACTTTTTTTCCCCAGTTTGTTAACAATATTTTCTAAATACCTTTTACCTGGTTATCTCATGTCGGTATCTAAAGCTTTAGATCAACATTTTTTGAATTTAAAATATGTCACACCCCTTTCCTTTTTCTCCATTATCACCGAAAACACCTACCAAAGGGTCTGGTGCTTCACTTAACTTCTTTGTAAGTCAAAGTGGCCACAATAAGAATAAGCAGAGAAGTTGCTCTCAAAATGATGTTTTCTTTCATTCTTCGCCTAGTAAAATGCCTTCTATCTCTCCATTGTGCTCACCAATGTTTTCCCCAAAAAAACGTATAGAACGACCACTATCCTATTTGAAAAGCCCGGAAAAAGCTCGCGAACATCGTCGAATAGCAAACCAACAACGTATTAAAGATCGAATACGAAATAAAAATATGGAAAATATGGAAAATGAGTATTCCCAAATTACTTACTTAAATTATATATCACAACTTGAAAAAGAGTCTCAAAAACACATAATATCGCCGGAAGAAGCTGAGAAAGCCGCACTGGAAATTCAACAAGAAAAATCACAATGTCATGATCAAATATTTCAAAACTTAAATGAAGCTGATCTTTTTGAAGCTTCTTTAAATGAGGAACTTGAAGTTACGGAATGGCCATATTTCGAAGAAATGGATATTGATGACGACGAGTGCTTGCAGCTTTAAAATTTCTAAACAAATTTAAACACCTTTTAGACACTTCTTGAACGTTAATTAACAAATATTACTAAACTAGTTTGTTTATTTTTTTCTGAGCCATGTTAAAATTTTAACATGTCAAAAATTTAATGAGAAAATAAACAATAAACAATAACGAAAATTTCCTTCCTTTCTCTCTTTCGCTTTTTTTATTCCCTCCATTTTATCTTTATCTTATTTTTATTCCTTTTCTTAATTGCTCATTTGACAAATTTGTTATTATATTTTTTTTTCTTTTTGGGATTTCTTAATATTAAAATGACTTCTAATAATCCGCTAGAAGATCAAAACGCATTGGATTATAATATTGGAAAACCTGATTTTATATCTGAACTTCTTTTCTTAGATTTCAATAATCCAATGCATATTTTGTATCGGGTTAGATTAAGAGTAACAATGATGGATCATATTTTTTTCCTGATAAACTATTTAATAATTATTATAATGATAAATTTTGAATCTAACCGTGTTTTTTTTAATAGAGAGTTGCCTGTACGACGGTTTCCTTAATGCGTGGATCCATTTTATATAGCTTTCGCCAAGCTGCTTATTCTTCAGATGTGATTCCCTTGGACTTACTTAGGTTTTTAAAGGATTGCTTAATGGAAGATGCTGCAGTCTATAATGTTCCTATCCACTCAAATTTTGAAAAAGTATTTGAGATGTTACTTTCATACGAGTGGAAATCGCAATTTTTTTTTGAGTGTAAACGTAATTAAAATGAAAAATATAAAATTTAAGCCATGTTACATAAATTACATAATCACATAATTAAAACGAAAACAGAAAAAAACCAATCATAATAATGATTCCATCTATAGCTTCTAGCAACACCACCTGCTGATGACAATGTATAAGTCGATGTTTTGTGTGCAGGAGAAGGAGAAGAAGAAGGAGAAGAAGGAGAAGAAGGAGAAGAAGGAGAAGAAGGAGAAGAAGGAGAAGAAGGAGAGGAAGGAGAGGAAGGAGAGGAAGGAGAGGAAATGCTATATGATGTCGACACAACTGAAAATGGTGAGGCGTTCGATGAAAACTGAGATTCTAACGTTATTTCAGGTGTAAAAATATATGTAGAATAAGAAACAGAGTTGGGTGTGCTCAAAGGTAATTTTAATGTTAAAGTTGGAGAATTTTTGGCAGTAGATGAAAAGGAATTTAACCAAATTGATTGATCCTGAATACTTTTTAAAAAGGAAACATCAGAAGATGAAATTTCTGAAAAATATTGTTCAGTTGATAACTGATAAGGGGTGATACTATGGGTTTGTGGTTTAATAGCCGATATTCCAATTATGTTAGGCATATCAACAGCGACAGATAAATCCAGATCATTGGATACTACTGTTCCATTAGCTAAAACATAACTGTTAACTTGAGCAGGTAAATTAATGGAAGTATGAGAATTGCTAGACTTGAGCGTATTAATTTCAAAAAGCGAATTAATAGTATCAGGAGTATCAATTTTAGCAGGAGTATCAATTGTAGTAGGAGTATCAATTGTAGTAGGAGTATCAATTGTAGTAGGAGTATCAATTGTAGTAGGAGTATCAATTGTAGTAGGAGTATCAATTGTAGTAGGAGTATCAATTGTAGTAGGAGTATCAATTGTAGTAGGAGTATCAATTGGAGTAGGAGTATTACTTAAATCAGGTTCATAAATGGAAGCAGAATTATAACCAGTATTGTGACTTTCAATAATAGCCGTTTTGTTTATTGCTTTTGGAGCTATAACAGTAGAAGATGCTATTTTATCTGAAACACTTAATAAAGTGACATACGTTTGTGTCTCTTGATTAACTGTTTCTGAAAATAAAATTTTCGATGATATTGTATGTAAAGAAAAAGTAAAAAGAGAAATCTGATTTGAAACTTGTGATAACTTGGAAAAGATTTTAGAACTTGAACTAGTATCTTCGATAGACTTAGAATTTAACACAAATGAAGACTTAGAGCTGAATTCATTAGCTGATTGAATTGAACTTGATTTAAATGGGTGATTAATATCAACATTTGACAATTTCTCTGAAGGAATCAAAGTTTCTTGATTAGAGTATGCTGTAATAATCTCTGTTGGTGCAAATTCTGAAAGAGATGATGATAAACCTTCAGACGTAAACGAATAAGTAAGCTTTTCAGGAATTTCAATCTCAGTATTTTGCACATGACTAATAAATTTATCTGAATCTCCAGAAAAAGTATAATGATTATTTAAAGAAGAATAATAATTTGGCGCAGTAGTTGGCTTATCTTGAGCTATTTGTAAAGATACAACAGAAGTTCGAAATTCCATTGCATTTGTGATATTAGTGTAGTTAACAAATATGGGAGCGGGTAATGGTGACCCCGATGAAATCGATGTGAAAATCAAAGTCTTTGATTCAATAACAGGGATTAACTCCGACGTTAAATTAAAGTACACCTGAGGAGTTTTAACGGAAGCATTCTTTGCTGATATCATGTGATAAACTGATGAGTTATGTTTAACTGAAACTGGGCTGGTCAAATTTCGATCAGTATTACTATTATGGGGCTGAGTGTCTGAGGTAATAATAGAAGGTGCTATTGAAGTGACAGGAAAAAGAGATATTTTATCTTTAGTGAAAGTCGGTATAAATACAGTTGAATGCTTTTCTTTAGATACATTAAATGTAGGAGTTGATGATGTTATATAGGGATATATAGTAGCTTGAAAAGTTAAGTTAGCTAAAGATTTGTTCCATGAAGTAATGGGAGACAAAGTAACACCAGAAGCCCATTGCATTATTGATGTATTAAAACTCTTGGTAGGGGTATTAGAAGTTAAATTAGGATAAGAGTCAGTAATAAAAGAGTTAATAGAATGAAAAGAATAAATTATGGGGGTTGATTGATTTATGGAAACGAAGTGAGAATCTGTTTTATTATAAAAGGTAGTGACAAACGGATGGGGAGATAATGATGAAGCATTCAAATTTGATGTTGATAAAGTTTTATTTTTATTTTTATTTGCCATGCTTGGAAATGAAATTGTAATATTTGGCAAAACAATTGTTGGCGTTGGAGAAGGAATAGAAATACCATCAACACATGATATTGTAGTATTTGAAACATAGTTTGTAAAGATTGAAGTTGTTTGAGTGATATTTTCAATGTCAAATGATTTAGTGATTAAACTGGATTCATTATTTAAAGAAGTGGTCGTATCAAAGGAAGGCGAAATGAGTGTAGAATATTCAAATGTCTCGATGAAAACAGTTGTCAAAGTCACAAACCTTATGTCAGAACCATTTGAAGATATGATATTAGTGGAGGGATTGATAGAAAGACTGCTTCGGAACGTAGAATTTAGAAAAAAAGGCTTTTTGAAAGATTCTTCAACACTTGAAGAAATCATCTCATTGTTGATACTAGCTTTGTTAATGATCTCCGTCAAAAAGCTTGTGCAAGTAATATATTCAAAGTAAGAGCTTGAGGGTGACTGTGTACATTCATTCATGTTGTTAGATGTACTTGTCTTAGAAATTTCTTTAATATTCGAAGTTAATAAAATCTGAACATCAAAAGAGGTAGTCGTTAAGGTTTCACGTTCATTGGATTCACCAGTTTCAAAATGATGAGTAAATATTGTATATTCAAATCCTTCTGAAGACAATAATTCTGAGAATGATTCTAATGATGTTTCTTGAAATGGTCCTAAGGGGGGCTTTGAAAATATTTCAAAATCTGATTTAAAATGTGATTCCGAAATCGATTCTGGTAATTTTTCTAAAGTGGTTTCAAGAGTTAATTCAAAAGAATTTCCCGGTGATGGCTCAAAAAATGAGTGTGAGTAGGGTTCAAGAGATATCTTGGGCGATTTTTCTAGAGATGACTCTAAAGAAGACATAGGGAAAAGTTTAAAAGATAGTTCAGAAGATAGTTCTAAAAACGGTTTAAGCGAAGACTCTGGTGATGGTTCCGGGGATGGTTCAAGAGATAGTTCTGTAAATGATTGTATAAATGGGTTTGTGGGTGACCCTAAAGACGAGTCAATGGGTGGCTCTGGAGATAATTCTGTACATGATTCTGAAGATGGTTCTGGAGATGGTTCTGGAGATGGTTCTGGAGATGGTTCTGGAGATGGTTCTGGAGATGGTTCTGGAGATGGTTCTGGAGATGGTTCTGGAGATGGTTCTGGAGATGGTTCTGGAGATGGTTCTGGAGATGGTTCTGGAGATGGTTCTGGAGATGGTTCTGGAGATGGTTCTGGAGATGGTTCTGGAGATGGTTCTGGAGATGGTTCTGGAGATGGTTCTGGAGATGGTTCTGGAGATGGTTCTGGAGATGGTTCTGGAGATGGTTCTGGAGATGGTTCTGGAGATGGTTCTGGGGATGGTTCTGGAGATGGTTCTGGAGATGGTTCGGGAAACGACATCAGGGCCGTTTGTTGAGATGGATTAGAAGATGATGTAATAAATGATACTGAAAAGACTTCAAAAGATGATTCAATAGATGATTCAATGAAGGATTCAATGGAGGATTCAATGGACGGGTTCAACGATAAATCTGTGGTAAGTTGTTGGGAAGATATAAATTCTTGCAAAGTAGAACTTTTAGAAGTGCTTCCAATATAGTACTCAGTTGATAACGAGGAAATTTGTAAAATTGAGCCTATGGTATTTAAGGCTGTAGAGTAAAAGTTAGATATTTCTGCTTCCCATTCTGTGTCTATCTCTTGGGTATTCCAGTCAGTTGGTTCATCATTGACTTCTTTTTTACAAAATATTTGAACAAGGTGAACAATTCCATTTAATTTTTCTTTAACATCGTCAGGGAGATCATCATTTTCAATCAAATCTGTAGGTTGAATGTCGATAGATGGGTCATAGTCTCTAAAATCGTCATTAGAAACACCAAGGCATTTACCACAATGCTTTATGTACATTCGAACATGACGCTTCCGTGAGCACAAACAATCCCTGAATTCGGCGGAAAGAATGTTGTTAAAATCACAATTTGCAACCGATTGTGGAATTAAATTGGCACAAGCCCAGCATGTATCTTTATAATTAGCCAGAAGAGATTCCTGAGAAAAAATGGGAAAACTAATGAGATTATCAATTATATGTTGTTCTAAAGTATAATAATTAGTTGGAATGCTTGCCGATATAAGCTGAAACTTCCAAGATGGAACTTTTACAATAGCAGCCGCAAAAACTATAGTGCATGAGAAAAAGAACGAAATAAAGAGATGAATCATTTTGCAAGTATGAAAAAAAGAGATGAAGTCTCAAAAAACAGAAAACAGAAAACAGAAATATATATATATATATATATATATATATATTCACGGTGTTAAAAATCCATTATTTTCTTTTCGTATTATTAAATTTAATATTACTTTATAAGGCAAGCTAAAGTATCGGGGTTCTACTTAAGGAGCCGAGTATCATGCAAATCATCATTTATTCATTTAGCATAAAGAGTTCTGTAATTATGAAGTTTAATGGAATCAAACTAAATTTTTTTAAAAGAAAGCTTGAAGATTAATATTTAAACTTGGTATTTGACCGGGATATAAAAGCATATACATATATGTAAATAAAAAAAGGACATGTAGAGTAGCATTTTGTAACTGCTTCCCAAAAATGTAGGTAAGATATCGTTTTAATAATAAAAACCGAGAACCGAGAACCGAGAACCGAGAACTGAGAACTGAGAACTGAGAACTGAGAACTGAGAACTGAGAACTGAGAACTGAGAACTGAGAACTGAGAACTGAGAACTGAGAACTGAGAACTGAGAACTGAGAACTGAGAACTGAGAACTGAGAACTGAGAACTGAGAACTGAGAACTGAGAACTGAGAACTGAGAACTGAGAACTGAGAACTGAGAACTGAGAACTGAGAACTGAGAACTGAGAACTGAGAACTGAGAACTGAGAACTGAGAACTGAGAACTGAGAACTGAGAACTGAGAACTGAGAACTGAGAACTGAGAACTGAGAACTGAGAAATGAAAAATAGATATGCATTATCCATTTAACAATTCAAAAGTACGCATAAGCATTTTTAGTGAATTACAAACCGTTATTTTTGATAAACACTTCCTTGTCATTGTTCTGATTACTATCGAAGCAAAATATCTAGAGATGAAAAAATTTTAATTTAACAACTTTCAGACTTAATAAATTAACCATTGGAAAGTAACTGTCCAGATTAATGTAATTATGTATTGTTTATATAACATCTATTGTTAATTATAAATACTTATAAATAATACGGAAAGACTGTTACACCGCAAATATGACGTGTGCCTGGTGTTTTTTGAGTGATTTAATTATTAAGAAGTTATTGAATTAAGGTAGTTACTAATTAGTAACTACCTTAATTCAATAACTTAGACTTATAATTATAAGTCTAAATATCAGATTGGAATCCACATTCCTTTTAACTCAGCCCCCATAGAAAGGAAGGAGGCTGAGTCAAAAGAAAGCATCTTTGATATTACAGTAGACTTGGTTTCCTTTTCATGATCTTCAAGAAGATATCTGGTCAAATATCTTATCATGTTATCCAAATGGTGGTAGTTGCACATCTCAGGTTCTGGTTTTGTTACCACCAAGAATACATAACCCTAAACACTTAGGTCACAGGGCTTGTTAATCCTTAAAAAACACACACATACACGCACGGAACAATTGGAAAATAGTATTTGATATTTAGATTCATAATTATATGATTAATAAGTATGAGTCTAAATATCTACATTATGTTAAAAGGATTGGAGGAAAAATGGACCAATTTTTGTTTAAAACAATTCTCTTTAGAAATTTTTTCGTTATAACGTATCCTGATATTCTTACGTAGAGGTTTAAAAATCATTTTGCTTCATTAGTGACGGATAAAAATCTATCCGCAGTAGTAACCCATAAATAAAAAGAGAATGATGGAAAATGTTACCAAAATTTAGTAAATAAATAGACGATGTCGACCGTTACTGATTCATAAGTTTTTCTCTCTGATGAAATAAACTATCTTTTTTTCTCAATTCGAGTTACCGCAATGACAGGCTCAGAAGACACATTTAAACCAATATTATTACTAGTTCGCGACAGCTCTAGTGAAAGCAACACTAATGTTTATGGTTTGATCCCTAATCGGGATGCAAATCTTGCTGCTCTAATTTTATTTGCCATTCTTTGGGGCTGGAACACTGTTATTGGTATTTACACTAAGCAATGGTGGTTTTTTACAGCATTTTTCATCGGATGTGGCCTTGAAACCGCCGGTTATATTGGTCGTTACCTGTCTCATGGGGATCCTTATAATATTAATTATTTCCTTGATCAGATTGTTTGTCTTACGCTTGCCCCAGCATTTTTTATGGGTGGAGTTTATTACCTTCTTGCTAAATTTTCTATGATTTACGGTTCTGGGGTATCCCGCCTTAAACCCATGGTTTATTCCTATATCTTCATTTCTTGTGATCTTCTTTCCATTATTTTGCAAGCAATTGGTGGTGGTATGGCAGCAACTGCTCTTGACGAAAATAAAGATACCGACCCTGGAACCCATATTATGGTTGCTGGTTTGGCAGTGCAGGTTGCTGCCATGTCTGTATTTGGTGCTCTCTCTTTTGATTTTATTTGGCGTGTCATTAAAATGAAGAAGAAAGGACGTACGGAGCACCCAAATCTTTCAGATAAAGAACTCGACGCCCTAATTTTTGAGCCTAAGTATGCATTTATTCGCAACAAGGAACCACTATATCATATTTTTCTCTATGCTATCTTTACATGTTCCCTTTTAATCTATGTAAGATGCATCTACCGTCTCATTGAGCTGGCCGAGGGTTGGGATGGATACCTTATTTTACACGAGCCTTACTTCCTTGTTCTTGAAGCTCTCATAGTTTTTCTTGGTGTTTTATCATTATCTATTGTTCACCCTGGATTTGTTTTTGGACGAAATACCAGTATTCCTGTTAAAGGTCTTCATAAGAAGAAACATTTTGAAGAAACCGAAGAGGAAAAAACACTTGAATTCAACGAGTCTGATACGGCCATCTAAATATTTCCACTGTTAAATTTTTTTATCATAGCTCTTTTTTTTTTATGTATTGTTACGATACGAAACATGCTTTATTAATTTTTCTAAAAGCGATTTGTTAAAAGTGATAAATCTTTAAGTTGAGTTGTCGAAAGTGAGAGAGAGCTAAACATCCGATTTTCACTTTTTGCATGTCTTTTGCAATAAAAATTGTTCTTTTTCTTTTTATTCTTTCACCAACAACTAGTACATAGTGCTCCGGTTGACAAACGGCGCAAAACATGCCATGAATCAACTATCTTTATCCCTCCAAATGACAACCCATATTATTAGACTCACGGCCTAAAGGCTAGAGGAGTAATACTTCACTGACCAACTTCAAAATGGCACCTTCATGAAATTCATGCATTTGTCAATGAAATCGAATAGCCAACCCTAACAAAACCCTCGACTCAGATTGAATTTTCGCAAAAACCTTTGAGATCCAAATCATCTTCGGCAACAAAATCAATTCCTTCCCTGCCTGGCTCACAAAGCTTTTCAGGAATGCCAGTTTAAAAGCTACCACACCACCGAAAGAAACAAGTCACATAGTTATCATTCCAAACTCTCACGAACCAGATAAAAAACCAACCAAACCTGCACAATTAGTAAACAAATAATCTAATGAATATCAAAATTAGGCTTTATTATGTTGTAAATAAATTATCATTATTTAAAGTTTATTGTTTAAAGCAAACATGTTTAACATTTAATCAATTTTAACGAAACAATTTTTAAGTATACAATTAAGAAATTATTTTTTAAATTAGTTTAATTAACTCAAAAACTACTACCAAATAAACATCACCAGTACGTTGGTTTTTAAGTGTATAACGCAATCTTGCTCTTGCTTTGGGAGGTGTTGAGATATACTTTTCTACGTTAAATTTAAATCCCGGCAAGCTAATAGCAAACTCTCGACCTAAATCTAAATATGGAGTATAAAAATCAAAGGAGTACTGAGTCGGAGAAGTTTCAAATAAGAAGTTGTGTCGATGTTCGTGCAACAAAAAATATCTACTTCTCTCCAAAGAGTTTCGGGGTATTGAAGTTTTTTTTGAGTTATTGGGATTATTAGTTTTATTAGTTTTATTAGTTTTATTATTGCTAGTGTCCCCTTTAGAACCACTTTTTTCATTGTATCCACTATTCTCATTTATTTCGTTTTGAGAATCAATGCTCAAGGAATTTTCATTTATTTCTTGATCCATACTTTTGCTGTTTATATCATCTTCTTCAATAATCCCTGGCCAAATTAAGCTTCCATCAGAGCAAGATATTTTTCCCAATTGAATTTTATTAAAAGAAGTTAAAGCAGAACCATATAAGTACGGTTTATCACAATAAATATCTCCATCAACACTAGGATCAATCACTCGTTTCATGATCTCAAGTCCAATACCGGCACCGTAAGGAAGATAGTCGCGAATAGGTTCATCAAAATCATTACCCCAAACTAAGTCATCTCCATAAATAATTGGATTCTGTTCATTGTCACATTGTGCTTGTGAGTTGGATTCTTTAAAACACAACGTGATTTGAATTGAAAGGCGATCTGATTTATGTAATGGATGCTCAAAGTAAGGACTGGTGGATGTATCGAATTTCAAATTAAATGGAGGTTGGAAACTCTCATTTGAAGTTTGCAACACTGAGTCAATTGCAGTTTTATTTGAAATTTCCTTAAAATCTTGGATACGTACTGCTACCTGAGCAGAAATAAACTTTGATTCAAGATATATTACTTGCGGACAATCTATACACTTTTCTGTGTTGGCTGGGGGTTTAACATTCCCGTAGCCATAGTCGTAATCAATATTGTTAAAATCTTGTTTGTTGACAGGCACTACTTGCAGAGCTTCTTCGTTATATGAAGTACCCGCATATACCTTAAGATAAGATGTGGAGTTTCCATTTGATGTGTTTGAAGACCAGCTAGACCACATAACCGAATACTTATTTTTGTTGATGCTGATAATCTAGAATGCAATAAATTGGATGGCAACTTTGACAAAAGAAAATGCTAGAGGAATGTAATAATTTTATATTTAAAGTATTTTGTTTTAAAGTTACTAATATAGGCTTACTTCAAATTTGACTTTAAAACTACCAACAAGAGACAACAAAAGATAGCAAGCTTCAATCAACTCTTTATATTTATAAAAAAATACTTTAATAACTCACACCACTTCAAATAATATTAATCATGGCATCAATTGAACAAACTGATACAGAAGTCATTTTGAAAACAGCTGATGGAATTGTTTCCGCACGGGTTTTGCTTAAGGGAGCAACAGTTTTATCCTGGAAAGTTCATGGTCAAGAACAACTTTGGCTATCCGAGTCAGCCATTCTTGACGGAGATAAAGGCGTACGTGGAGGTATTCCATTAGTATTTCCTCATTTTGGCCCGGTCACTAAATCATATGTGACTTCTGGAGAGACTCTTCCACAACATGGATTTGCTCGAAACTCTCAATTTGAGTTCCTGGGTCAAATATCAGACTCCCCTCTCTCTGTTCAATTTGGATTGGGCCCTGAAAATGTACCAGAAAAACTTCAAAGACTTTGGCCTTACAACTTTACGCTTATTTTTACTGTTACCCTGGACAAGAGTATTCTTCAGACTTCTATTTCTATTGAAAATCCTAAGATTGGTGTACCAGATGCCGAATTGAAAAAATGGGATTTTAATTGGCTTTTCCATACATATTTCCATGTTCCTAACGGTATTGATTCTATTTCTGTTACAGGTTTGAACAACCTTGATTATTATAATAAAGTCCTTGACTCTAATGCTCATGAAGACAGTGAAGAAATTATTGTCACTGGTGAGCTTGATCGTGTTTACAAAAATACTAACCCATCTTGCCCAGTTTTTATTAATGACTCCGGCTCTCCAATTTTTGAAATCATAAGAGAAAACCTTGACGATATTGTTGTTTGGAACCCATGGGAAAACAACATGGGTGATTTTAGTCCTAAAACTGGATTTAACGACATGATCTGTGTTGAAGCTGGTACTGTTTCTCATTCTGTGACCTTAAACCCTGGCGAGAAATGGGAAGCATCTCAGACTATTAAATCTAATCTTTAAAAACAACCAAAGATATAAACCATAAATATTATTAGTGTATTTTTTGAAAAAAAAATGAGAAACATGACCCGTTTGCAATAAAAAACGATGATAAAAAATATTAACTAAACTAATTAACTTAAATTAAATTATGATTAACTTTTAGCAGTTACAGCTTTGTGCACCAGAACGCCCATTACCTGCCATCAAATCAACACGTCCATCACGTCCACTTTCAACATCAGCAATACCATCAGCCCCAGGACCAGTACCTCGAGCGCTATTGCGACCATTAGGACCGGTTTCTTCAGGTATTTTATTCGCTATAGACAAAAACACATCTGACACATTTTTTCCAGACTTTGCAGAAGTTTCAAAAAATAAAAGGCCTTCAGCTTTAGCAAGAGCTTCACCTTCTTCGCGTGCAACCTTTCTAGTGAGTAAGCCAGAATCTTCATCATCTTCGGCTTCATTTTCACTACCATCATCTTGATCATCACCGGCTGTTACATTCATGCTTTCGTCTGCGTTCTCATTTTCATTTAATCCCTTTAATTTTTTCTTATCAACTTTGTTTCCCCCTTTAACAAGATCAACCTTATTTCCAACAAGAGCAATGATAATGTTTTTGTTGGCTTGTGCTTTAAGCTCATTAACCCAATGACGAGCTTTTATAAAAGAAGTAGGCTTTGTTACATCGTAAACTACAAGAGCGCTTTGAGCATTGCGGTAATACATTGGTGCAAGAGATGCAAATCTTTCTTGGCCAGCTGTGTCCCTTTATCAAAGTTAGACATTTAATCTAAAATAAAATAAAATAAAATAAAAAACTAACCATATTTCAAATTTAATTGTACGATTTGGAAGAGAACATTTTTGAGTTAAAAATGCAGCTCCTATTGTGGGTTCTTTATAAAGCAAAAGAATTGATGTTAGAAATATTTAGAATGGAGCCATTTTAAATAAAATGAACAAAAATATTTTCAATACAAATTAAAAATGGTATCAATAAGTTGTAAACACGTTATAATTATAACTACTACCCAAGTATAAATCATTGCCAAAATAAATAAACCAAAACAGCTTAAAATATCCATTATCTTATTCTAATATATGAGATTAAAAAAATCCATACCTTTATTCTCCTGAAAATCATTGGAAACAAATCGCAAAACAAGAGATGATTTGCCAACAGCAGCTTCACCAAGAAGTACCAGTTTAACAGATGTTGTTGGTTTATTGGTCGGTTGACTGGGATTAACCATATTTATTTAAAAGTTGATCAAATACTAGTGTTAGATGTTGAGATAAAAGGATTTTGATTTCACCTCTTTATTTTCGTTATCTTAATCTATTCGATATCCATAAAAAAAACTTGTGTAATGATTAATATAAAAAAAAAATAAAGAAAATCCAATTTAACTAAGAAAAATATGGATATATTTTATTTATATTATTTTATTTTTTTTTGTTAACAGACAATATACTATCAAAACTAAGAGATATATGATTAAAGAAATTCGTTGGCTTAGGGGGCGCATAAAGAGGCAAAAAATTCCTACTACCTGTACATAAATAGGTAAACACGTATTTATGATACTTATGACATTAATGTTGCATTGCTTTTTGTAATAATAAATCTTATGGCATACTAATTATATTTAACATGGACTGGATTATGTAATCAATAATTTAATATATTAAGTCAAATGTTTGTATACACTTTTCAATCAACAAAAGAACCAAACATTAGCTGTAAAAAAAAATTTAAATTTATTCTCTTAAAAGTTATATAAATTATTTCTTTAAATTATATATATAATAATATTAAAAATAGATAAATGACGGAATTTATTTAATATAGTAAAATTTACTGCCATCATAGAATTATCGAAAGAATCATTAAGTTATTGAATTATTGAGTTATTGAAAAATATAATTAATGTCGGGAATCCATGGATATTCTAAAATTTCTGGTGCTGAACCTTTTATCCAAGGGTGATTTATCATCTCAGTAGCAAGGAGGCGTTTATCGCGTTTTTGTAGAGTGCCTTCTACTAGTTCCATCCCACCTTCCCATTGCTCACATTCAGATCCCTTTTCTTCATTTTCAGGAATGTTATCGTGGTGATCTCTAAATATAATCCAAGACCATTCTACCCTTGCAATTCTATGAGCAACTTTTCCTCTTACAGGCCGCCCAGGAAATACTGGAGGGTCAAATGGAAGACGGCCTTCCATCATGGCATAAAGTAATACTCCAAGTGCCCAAGAATCTGTTTGTCGCCCATCGTAGGCTTGACCCATAAGTAATTCAGGTGGAACATAATCCACGGACCCACACCTGGTACTAAGAAAAGGATCTTCGGGGTTTATTTGCCGTGAAAGACCCATATCTGTTAATGTTGCAATTGCCTTAGGATATTTTAAATAGTCAAGCCCCGGTTCTAGCAACTGAACCACAGGAATGTTTAGCAAAACATTTTCAAGCTTTATGTCTCTGTGAACAACAAAATTTTCATGAAGATATGACACTGCTCGACAGATTTCTCCAAATATGCGTCGGACCAACTGCGATTTCATATCATTTCGATGATTTATAACCAATTCAAAAAGATCACCGCCGGGACAAAGTGGTAATACCATCATAGCCGATTGTTTGTCAATATTGAAGGCATACATTCTGATGAGTGATGGATGCTTTATTGTCTAAAAATCAGTGTGTTAGTTATCTCCAAAATAAATAAAAAAAACACACAACTTACTTTAAGAATTTCAATTTCCCTTTTAAGACCACTTTCCATTCTTTCCCTAGAATGAACATGACCACCTTCGATTTGTATGTCAACCACTTTAATTGCAACTTGGTATTCTCTGCTATGTCCTTGATACTCTGGTTTTAGATATCTATCAGCAGGGCATGCTAAAATTACTTTACTAAATGCCCCTCGTCCCAGTTGTTTAATTTCGTTCCAGGTTGATTTTTTCATGTTTGTGTCATACGCCTCATATACGCGTGTCGAATAAAATTTATCCGAAGTATCAGCCGACACAGAAGTAATAGTAGAAGAAGCTGTGGCATTAGATATAGAGCCAATAATACTTCCTGAGCTTGTAGATGTGGTGACAGTCGACGACGTTAACTCTAAAGGATTTTGCAGCGAAGGAACTTTTTCTTGATCTGTAGAAATAGGCTTAAGTTGAGACAACACTTTTTGTTTTTCATAATATTGCTTAGTCTCTTTCTCTTTCTCTTGTTTTGGATGGTGTTGAGATATATTTGATGATTGATCCCCCATAGATATCAAGTTAGTTACATCAAGAAGTTCAGTTGCTAGGGGTGCTTTGTTTTGATCAAGGGAAGAATTCAAAGACTGGGAGCATAGCTTAATCTGTGGGTTAGTAGATGTGTTAATGGTGATGGATGACGAAGACGGTGAAGGCGACGTTTGCATCGTCGACGTCGACGTCGGCAATGGTGGAGCCAAAGCCGCACCAAAGGGAGGCTCAGACTTGGAGGCTATTATAGGCTTTTCCCGTTGGATAGTTCGACCAAATACTGGAGACCCGCTAGATGATGATCGAGGTTGAACTTTACCAAGAGTTTGATTGACAGAAATGGAAGACGTGTCTTTTTGCAAATTCAAGCGCAATGATTCTTCTTGTGAATTATTTTCAGCAAGAGTTTCTGAAGATGGAGTCTGTCCTCCAACTTTAAGGCTAGGAGTTTCTTCTAAAATACCTGGAACACAAATAGGATTAATAACAGCTGGTGCATTACGTAATTTTTGATTTTTTATTTCGTTGTTTGGAGTGATATGAGTTGAAAAGTGGGAAGAATAATTGTTTTCATTAATTTGAACTTTAGAATTATGTTCATTTTTAGTTTTTGACTCACTTAGATATTCTTCTTCAATATTCCTGCTAGTCGTCGGCTTAGGAGAACGGCGATGATAAGAAGCCAAAGATGAAGGTGTTATAGGTTGTGGAACATATTCGCTTACTGAGCGAGAACTTGTCTTCATAGATGATACTTTTGAAAATAGAGCTGTGTTTTTTGACCCTTCTGTAGGTATCATGGAGGGTTGAAGATTAAGATGATTTGAGATGCCTTGAGATGCAGAATTTGATTTAATGGTAGAGCTGTCGGGTGAAAAAATAGTATCGTTTGAAGATAAGCTTGCATATTTATTAGAAGTTAATGGTAACGGCAATATCGAGCAATCGTCTTCAAAGCCTTTTCTTGGTGCATTAATAGGTGAGTGAGTATTTTTTGAGTTATTATTAATAGTAGAATGTAGGTTAAATCGTAAGCCTGAGTTTCTTAATGAAGGTGCCCTAGAAATAGTTGTTGTAGGAGGACTTTGTCCATTGTAGGCTTTAAAAATCGCTGAAGTTGAGTCGGTTGGAACGAGGGGAGAGGGAAGAGGTGTGAGCTCAGTGTATGTGGTAGAATTTGGAGGAGATGATTCAAAGGTAGAAGATGTCGATGGAGAACTACTTAAATTAATATTATTAGGGGTATTACTGCTATTGCTGTTAATAGGAATCGTAAGCTTAAGAGAAGGATGTGAATTTGAGTTTGATGAATGAATATTTAAAGAACCAGAATAATAGCATGGAGTACTCCCCGAAATAGAACTAGAAGGAACCAAAGTAGGGATGCGAGACTTAACATCTGAAAGATTAAGTGACTTCTCTTCATTATTACTAGATAGAGTGTTGCTTTTAGAAAAAAATATATTTTGATTTAAAGATTCAACAGAAGTAGAAGATGAAGAAGAGGGTGTCTTCAAAAAATTGTTATCTGATAAGTTTTCCATATTTCTGCTCAAAGTCTGCGTTGGATTAACTTGTGAAAATTGTGAAGAACATTGAGACGAAGACAAGTTAAATTTGGTGTTTTGTTCTTTACTTCCTTCTACAGTCGCTGCCCCTGCTGTTGCTGTCGCCACTTTAGCTGTTTGTTTGGATTGACAATCAAGAGCCATGATTGTTGATCATGACCTGAGAAGGACTAATCTAAAGACAGTGGGCTTTAAATGCAAGCGATCTAATGTAAAGTAAATCTGTTCAAAAATTAGTAGTAGGAACAAATAGAGATAAAGATGAGTTAATGGAAGGAAATATTTGTGTGTGTGTGTGTGTGTTTTAAGCTTAAGTATGTACATAACGCGTTACAGTTACCTTGCCTAATGTGTAGTATGTAAAATTATTGAAATAATGAGGATTATTCAAAAAGTTGGTTGCAAGCCATCCAGGTTTAATAATCTTTCTATTTAAATTAGAATAAAGAATAAGTTAACCATATCAATAATAGTATTTCAAATAACTGGTTAACAGTAGCATTTGAGAAAAAATGATTATTTGGTATAACCGGCTATCACAAGTCGTCGACATTTATAAAACTAATCCTGTTTATCCTAGGTTAAAATCACTGTAAATAAAATGGCTTAGTAATCTATATAAAATGTTGGTGTTTGTGTAAATTTCCGTTTAGTATTGAGTTTGCTGTTTTATGGTATCTAAATGCCAGCTTGTAGCTATATATAAGCTCTGAATAGAAAAGTTTAGGTCAAATTTAATAACAGAACAAACGATAAAGAAAGAATTACTAAATGATAATCTACTCAAGCACTTATGCTATGTTTAATTTTGGAAATGAGAATTTGCGTTATTCATATATAAAATAAGGCCAATTTTTTTCTTAAGCCTAGTATGTTACGTGAATGAGATGACAAGACAAGACAAGACAAGACAAGACAAGACAAGACAAGACAAGACAAGACAAGACAAGATAAGAGATAATGATGATGATGATTTTGCAATAAAATACAAATCACTACAATATTATAGCCTTTTGTTTCGAAATTCGTTATAGGATTGAATTACAAGTGTTTCAAGTTCCAGTGTAGAAAGACTATTTCAAAAACAAAAAATTAATAAGGGAGATCAATAATTATTGCTCTTTAAGATTTAAGATATCTCTTATAAGAGAAACAGAATAACGTATTACAAACAATTATTGTAATCCTCTTAAATATATATATATACATCAAAAAAAATATAGCATTAAAAGCAAATAGAATCTAGATGGAGATCTTGGTTTACAGCCAACTTGTAAATCTAATATTGGAAATTGTCTTAATACTAGAGATGGCTTTTTTTTCATTAAATAATTGAAAAAACTTGACAATTACAAACATATTTATAAGCATAGCAAAGTCTTACATTAGCTTATGTAATATATTATTGCAAATTTTGTTACGTTTGTCTCCTCTTAGGAAACTTACAGCAGTTATAAGATGTGTTCCACCTTAAGCAATCACCTTTACCTTTTACCCCCAAATTATTATTTCGTGCAGGTAGGGCTTTTTTCCCTGTCACGTATCTATCATTTAACTAAAAGTTTATTTAAATCACTTGTTATTTATATTTTCAAATTGATTCGATATGGCCACGAATGTTCGTCCAGTTCATCTAAATGTATCCTTGATAGCTGCTTTGGAACCGCAGTCTCAGCCAACACAGTCTCAGCCAACGCAGTCTTTAGACAAAACACCTCCACCAATTCCCCATATTACTGACAATTATATTACATTAAAAACAATCATCGCTAATCTTGTCCTTTTTACTCATAAAGAATTCAGAAATATTTTTGAAACTCTTCCTGCAACAACTTCGGATATTGCTAAAAAGCGACGCCTTCTTGATTTCATTGTCAAAATACGTACAGAATTTGTCAAAGTATATGTTCTAACAAAGTGGGCAAGAATCAGTAAAGATATATCAAAAACAATAGATGTTGTTTCATGGCTTAACGGTCAACAATATTGCTTTAGAAATGTTGTTTCTGCCTTATTTGGGATTGAAAAGGCACTTGCAGGAGCAAAACTTCGCACACCTGATATTGAAACAGCTCTAGAAGTTTTCACTGCCGGCCGCCCTGCACAATCCTCAAGAAATTATTTTCCTGTGAAAAAACTTGATCCTTCAACCATTCTTCAGACCTTGCATGATTTGGACATTCTGCTCTCTATTCGATTAGCTTTAACAGAAAAATTGCCACTAGAATTTTCTCATTATAAAATATCTGACGGGAGAGTAACTTTTTTTGTTGAAAATTCTTATCAGGTTCAACTTGGAATTGCCGATGACTCAGTTAATGCTCGTTTTTTTCTTGTTGACTTTAAATTTGACTTTCCTGGTGCTTTCAATATTTCTGCAAAAACGAAAGCGCGGCTGGAGTTGATTTCAAACGAATTTTTACCTAAAAAGGGACTGGTGGATTTTTTTGCAATGCTTTTAAAATTCACTCAAAACTACAAACTCTCTACATATTATGCTAGTCTCAATGATCTCCGTCGTGGCCTCTACGCAGATTTGATTCTTCCAAAATTCTCCCCTGAGAAAAGTCTTGTTACAGTGCAATATTGGCTTACTTCGAAGTCTAGTTTTTCGGCTTCCTCATCTTCAGTATCGCTTCCTTCAAACATTAATACCACAAGTAATCAAGCTAGTATTTCAGGTTCGACGTCTTCAGCTATTTCAAGTAATCAAGGCTCGAGAAGTTCAATTCATATTGGAATATCTAAAATTACAAATAAAATAGGTGTCTTGTGGTATAGGGATAATCAACTCGTTATCAACCATGGTCTTGAATTTGGGCAATCTCAAGAAACTGTGGAGTCATTGCTTCAGAGAGTTGCTTCTCTTCATGTTCAATACATTGTGCATAACGTTTTCCTTTCTTTATCAAAAATATTGGAATACAGTAATACATCTACGAACGTTGGAAAAATGAGTCATGTGGCTAATCATCAATCTTTATCTTCTGGTCAAGCATCAGTTGCATCAAATTTTTCTTTGTCTATTTCATCTAAAAACTGTAAGGCTATTTCTACTCAGAAATCAATTTACCTTCAGCAATCACGCAATGACGTAGCGTCTTCACCCCAGTCTCCGTCTGGAATTACTGCCTCAACACCAAATACACCGGCTCACACATCAGAACCATTTAAGCCATCTACCAACGAACTATACAATACAGACCCTTCTAATTATGAAATAGTAACAATGATTACACCCGAAAAGTTAAAAATTAGGCTTAACAGCACCAGATTTACAATATTCTCTATTGACAGACTTACTGGAAAGGCAATTCTTACTAATTCAACTCATTTGGTTTCTTCTGCAGAAGTTGCAATTAACGAAGCTCAAGGCCGTTTTGCGACTATTGCTGAAATTTTAATAAAGTTAAGGCTTTCATCGATACAGGAGGAAATTTGCAATAAAGCTAAAGTCACTGGCTGGATAACAAAGCAAAATATCCATCCATCCATTGTTCGTAATAAATTTCCTATAAATACACGGCTTATTTTTTTTTTACGGCAACCGACATGGCCTGACAAGTGGTATTTGTTAGTTACATTAAATACCCACGGAATACCTCGGTGGTGGATCACTCAAATGCTTTTTAAAGATAACAGTTGGTACGTTCTTTTTTCAGAAGAAGCTTCGATACCTAATGAAGAATTGGGAAAAAGTTATAACTATAAAATGTTTGTTGAGCTAGACCAGTTCACTATCTCAAGAATACGAACCGAAGCTTTACGCAAGGAATTGGATAGATGTAAAATTAAATACCGTCTTGTTCAAAGTACTAATACTAATTCTGATTTAAAGAACAGTCACACTGATACCTTAATTGATAATGAAATCTTGAACATTTCTAGCCGAACAATTTTTGATTCCAGTGATTCACTTCCTATTGCTATGTTTGACATCTCATCAATTATTGAAGGTTCTAAATGGGCGGATAAGGCTGCTTACATGAGAATTAGTGATGTGAATGAAGAAAAAGGAACAGTTGAGGTCATTGTTCAGGGTCATACAAAAAATGTATTTTCCATTGGTATCATGCCCTCAGATGACCCTAGTATAAAATTTAATCCCAACACTGGAATGTTTTCTTTGTTTCTCACTGTTAGCAGCTCTACTTTTTCTCTTTCCAGCTCTATTTCAGCAAGCAATCAGGAAAATAGCCAATCACTCAAAACAAATTCAGAACTTCTTAATTTGATTGTTCAAAAGCTTTCGCAGATTCAAACAATTGTTAGTCACGTTTCTTTATTAAAATCTCTTTCTCTTGATATTGTCGAGGCTTCGATGTCAAAAATTACATTTGAATATGGCCCCGGTATGAAAGCTTCAATTTTGATCACTCCAAATGTGGAACATACAAAGAATAAGGTCTTTGAACACGAACCAAGCATCAGTAAAAAGTGTGACTCTGACCAACAGAAGGGTTTCGATATAAAGTCGGCCGGATTCAAAATTGCATCTTGCTCCAACGATTATGGGTTTGTGTTTAAGTTGCACGAAAACAGCCCACATAAAATTGTCGAACCATTTTTACAAAAGGTCATTAATGCTGAAGGTCTAGGATCTGTTGTTTGGATTCTACGTAAATGCCTTCCTCTTTATTTGGCACTTCAGGAATTACAGGAAGGTCGCTCTATTCAGCTATCTGATACCAATAGAAACACAACATCACAAAGGTCATCCAGTCGCCCCTTCAATCCTATTATGGTTTTTGCTCACTCTCTTCTGGACTTTGTGATTCAATTTTATCGACCATCTGGTCAAGTGTGCATTCAACTGAAATTAGTTCAATCAAACCATCGACCCTTATCAGTATTTGTATCAGAGTTTTTTTTTAGAGATCAGTTTTATGTTCCATCAATAAGCGCCCCATTAACATCAGAAGAGCTGGATAATCAATCAAATTTATTATTTGCTCCTCTTATTCCACTATGGCGACAAAAGTCAGAAATCCCCGGTGTTATCCCTCTTCAACAAGGCTTATCTTGTCCTATTGAAAAAATTGGGCCTGTTCTTATGAAGATCACAGCAATCATTGCTCAACCTTCGTCATCTTTAGTTCAACCTGTCGGAACATCTTTGAACATTGGAAATGGAAGCAGTGGTAATGGGAATAATAATGCTGTAAGATCTTAAGTACGTCTATGTAACAAGAAGAAACAATGAGATAAAATTCGTAAATAAGAGTTTTATGAAAAAAAAAATTGAAATAAATGTAACTGTATTAAAAACAAAGAGCTAGAAAATATATCTTTAGAGTAAACTTAAATTGAAATAGGCAAATGGGAGAAAAAACCCCTTACCAGTCACCTTTAATAACTATTAAACAAAACGTTAGTCCACTAAAACTATTTAGTTATGAATAAATTAACTTACCTTCGCCCTGAGGGGGGAAAACATTGCGTTCATATTTAGTACCGCCAGGTCGTTGAGGAGGGATAATAGGATCAGGATGTGCGTACTTGACTAACAAGGCTTGAGTATTGGACACCAAGTAATGGATTTTGCGAGGGTCTTTAACATTTTTGTTTTCATCAAATTGTTGTCTAATTTCAAGGGCTTTAACACGCCAAAGATCACGACGACTGATCCAACTTTTGGAAAGGCGGAGTGACTGTCTGTAAAGGGAAGAAACGATCCTTCGGTGTGTTTCGCTGACCATTGTGATAAATATGTGCCGGATTCCCTGATTTTTTTTAAAGTATGCAAATATATAAATTAAATATTGTAAAGACAAATCAATATAAATTCAAAACGGCCGTAATAAATAAAATAGTATAACTATTATGGGCGATTTGAAAGTCCAAACTAAATGCAGTTTTATGAGTGTGCGTCAAATGTTTATATTGATATATATTAAAAACAATTGAGTGGTTAGTGGAGTTTTTTTTTTTGCGCTTTCACTGTGCTGCAATTTTTGTAACAAAAATAATATATGAAATAATTACCACAGTTCATTTTATGAGCTATATTAAGATGTGACCATTAAACCAACGGCTATATAAATATATAATGATTCTATTGGATAGATTGTCCTGTTAATAAAAATCCTAAGGATATGGTGGACATATATTTGTAATATTTATGTAATATATAATATTTATAAGTAATTAGTAATGTCACATATTATGCAAGCCCGGTTCAACACATCGTTTTGTGCTTGGCGAAATCGCTCTTAAAATTTAGCAATTCTGTCATAAATGATTATTCGGCGTTCATAGATAATAACCCTAGTAAGGTGAATCTTTTTATTTTCTCTTCTTGAAAAAAAATAACTTATAAATACTGAATCAGTTCTATATTGGATGTAAATCTAAAGAGTTCACATTGAAAAAAACTGTCCTTAAAAACACTAACGAGTTTTGCCTAATTTAATTGATTTTTTGTTGAACTGAGCATGATATTGGTCATGATAATTGGCCTATTTCTAATTTCTATAAATTACCCTAACTTCTCGATACCAAATATTACTGTAAAATGGACGAAGAAACAAAAGTGTTGACGTCAACTCTTAACTCATTTTTAGACTACGGCCACACTGCTCAGCTTAATGTTATCAAAGTACGGCGTGAAAAACTGAATCAATTGAAAGCTAGATACCAGTATGAAGAAGGTGGTTGCATCAATCACGGCAATCAAGTCAATTATTATGAGCTTGCTTCTAAATATATTGAGCCACTTCTGGAAACTTTGACTGAAGATATCGAAAATAACTCGTTTTTTTTAGAAGCTGTTGCCCAAACAGCTAAAGTAGCCTTTGGTGCTCCAGAAGACGAAGCAGTGTGGGAAGAAAGCACTATTTCGGAAATTTCCAAAGTAGTCAGTATGTTGGGCCAAATTTCGCGTGAATGGAGCATAGAAGGAATTCAGGAAAGGGAATGTTCTATGGGAAAAGTCATTAGAGAGATTGAAAACTTATTTCCTGAACTAGAAGAAGGGACATTTGAGTTTGATGAATATCTTGTCAAAATGGATCTTGGTGATAAGAGATTAATATCAGATAAACTGCGACATCAAATTACTCGAAATAGGGCAAGTGTTAATATAGTAATTCCAGGATGTGGGTTAGGCCGTTTGCCTTTAGAATTAGCTGCAAGAGGCTTTGCCGCTCAAGGGAATGAAGTTTCTTTTTCTATGCTTTTTACGTCAAATTTTATTCTTAATAGTACGAACGCCACGAACGAATACAGACTTAATCCATGGATTCATTCTTTCTCACATGTACGTGATCGGTCATATCAGACTCGTGCTGTACTTGTACCGGATATACACCCTGCAGAGTTTTTAACTAGAAGAGAAAAAGTATTTGGTAAGCCCGCAGGAGAATTGACAATGATGGCAGGTTCTTTTGATGAAGTATATCCAGCAAAAGCAGACAAAATGGATAATCCAAATTTGAACTCCTTCGAATCATTTAACTTAGAGCGACGGTACGTTCGCCAGCAATCGGAGGAATTGAAAGAAGAACAGTCGTTAACGGAGAATTTTAAAAATATGCATAAAAACAGTGATTATGAAAATACACCCAATAGAAAAAAAGTGGATTGTACAGAAGATAAAGACTTGAAATCTGATAATATTTTAGAAAATGCATTTAATATGTTCACCTTGAAACCGAAATCTTCAGAAAACATAAGTGAACATAAGAACCTTCCTAGCGAAACGGAACAGAAATGTGATTTTTGTCATGATTGTGATGAAAATAAGGTCTGTTTTCAAAAAAGCAAAAGCATTTGCAGTTGGAAAAATACGTCTCCGCTTTTACCAGCCAATGATAATCAATTTACTGATAAGCAGATTTTGAATAACCAATCGCTTAAACCATTGTCAAACGAGAATATTGAGAACTCACAAAGCGAAAATGGCAGTAGAAATAAGGAAAATCTAAAAGTTGACGTTATTGCGACAGTTTTTTTTATTGATACCTCCCCAAATATTTTCAAAACTTTAGACACCATTTCAAAGACGTTAGTTAAGGGTGGATATTGGATAAATTTTGGGCCACTGCTTTGGCATTACGAACATCACATTCCAGCATTTGAGTATTCATCAAACGATGGGTCTGTAACAAATCATTATACTTGTGATTCTAACCGTAACAGTAATGTCAATGAAGATATTGGGGTAAGTGGGCATAACCATAATCATGACAGGGATCTGGATGATAGAACAGCTGGTCTAGAACTTTCATTAAATGAAATATTTGATGTTCTCCCCAATTATGGTCTTCGGATTATAAAACAAGAAAGTAGAATTCCTACAACTTATGCAATTGATACAATGTCGATGCGTGGTAATATGTATAATTGCGAGTATTGGGTAGCAATTAAAGAAGTTTAACATTCTTGTAAAGAAAACTCAGGGTAATTATTAATTGTAAAGCTTGTCTTTTTCGTTTTTTTGAAAAGTGAAATTTGTCGTTTAGTGAACTTATTCTTATCCCAAAGCTATTCTTGGAAAAAAACTAACTGTACCACTCATAAACCATGGTTAACTTTCATCGTATTAATATCCAAAATAAACTGTTATGGGAAGTATGGCCAGGAGTATATTATATAAAAATATTATGAAATTAAGGCAGGCACTACTTTTATAAAAATTTTCAAAAGCATGCGATATTTCGCCTGTAATCACCGGCTGTTAATATACGTAGTAAAAATATCTCAACATTCAAAAAACTAGCAATGAGGAATATGATTATTGTCAATTGGGCACATTAATGTTTTAAAATTTTGAGAATTCATAAGTTGATTGATTATTATGTATGCATTTCATCCTCTTGGCAATTGTTTCGGAAGCTGATGATTTTGAGCCAAGAACAAAGTTTAATTAATACCTTTGAAAATGATTTCTGTTTGATTTTTGGAAGATTTTTGGAAGAAAAATTTTTTTTTATTCTTATTCTCATAATTATGAGAATAAAGGTCATTTTTTTGATAATGACCACTAAAAATGCCTTAACATTATTTGTTGAAAAGATTATTGAAACCCTTTAACAGTTAAACATCTCATTTGAATTCGAAAGGAATATTCCTTTGGCACCACAAGTCTTGACGTTCTTAGATTGAACCTGTTTATTGAGTTATTGTCTTAAATATTTTATTGTTCTAGATTGGTAAATGCTACCAATGAGAATTAGATTTTTTAAGATGTATAAGATAACTATCATATGATCAATAATGATCATGATCAAGATCACTATGTGACCATGATATGATATGATATGATATGATAATCAGTTAAGGCGTGACTCATGATTGGCTAGCATGAATATTAGGATACATCAAAAATATTGCTTACATAATTTAGCATTTGAGGTAAAGACGCGAGCTAAGAAAATTCAAATGAATAAGAAAATAAATAAGAATTTTTATTTTTTTAGAAACTATCTTAAATTGGACACAACATACTTGATTAACAGAAAAAAACAGAAAAGAATTGCGCTAGCGCAGGTTTGGAAACTTAAAGAGCCTTAGACCTTTGCTGTAAATGTCTGGGTAGGCTCTTTTTCAATATCTATGTTATCACTCGAAGACAAGCTCTCAGCTTCAGTGTTTGTGTTCTTCTTTTTACCGTAGTTAGCCGCTACCTCATTAGCCCGTCTAAACAAATCTTCACGTTCAGCCTCAGTAAGTTCCTTCTTCAGTTTCTTACTGATACCACTTAGGAAAGGGAAATGGCCTGTTTTTTCCTCGTACCACATAAGAATGAAAACTGCACTAACAAAGATCCAGTAGACATTGTAAGAGATAACTGAACCATAAGTAGCAGAGTTCTGCCATCCGAAAAGGGCATTGAAAATCATCCAACCGTTATCAGTTTCAGGGTTGCAGCAGTTAACATGCCAGACACTAGATGAAACTTTGTATGAACCAGGGCCAGATCCCATCTCGGCAACATCACCTCCTGCTTTTTGAGAAAACACGTACATTTCAAAGTACCAAACAGCACGAGAGAAAAGACCGGCACCAATGAGGTAGACAAAGCATGTAGAGGCAATAAGGAAAATCTGGATAGACATGTAGTTACCACCACGATAGATAACGTAACCACACAAGCAACCAGCCAAAAGACCACAGATGACGGGGAGAGGGAAAGCAGTGGCAGAAGTACCAAGAGAAACACCACCAATGAAGACAACAGCTTCAAGACCTTCACGAAGACAGGTGATAAAAGGGAGGACAGCAATAGCATACTTTTTAGTCCACAAAACAGGATTCATTAGCTTGTACCATGGAAGCTCGCCTCTATTTTTATCAGAATCAATAAGTGCCTGAGCAATTTTAACTCTCCACTTCTCCTTCATCTTGTTAATTCTGAGCATGGCAAGACCCATGACAGTAATCAGGACAGTTGCAATAATTGAGAAGATACCTTCCCATAAATCTTCAGCACTAGACCAAATATCTTTACCCAATGAATAGAAAGCACCAATAAATCCACCACCAATAACTAAACAAATAAAAATACCAAGAGCAGCACCAATCCAGACTTGCCATACTAAACGTTTATACAAGGCATGATTATTAGACTCTTGGCCAAGACCTTGCTTTAAAAACGCAAGAAGAACAGAAACAATAATAGACGCTTCAAGCGTCTCACGGAAAAGAATGAAAAATATCTGAACCGAAAAAACGTCCTTAGTCATTGTGGAATCTATTAATAAAATTAGTAAGTCTTTTTTCCAGATTTTATCACTAAGTTCCTTACCACTTAGACACTAATTGTGGACAGTTGGTTTGAAAGTGAAAAAAAGCTATGTCAACAATCTCTATATCCTATTTCTAAGACAAAGAAAACAGTAATGAATATAGAAAGTAATGCCAAAAGAAAGTTAAAATGCTAAAAGCAGGTATAGAGTGGAGATCATAAGAAAAAAAGGCGAGAAAACTTCGAGGAAATGGAAGTATATATATACGGCAGCATTTGGGTCGAACAAACTTGAACTAAAAGTTAAGAATCCAGAACCAGTACAACAGGCACTGTGTCGCCATTTCGGGAAATACAGTCATATTTTTTTTTTTTTTTTTTTTTTTTTTTTTTTTTTGTATAGGTTGCAAGCTCTTAAGAGCAAATGTATTTTACTATGAGAGCAAGGCCTCTGTCGGGTATAAATTTTTGTTAAAGGTTTAAAAGTGATATAAATTTACAAAACCTCGTTGCCAATAATAGTTTGAGATGGTAAAAGTATCTTAATAGTTCAGAGATAAAAGTTTTCGTATCTTTCCATGTAGATCTTTTTTACTTTGTGGGTCAGTGGAACACAAAAAAATAAATTTTACATGCAACAGATTTTCGTGTAAAACTAATAGCCTTTTTAAATTTTATGATTGCCCTCCTATCAGATTATCAGCCGTAGCTCGGAGCCAGTATGGTACTCTAAAATATTAAAAGGTATATGTTGTATTTAATGTATTGTAACAACATTGTAATATAAGGGTATTTTTATAACAATGATTCCCGTACAAACGTTCTTCATTTTAAAATCTTGGCAAATATTGTGAAAAATTGAAAATTATGCTGCCGATTTACTATTATGATTTATTTCTCTTTCCTATTAGAGACTTGATAATGGAAACGGCGTTTATCAATATTGGTGGGGTATTTGATATTGCTTACATGAATACCAGATTAGTATCAATGTCTTGTTGAAATGATTTCCAAGTTGAGTAATCTCCTCTGGGGGTATTTGACGTGCTCTTTGATACATCATGATATATATGATCATATAGAAAAGGTCAGTTTTTAAAATGTTTAGATAAATTAATTATTGGCGACACTACAATATGTAACAAGCCTGCTTGTTAGAAAGTGATTAATCAGTTATTTGTTAAGTACATACTGTTTAAAATTTTGATTTATTTTAGGATTGAAAACAATTTTTTAACATTAATACAAGTCATAAAAAATAAAACAAGAAAAGATGATTGACTTTTAGGCTTCAACTAAAGAGGGGTTTTAACTCTTAGAGACAGTAATTGTGTCCTTTTCAATATCAAAATCGCTGGAAGAGGTTTCTGTGGTAGCTTTCTTATCCTTACCGTAGTTAGCAGCAACCTCATTAGCACGCCTGAAAAGATCTTCACGTTCGGCCTCAGTAAGTTCCTTTTTGAGTTTGTTCTTGAAACGACCCAACAGAGGGAAGTGCCCAAGTTTCTCTTCGTACCACATAAGAATAAACAAGGCACTAACAAAGATCCAGTAGACATTGTAAGAGATAACTGAACCATAAGTAGCAGAGTTCTGCCATCCGAAAAGAGCATTGAAAATCATCCAACCGTTATCAGTTTCAGGGTTGCAGCAGTTAACATGCCAAACACTAGCCGTAATTTTGTATGAACCAGGGCCAGATCCCATCTCGGCAACATCACCGCCAGCCTGATTAGAGAATTTGTACATTTCAAAGTACCAGACAGCACGAGAGAAAAGACCGGCACCAATGAGGTAGACAAAGCATGTAGAGGCAATAAGGAAAATCTGGATAGACATGTAGTTACCACCACGATAGATAACGTAACCACAGGCAAACCCAGCCAAAAGACCACAGATGACGGGGAGAGGGAAAGCAGTGGCAGAAGTACCAAGAGAAACACCACCAATGAAGACAACAGCTTCAAGACCTTCACGAAGACAGGTGATAAAAGGGAGGACAGCAATAGCATACTTTTTAGTCCACAAAACAGGATTCAACTTCTTATACCATGCAAGTTCACCCTTAACGGCATCAGAGTCGACGAGGGCTTGAGCAATTTTAACTCTCCACTTCTCCTTCATCTTGTTAATTCTGAGCATGGCAAGACCCATGACAGTAATCAGGACAGTTGCAATAATTGAGAAGATACCTTCCCATAGATCTTCGGCCTTAGACCAAATATCATTACCCAATGAATAGAAGACACCAATGAAAGCACCACCAATACACAAACAAATGAAGACACCAAGAATAGAACCGGCCCAGACGTGGAGCGTAAGACGTTTATATAAAGCACGATTATTAGGGTCATGTCCCAAACCCTGTTTCAAAAAGGCAAGCATGACCGAAACAATAATAGCAGCTTCAAGTGTTTCACGAAAAACAATGAAGAAAACTTCAACCGAGAAGACGTCTTTAGTCATTGTGAATTTTAGTAGCTGTAAATGAAAAAGATAGTTAGAATATATTTATAAAAAATGAATTGCATATATGTTAAATTAATATTTTTTATCTACTCACATGTTAAAATTTTAAAGACTAAAATTTGCAACAACTGTTCAAGTTGAAATTACAAAGGTTGAATAAAAAAATTGAATAAACGAAATATTGAAGGGGGGAAGTGGAATATAAATATATAAAAAAAACCAAAAAACCAAAAAATAAAAAAAATTTAGAAAAGTTTGAGATAGTGGTCGTATTTATATATGACGAATTCTCTTAAAAGAATAATCGCCTTTTTAAGTATCCAGGCAAGCTAAATGATTTGCTAAAATTAAAGAGCAGTGTACTCAAAACCATAAAATTTTTTTATTCAAATAGGGGGATTTGCATTTCATTTTCATAAATACTGACTATACATTATTTTCTATGTTTTTTTTGCAATTCGGTATTAATAATTATAATTATAATATTATAATAATAATTATATATTCAATAACTTTAGCTTAGGCTTGTACACTTTGGCCTATCTCCATTGATTTTCCTATTAAGTAACTTTGCCCCATCCTTATGGATCAAAGATTATCTGATAAACAGTTATTTTCACAACTCGTTCCTTTTTTTTTTTTTTTCAGAAACTTTTTAAAATTGTTTGAATAACAAGATCTATTGTTTGTTTGTGGATTGGAAATTTAAGACCTTAACCGAATACTATTATTCCTGATTTCCCAGTATGTCTTTCTTTGATCGCGATGTGATTGATATGATTGAAAAGATGTCATTACTTAATTTTTTGTAATAATCCTCACACTATTTTTACTCCTACGTGACGCAAAGTAAAAAAAAATCGAGACATGCATTTGTTTGTTTTTGGTTGTACGTAAATAAAAATTAATTAACTAAAAAAATGTTACCATCCATAAAATTAGGTCGGTTTCCACAAAAGAGTTTTACACAAAAGGGTTTTAGATTCTATAGAATAGTTCTATTAAATTTCATTCTTTTGTGTTCTCTGGGAAAAAAAAAGGATTTGCAACACAAAAATAGAAGTCTTCACATCTTTTGTAATTCTCAATACTAAAAGCAAACATTGAATGTAACTGGGCTTTGTTAATAAAGTGTTGAAACAATTTTTTATTGGTGATAGCTACCATTAATGACGTATTTAGTTGTTTTTTATAATAAATTTCTTTGACCTTAAAGAATTATCGTTTTTATCGTTTGATTTTTTTTTTTTTCAGATAAATTTTTTTTTTCGATTATGTTCCATTCGAATTTCCATTTAACTTTTTATTTGAATTTTCATTTATATTTTTAAAAAGAGTTAGGTTTAAGTCTCAAAGCTAAATTATTTCAAAATTACCCAAACAAAGCCCAGAAGGCTGTTTTCTTTCTAATTCTCCACAAAATGCTCTATGTATGCCTAGCCAAGACTCACCCGTTAAGACTTCATTTTTGCAGTAATTTGCTGCCAATATAAGCATGTAGTATTGTACCTGAGAAAAAAATAGATGCATTGAGAATTTGAAATACCTTGATAAAAAATTCTTGAAAAATTCTTGAAAAATGAATTCCAAAAACAATAAAAACTATTAAAATGTATTATATATACAAATATACAAAATAGTAATAACCAACCAAATTAAGTTGATAGATTTAAGTGAAATTGATACAAGGTATTTTTTATTCAATTTGTGAATTGGGAATTAAAAACACTGGGACCCGCTTCTATCAATATTTCTATTTCATCTAACCAAGCCATTTCGAAATACTAAAATTTCTGTATTTTTTAAAAAAGACATTCATTTTCAAGGCATCAAAAATTTGATTTTTTTTTTTTTTTTTGGCTTTACTTTGGGTTCAAAAGATTAAAAAAGTAAATTAATTACCAGATTAAATTAAATCAATGTTGGTAAACATTTATCTATGAAATTTTTATAGACCTGAACCTTTTTTTTTTTTTAAATTCGATTATCACCCAATTGTAATTAAATACAGAATTTTTTTTTTCACAATAGCATTCATTAAATTTAAATTTGTAAAATTGACCATTTAAGTTTATGGAGGTTTATTATTTGCAATTATGTTTTTGGATAATAATAAGAATATGTCTTTGCTCCAGGAAAAGAAACCAAAATAAATATCATAAAATATTACTATTTTTTTTTTATTACGCGATATATGAATTTACTGTCTATTGATGTTATTTGAGAAATTCTAAAAATTCAATAGACATTTTCGGTTATGGCGGATGATCTGATTAGATATATGATTGATTAGATTAGATGAAAATGTTCACCTTTTTTTATCATTTTTTTTTACATTCATTTGGCACAAAATATCACATCTCTTTAAAAATAATAAAATTTATGCTTCTATTTAATATAGGGGTTTTTTTATGGTAAGGTTACGACCGGAGTTTCATTATCCGTAGTCTCTTTGAAAAATTTTCTTGATATTTGGTTTTTCAAGTCCCAAGAAATTCTACAACAAAAACGAGGCCAATGTTTGTGCCAAGAAGCAAAGCAAAGCAAAGTGTAGGTTTTTTTTAAAAAAAAAAAAAAAAAAAAAAAAAAAGAAAAAAAAAACTGAAATGCAAAAAATCTCAGGAACGATGGTGCCGTCTTGGACCTTTTATATCACAATATAAAAAAAAAATTGGAATTTGAAAAACATGTTCGTTTATTGTTCATGAATTTCAAAAACATCGGTATTATTTTAACGATGATCATGTCATGACAAAATGGAACAAGTAATTATTTTGACAATTCCCTGAAAAAAATTTCATTCATCGGAAAAATTACTAAAACTAGAAAAGAATAATAATAAAAAAAAATTTGAGCCTGATACTTGTTTATCTGATTATCAGGAATATGATCAACCATTACGGGGTTGACTTTCGACTTCAAATGCCATTGATTGGTTCCGAGAATCGGGGTATGTTATGAGCGGGTGTGATTGAATGTTTTGTAACTTTTCAGTTATATTAATTAATAGTATAATATATTTGACTCGTATTAATACGGAATTATCATAGTAACTTCCGGTGTGTTGATACTTACACTGCATCCAAACCTTTAAGATTGCCATTAAATTTATAAATTTGGTGACAATATTGTTGTAATTACAAAATATACTTGTGAATATTTAGCGAATTAATGTAGCCTACTACTTTATCACCTATCAAATTTGCGAAGATCATATATCCTTCTCTCTCTTTTGCCTTTTCCAAATAATAAAAAAAAATCTGTTTGTTTCTTTTTTTGATTTGTTTGGTCACCTTAACAATCGTATCAGATAATCATTAAAACTATTTACACACAAACAAACAAACAAACAAACAGAAATAAAAATAAAAATAAAAAATAGGAAAATTAAAAAAAAAAAAAAGAATAGTAATTCGACAATATTGTCGATCATAAAAAAAAAAAATATAGTGATTGTAAACGATAAAATAAAGATTTGAGGATTAGATTAGACGAGTAAGTAGTATTAGGGCGTGAGTTGAAAAATATCAGTTGATCAAGATCATGAAGCTGAATGGTCGGCAGCGACGGCGATGACGGAGGAGAGAGAGAACAGCTATTGCAGTACTCATCCCAAAAAAAAAAAAAAAAACTTAACAGTTAAGGTTTTTGAATTTACCACCGCATATTTCCAAAAAGGGCAGGTCAGGCAAGCTTTCCTGGCTTCAAAACTCTGATGAGCGTAAAATTTGAAAATCAATACGACCCATCAAAAAAAAATAAATAAATAAAAAAAGAAATGCTATTATTATTAAAAACTTTTTTAAAACCCAGTCCCCCAATAGACAAAATTATGGATTTTGCGCCACACACTACAAACGAATTTCCAATTCCGGATATTGCAGATGATTGATCAGCTGCTGTAATGGCACATAAAAGAGCTAGACGAACATCATAGGAGGATTTAATGTATATTTAGGATTTGAATTTTTTTTTTTTTTTTTTTTTTTTTTTTTGAATTCCGAGTTTTCTGGTTAACTGACTAAAAATATCTCAAGAAAAAAATTGACGCTTATAGCTTCATCGAATTGCTATCTGACATCGTTCCAGGATGCCAGAAGTGAATAGATTGTAGGTTTGAGAGAAAGGAGTCAGTAATGACTTTTTGTGTGATGTAAATAATAATGTAAATAAAAATGTCAAAAAAGGCATTCTGTTTTGTGTGGTGGGTGTGGTAAGCTTTTGTGTGAGCTATAAGGCCGTAAGTATACATTTAAGTTGTTGTAGTTAGTTAGGCTGGTGCGAGAACTACAAGTAAAAAGAAAAATTTTTTTTTTTTTTTTTTTTTTTTGGGTAGCCAATTCTTCTGATATTTATACGCATATATAAAACCTGACTTTGCACCCATTTTCTTCTTATTTTTTTTTTTTCTTGTTGAAAATTGTTTGTTTTCTCCTCCTATTCCTTCTCTTCTCTCTTATTTAATTTGCTCATTATTTCTTAATTTGCTCATTTCCCACACTCTGAGGACTTCACATCACAAACAATGAAGCCATTATCTCAGCTGCTTTTTTCGGCGGCCACCTTCGCTACTTCTGCCCTGGCTGCAACTCACGTTTACGACTGGAACGTTACATGGGTTTCCGCCAACCCCACAGGCGATAAGGAACGCCCAGTTATTGGTATTAACGGTCAATGGCCCCTTCCTGCTCTTGAAGTCGACAAGGGCGACCGTCTTATTGTTAATCTCTATAATGGTTTGGGTGATCAAAATACATCTATGCACTTTCACGGAATGTACCAAAATGGCACCAACGCCATGGATGGCCCTAACTTTGTTACTCAATGCCCAATCCCTCCTGGCGCGACCTTCACTTACAACTTCACTGTTGATCAGAACGGCACTTACTGGTACCATGCTCACGTTGCTGGTCAGTACCCCGATGGATACAGAGGTTCCTTCATTGTTCACGATAAGAATGCTTACTTTGCCAATGATTATGATGAAGAGCTGACTTGGACTATGTCTGATTGGTATAATGATGTTATGGATGTTCTTCGCCCTGAATTTCTCAGTCTTTACAACCCATCTGGTGCTGAGCCGGTTCCTAACAATATTATTTTCAATGACTCCCAGAATGTTTCTGTTTCCATCAAGCCCAATACCACTTACCTGATCCACCTAATGAATACTGGTGCTCTTGGTTCTATCTTCTTTTGGATTGAAGATCATAACTTTACTGTTGTTGAAGTTGATGGTGTCTATACCGAGCCCACTGAAGCTCAGTATCTTTACCTTACTGTTGCCCAACGTTATGCCATTCTCCTTACTACTAAGGAAGAAACTGATAAGAATTATGGTATTGTTCTTGCTTTTGATCCTGGTCTTTTCGATGTTATTGAACCTTACCTCCAAATGAACCAGACTAACTGGCTTGAATACAATTCATCTGCTCCTCATGAACATGTCACTCCTGACTTTGAGTCGACTGACGACATTCCTGCTCTTGATGACTTCGATCTTATCCCCGCCGATCGTATTCCTCTTTACCCTGAACCTGATTTGGAAATTGTTGTCGATGTTACAATGAACAATCTCAACAATGGTATCAACTATGCCTTTTTTAACAATATTACTTTTACTTCTCCTAAGGTTCCTTCCCTTTACACTGTCATGTCTGCCCCTGATGAGTATGTCATGGATAGTACTATTTACGGTGAATGTGCTCATCCATTTGTGCTTACCCACATGGATGTTGTTCAGATTGTTATAAACAATGTTGATCCTGGTACTCATCCTTTCCACATGCATGGCCATGAATTCCAAGTCATTGTGAAATCCCCTGCTTACGATGATGATAGCCCCACTGCTTATGACCCTGATAATCATGATCCTTTCCCTGAATTTCCAATGAGACGTGATACTTCATTTGTTCGAGCCAACGGTAACTCTGTTTTCCGTTTTGTTGCTGATAACCCAGGCGTTTGGATCTTCCATTGTCATATTGAGTGGCATTTGGAACAAGGTCTTGCTCTTATTTTGGTTGAGGCACCTGATAAACTTAAGGAGCAATCCATTCCTGACAATCACTACGACGTTTGCAAGATTTCTGGTAGTGCTTATGTTGGTAATGCTGCTGCTAATTCCACTGACTTCATGAACCTTAATGGTCAAAACATGCAAGTCAAGGATCTTCCTTCTGGTTTTACTGCTAGAGGTATTGTTGCCTTGGTCTTTTCTTGTGTCTCTGCCTTCCTCGGTATGTTTGTCATTGGCTGGTATGGTCTTACTGATGCCACTGCCTCAGAGGCAAAGATTATCGAAATTCTTGAAGAGGAGGATGCAGTTGAGGAGGCTTACCGGCACAATGCTTCTGTTGAGCAGGAGATTTCTAATGATCGGATAAATTAATCTTTTACTCAACAATTGCTTGAAATTTTGTTTGTTTTTATTTGTTTTTCACCCTTTACACACTTAGCATCCGCGTTATGTCTCCCTTCCACTTGTTCTCGTTTTGCTGTATTGTTTTTAATTGTTTTTAATGTTAAAATTAGCACTTGAAAAAATAAATTTTATGCTCAGAAACATTTCATTTCGAATTATTTCCAATATATCATTGTATATTCGGGCGTTAAACTTTCCCAATTTCCCGTAGTAATAAGGCAAATTAGTGCTTTCGAATGTGTTACAAACTGATAAATGTTCTTCCTTATAAGGAAGAACAACTAATTAGTTAAATAAACTGGAAATTAAAGGTTGATTAACTTTTGGCAAAGAAATACGTTATAATCCTACTTCAATTTCAATTTTTGAAAAAAAAAAAAAAACTTGATATATTCAGGCTATTTAGAAATTGATTTAATTTAACATCATTTTTCTATAAATGTATTACCTCGTTACCTCGTTACCTCGTACATTTGTTATTATTTTCATATTCATTACAAATTGTAACTAAATATTACATAATCAAATTGAAATTTTTTATTTGCAAATAATTTGATCCAATAATTTTTCATCTTTTTTGTTTTTAATTTTTTTCTACCTTCAGTCATCAAAAGGATACCTTTACCATAATGTCTGTTAGAGCAGCCAACTATTTGGCATGGAAGCCTTTGTCTTTTGGTTTTTGCCGAACTGCTTTGAAGTCCCAAAGAATTTCTTTCCCAAGATTAACTCAAAATTCTTTTTCCACATCTTCGCCATGTCAAACCTATGAAGAAGAACGTGTGGTTCTTGACAAGATCGATGCCGAAATGCCAGAGATTGACAAGACCCGTCTTTCTACATTAAGAAATATTGGTGTTTCTGCTCACATTGATTCTGGTAAAACAACCTTTACAGAACGTGTCCTTTACTATACTGGCCGCATTAAAGCTATCCACGAAGTGCGTGGTCGTGACAATGTTGGTGCTAAGATGGATTCAATGGATTTGGAGCGTGAAAAGGGTATTACTATCCAATCTGCTGCAACATACTGTGACTGGACTCGAAACCATCCTGATGGATCTTCTAAGGACTTCCATTTTAACCTTATTGACACTCCAGGCCATATTGATTTCACTATTGAAGTCGAACGTGCTCTCCGAGTTCTCGACGGAGCTGTCCTTGTTGTTTGTGCTGTTTCTGGTGTCCAATCTCAAACCATTACTGTTGACCGTCAAATGCGCCGTTACAATGTTCCCCGTATCACCTTCATTAATAAGATGGACCGCATGGGTGCTAACCCCTGGAAGGCTATTGATCAAGTTCGTACTAAGTTGAAAATTCCCGCTGCTGCTATTCAAGTTCCTATTGGTGCTGAGAATGATCTCCAAGGCTCTGTTGATCTTATTGAAATGGTCTCTGTTTACAACGAAGGAAAACAAGGTGAAAAGATTGTTGTTAAGAAGGAAATTCCTCCTGAGCTCCAGGATCTTGTTGATGAGAAACGTGCTTTCTTGATTGAAACCCTTGCTGATGTTGACGATGAAATGGCTGAAATTTACCTCGATGAGCAAACCCCTACATCTCAACAGATTCGTGATGCAATCCGACGTGCTACTATTGCTAGAAAATTTACTCCTGTTTTGATGGGTTCTGCTCTTGCCAACAGAGGTATCCAATCTGTTCTCGATGCTGTCTGCGACTATCTTCCTAACCCTGGCGAGATTCTCAACACTGGCCTTGACGCTGCTAATAATGAAGCCCCTGTCAACCTTGTCCCCTATCAGAACTCTCCTTTTGTCGGTTTGGCTTTTAAGCTTGAAGAAGGAAAGTATGGTCAGCTTACTTATGTTCGTGTTTACCAGGGTAAGCTCAAGAAGGGTATGACTATTGTTAACGTCAAGACTGGTAAGCGCACTAAGCTTGCTCGCCTTGCCCGCATGCATTCTGATGAGATGGAAGATGTTGATGAGATTTGTGCTGGTGAAATTTGTGCTACCTTTGGTGTTGATTGCTCTTCCGGTGATACTTTCACTGATGGTGAACTTAGATACACCATGTCTTCTATGTTTGTTCCTGACCCCGTCATTTCCCTTTCGATTTCGCCCAAGACTAAGGATACAAATTTTTCTAAGGCTATCAATCGTTTCCAGAAAGAGGACCCTACTTTTGTTGTTAAGTTTGATGCTGAAAGCAAAGAAACCATTATTTCTGGTATGGGTGAGCTCCATCTAGAAATTTACGTCGAACGTATGAAGCGTGAATACAATGTTGAATGTATCACTGGTAAGCCACAGGTGGCTTATCGTGAGACTGTCACAATGGAAGTTCCATTTGATTTTACTCATAAGAAGCAGTCCGGTGGTGCAGGTCAATACGCCAAAGTTATGGGTAACTTTGGCCAAGCTGCCTCTACTGAACAGAACACATTTGAGTCTCAAATTGTTGGTGGTAAGATTCCCGAAAAGTTTCTTGCTGCTTGTGAGAAAGGTTTTTTTGAAGCTTGTGAGAAGGGTCCCCTCACTGGCCATAAAGTTATCGGTGTTCACATGCTTATTAACGATGGTCAAATCCACGTTGTTGATTCAAGTGAACTTGCTTTCAAGACTGCAGTTCATGGTGCTTTTCGCGAAGCATTTGTTAAAGCACAGCCTATTATTTTGGAACCTATTATGGAGGTGTCTCTCACTGCCCCTGTTGAATTCCAGGGTAACATTCTCGGTCTTTTGAACAAGCGTATGGCCACTATAAATACTACTGATATTGGTTCTGACGAGTTCACTATTACTGCTGAGTGCTCTTTGAACTCTATGTTTGGTTTTGCTTCTCATCTCCGTGCTGCAACTCAAGGTAAAGGAGAATTTTCTCTTGAATTTAAGCATTATGCACCCACCCCACCACAACTTCAGAGAGAGCTCATTGCTGAGTTCCAGAAGAAGCAAAAGGCTAAGAAATAATTGTTTATAATTGTTGATGGGATTAGACTTTTAAAATTTGTCTTTTTTGTTTATGTTTTGTATATATGTATTTTCTAAGTATATTTGTTTTTAATGACCAATCTTCACACTTTCCTTTAATAGATGAGAGTAAGGGTTTATGCAAAAAACTTATTTTTAATAAAAAATGAGTTGATCAACAGAGAGCATAATTGCCTGTTTCAATTGGATCGAACCATAGCATTTCTAATACCCGTAATATTCGTTCAACAATCTACAGAAAAAAAGGGAAAAATAAAAAATTAAAGATGTTACTTGATTTTAAATTTTGTATGATAGCAACAAAAATTTCACTAATACGAATTGTTAATTTAACAAAACTAAGCGGAAATAAACAAAAAATAAACCTTATCGAGTTATTTATTTATTTATTTATGTTTTGTTAAAACAACCACAGTGACAATATTGGATTGAACCTACTAATGCGATCTTATTCCTACCCAATCTGAACAAGTAAGAATAGCCAATTAACTATTATTCTAATAAAATTTACATTTTAAAATCGTAATAGACAATATACAAAAATACCTTTTTGACCTTTTAAATAGAAAAGTACTCTTAAGAGTTGTTTATTTTATGCAAACTAAAAATATAATTTCACTCTGGTTTTTGATGTAAAAATTGATTCTTCATACCCTGATTTATCTCTGTATTATTGAAGATCTATTTAACACATAATCATGAACGGCCTATTCTTTCCAAATTACCTTTTTTTATACAGAGAACTAGGAAGTCTTACTTTGAGCTTCCAAACTTAATGATGGAAACCAGATGTTTTTTATTGATACCATTATGAGATTTTTTCAGAAGAAGATAAATATTTCAGAAAAATATATAAAGACATTTAGAATTCCCGAGTGATATGAATATTCAGAAACTTTTTCTTCAAGCTTCTAAGCTCATTTATTTCTTTTTTTTCATTTTTTAATTGGAAAAAAATAACAATTACCAAGTCTTTCCTTTTAAATTCGATAATTGCGACACAAGAAAAAAGTGGAAAAGATGGCTTTGTTAAAAGGCCTCGCCCTTCTTGCATATATTGCAACTGGTGCAATTTCTTTACCCATTGATGGTGAAACAGGACTTGGAGCCAGGCAAGATATCTCAAACTTAAAACGCAGGGATGAAAGTTATGATGGGTCAATCGATACTTCTGATGATGACTTTGACACTATATATGACTCTAAAACTCTAGTAAAAACTACAACTACCATCACATTACCTGAGACTACTATATTGATCACTGCAACTAGTACTTCGACTTTTTTTTCAACTACTACTACCACAAGTACTACCACTCCTGATGTGATTCTTCCTCCCACCACTTGGATTCCTCTTCCTGACTGGTCTGAACCTTGTATCGATTCTTCTACTGAGTCGGATTTTAGCACAGAGACTTGCACAACTACTGAAAATACTGAGTCTACCTCTGAAACTTGTACAACGACGGAAACAACGGAGTATAATTCAGAATCCAGTATAACTACTATCGTCACCACTGTGGTTTCTTCTGAAACATTTACAACTACCACCACAAAGTCATCTTTTACTCGTCCTCGTCCTCCAAAACCCACTGTTGATGCAACAAGTACCGCACCATTAGTTTCTGAATCTTGGGACTCTTCAGATACTTTTTTTGATACTTCATCTGAGACATCATTTGATACTTTTTCGGATACTTCATTTGATACTTCAGATACTTCAGATACGTCAGATACTTCCGATACTTCGTTTGATAGTTTGGATAGTTCAGATACTTTGTTTGATACTTCCGATGTATCAGATACTTCCGATGTATCAGATACTTCTGATGAAACTACATCCGGGACTTTTGATACATCAGTTGGCACATCTAGTACATCTGATACTATCTATTCTGAATATATTACGGACACATCCTCTGAAGAATTTGGCTCGTCATCTGACTCCGAAAGTTTTACAGAAAGCGTCACTATTGATATTTCTATCCCTACCACTGGACCTGGACATGAGTTTCCACCCGGACCACCCGGACCACCCGGACCTGGACATGAGTTTCCACCTGGACCACCTGGACCACCAGGACCTGGACATGAGTTTCCACCTGGACCACCTGGACCACCAGGACCTGGACATGAGTTTCCACCTGGACCACCTGGACCACCAGGACCTGGACATGAGTTTCCACCTGGACCACCCGGACCACCCGGACCTGGACATGAGTTTCCACCTGGACCACCTGGACCACCAGGACCTGGACATGAGTTTCCACCTGGACCACCCGGACCACCAGGACCTGGACATGAGTTTACACCTGGACCACCCGGACCTGGATCTCCACCTCCTGGCACAATTGGCCCACAGCCAACAGATTACAACCCTAATGAAGACAATGTGAATAACATTTGCACCGATTGTAGTGACGAATCTACTGCCACTAGCTGTGATCCTAGCGATCCCTGGTGCAGTGAATATTGCGATCCCAGCGATCCTTCTTGTTGCGACCCTAGTGATCCATCTTGTTGCGACCCTAGTGATCCCTCTTGCAACAAAGAGTTTTATATCACTACCTGTTTCTATGGAGAACCTTGTGCTGTGCCGTTTGAAACCACTACTGTCACTGTAACAACCTGTACATTTGGAGAACCTTGCATTCCTTGCAGTAGTGATATTCCCACCCCAACAACCGGCCCAGGTCCTAATCCACCACCCCCAGGACCCCCACCAGGACCTCCACCAGGACCACCAGGACCACCAGGACCACCAGGACCTCCACCAGGACCACCAGGACCTCCACCAGGACCACCAGGACCTCCACCAGGACCACCAGGACCTCCACCAGGACCACCAGGACCTCCACCGGGACCACCAGGACCTCCACCAGGACCACCAGGACCACCAGGACCTCCACCAGGACCACCAGGACCCCCAGGACCTCCACCAGGACCTCCACCAGGACCACCAGGACCCCCAGGACTTCCACCAGGACCCCCAGGACCACCAGGACCCCCAGGACCACCAGGACCTCCACCAGGACCTCCACCAGGACCTCCACCAGGACCTCCACCAGGACCTCCAGGGCCACCATCTGGGCCACCATCTATTGGACCTGAACCTACTCTTCCAGGACCTCCAGGACCACCTCCAGGACCACCTCCAGGACCTCCATCGATTGGACCCGAGTCTGTACCTCTGGAATCTCCTCCACCTAGTCCTGGCCCTGTACCATCTCCACCTAGTTCTCTTAGCCCTTCATCTACTGGCCCTGAACCAGGTCATTCTGCTCCTGCAGGTCCTGCTCCAGAGTCACCCAAAAAAGGGCCTGGGTCTGCTCCAGCTTCGCCAACTTCTGATTCAACTTTCCAGCAGCCTCCAGTTGTTAATTATAATGGAGGACAAGACAAACTTGTGTTTTCATTCAACACTATGGCTGCTGGCCTTGCTGCCTTTATTGTTGCAATTATGTAAAAAGGCTTAATTACGCTAACTGTAAGTTTATAAAATATAGTTTTTAATTTTTAATCGATTGGGTATTTACTCCATTTTATACTTAAAGGACAATTAATAAGATTAGTAGTATAAAAAGAACTAATATAAGAAGGGTGATACAACATGAGCTGAGAGTTTCTTGGTTGTTGCGAATTACCCAATCGACGCGTTTCATACCGCGACGTAATTTATCTTGCGCAGTGTCGACATGTCTGTCGAAGTCTTCAATAATTGTAGACTGCTCGTGAAGTTCTTGAGTCATTTGACTTGCTTGCTGATTAAGGTTATTAACGGTGTGGTAAACAGAGTCCAGGAGTGTATCTTGATTCTCAAGCTCCTGTTGGTATAGCAGAGAGCTGGTGGTATTTGGATTATAGTTTATTTCTGTGGTACTTGGATCATCATTGGACTGAGGAAGAGAAGCCTGGTTTGAAGAGAATAGCTGACTTTGTGTGTTGCCTGCGTTCGTATTTGAGCTGCTGGCATTGTTTTTACTACTGACAGTTTCTCGGATTTCGATGACCTTTTGCTGTAGATCCATGAGCTGCTGATTTAAATACCCAACCTGAGAAATGCGTTGTTGAACTTCGTGATCTGTTAATCCAAAATTTTGTGGTTGGCTCTGGATGGCTCCCATACTTTGTGATAAATCATGGATAGTCTCTACCAGTTCTTGAATAATATTGTTGAGATCTTCGATATGAAAGCCGCTAGGATTTGTTTGATGATCTTCAATCAATTTGGCAGCAGCTGATAATTGGCCGAGTGCATCGCTGTAAACTTGATTGAATGGGTCCATTATTAATTAAATGATCTTTAATTGAAAGCAAAATCTTTTTCTTAATCAAAAAGGTTGTATTTTGTATATCTTGTATATAATATCCAATTTTATTCAACAATATTAATAATAGTAAGTATTGCAAGAATGGCTCAAATTGTACGTGGCCGTAATTCTAAGTTGGAATTTACCCTGACCCTATTTTAATTAGTACTTGGTAAAGGGGGAGGGATAGTGAGAAAATAAAAACCTTTTTTCTATACGCAAACAAAATTGTTTAGACGAAAAACAAACAAGCAAAAGTAAATAAAAAAAGGCAGGTAATAGGTTAACTTAAAAATCTGTCAAGAAAAATTTTAAACGCGTATATGGCATTTTTCACAACCTGAAATCTTTGAATCAGTCTGAAATTTTTTTAGCCTAAACTTAAATTTTCAAGACCAGATCTTATTCGTTAATATATTTCTTCATATCACATTTGTTCATCCACATGAATAATGAATGATGCTTATATTGTTATAAATATATCCACTACTATTCCAGATGACCAAGGGGCTTACTTTCCCAAAGATTTTTCAGAAATCATAGAATTAGCTTGGGTGATTGTGGATGGATCTACATTAGAAGAAGTATGTTCATAATTTTTTATTATTAATTTTTTTTTCTAACAAGTTGTTAAGATATTCAGCGATCACTTGTTGGTTCGCCCAGTTAATACTCCAATAACAAATCTTTGCAGTACGTAATTTCGTTATTATTCAGCATTAGGTTATTAAAAGATTTACAGGGTTAACCATATTTTAGCTAGCATCACAGCATTAACATGGGATCATGTTCAAAATTCCATGGGATTTTCAGAGGCGATAGCGGCGCTGGACACTTCGATCCAAACCCAAATTCCAGAAAGTGATATTATATTTGTGGGATTTGTTGCTGCTGAAGTTCGAGTTCAGATTTTGCGTGAAGCTTTTGACAAGGGAGTGATTTTACCGCCCTATCTTCAGTGTCCCAAATTTTTTGATCTAAAGACGGAGTATAGTCGATGGCATAAGCATCATCCGGAAATACCTCACCTCATCCCAATAACCCTAGCTTCTGTATGTAACAATCTCGGGATTGCACCACCTTCAGAAAAGCCTAGAGAGGTGTTGGGATACAATGTGGATCAGGAACATTCTGGAAAAGCAGCAGAAGAAGTTGTGACTGTTTCACGAATTTTAGAAGCATTAATAAAACAAGCCCAACCGATTGAACAACATCAAGATGTTTTCGCGCACCCCAATGATTTGAAAGAAGATATGCACGCGTTTATGAGCGAGTGTTCGAATATAATATTTTTATCAAATCTTCCACACGACACGACGCAAGGCGAGCTGGAGTCATGGTTTACACAATATGGGGGGCGGCCAATTGATTTTTGGACTTTGCGGGTTCCAGACCAGGGGAAAGCAATAGGGAGTGGGTTTGTTGCTTTTTCTACGCATGAGGAAGCGATTGGAAGCTTTAGCATGAATGGTAAGTGTCTCAATGATCGGGTTATTGAGGTGTTCCCATCATCACCAAGTGTGTTAGAACATGCAAGCGACATATTGGTTCATTTCCCACAAAGTAAAAATAGGCCTCGGCCTGGGGATTGGAACTGTCCTAAATGCGGGTTTTCCAACTTTCAACGACGCACGGCATGTTTTCGCTGTTCATATCCATTACCTACGAAAAGTAGCACACAGGCCAAGAATATCATGCATAACAATAATCCATCAGCCGAGCACTCGGACCTTGACCCTGAATACACCGAAGAATGCCAGGGCCCGGAAAGTGGGGGCTATAATATCAACCTAAAACGAGCAAATACTAGCTCTGCGGCGGCAGGATATGCTGGGTATCCTTTGGGACCAAGTTCCAAAGGATATTCAGGGCCGGACACTCATCGAAGCCAAAATACCATATCTAAGAATATGACAGGGAATGGTACTCATGACAGCTATGGTGGAGGTAATAATAGTGGTTCTAAGGGGGGTGAATTAGAAGTATATGACAATGGAGTAGGAGGAGGGTATAAGAAACACCATCAGTTTATTAATAATGTTAATGCGAAGATGAATGAGAATGGAAATAAGGGACATGGATATACTCGAGGGAACGGACAAGGCGGGAATAAAGGCATTCATCAAAACCTGGGGAATGACGAGCTTGAAGGTGGTGGTCTACCGAATGGGGGAGGAGGAGGATTTGATTCACCCCACATTTTAGGGGGTGCGAAAAATCCCCGAGAACACGACAGAAATGGCAACAATAATAATGGCAATAACACCGGCAGCATAGTAAACAATAATGACAATATCAACAATAATATCAATAAGGATAAAGACAAGGATAAGGATGAAAACAGCACTAGTAATAACCAGTCACATGGAAACGGACCTGCGGTGCCGTTTAGAGCAGGGGACTGGAAGTGTGGGCGCGAGGGATGTAATTATCACAATTTTGCCAAAAATGTGAGTTGTCTGAGATGTGGAGCTTCACGGGTATCTGCGGCGATGATTAGTGGGAATGGGGGGAACAACGGCAGTAACAACAACTGCGGCAACGGCGGTGGCGGTGGCGGCAACAGCAGCAACAGTAGTAACAGTAATAGTAGTGGTAGCAGCAGCAGTAGCAGCAGCAATAATGGGGGCCTGGATCATCATCATCACCATCATCATCATCATCACCATTATCAACATCATAATGAGGGTAATAGTGGAACGGGAAACTGCGGGAATGGGCGAAATCTTTCACCTACAAGACAATTAGGAGGAGTAAGTCACGGGGTGACTGGAATATCAGGTGAACATCATAATAATAATAATAATAATAATCACCACCATCACAATAACAATAATCATCATGGATCAATGTCAAGCGGCGGTCATGGCCGACATTATGATGATGGTAACAACACCAACAACACCAACAATGGGCGCGGTGGCCATGGGAATAGAGCTGGTTTTATTTTGCAACGAGGGGATGAGTGTATACAAGATGGGCGAAATGGGCAAATGGTTCCGGTTATTAATGGTAGTAATACAAATTCCCAGTTAAAGAAGACTCAGTCATTACATGTACAAAAACAGAGATCGGGCGGACAGCGACATACATCATATTCGTCGACGAGTCATCATTATCAAAAGCCCCGCAGCAACGGCCAACAGCAGCAACAGAATGTTGGAGCAGGTCGAGGAGCCTAATTGGGGGGGTTTTTTTTTTTCTTTTATTGATTATGGGATAATCAATATATATAAATTTAAAATTGGGAAATAATAAAATGAAAAATGGAAGAAAAAGCTCATTGTTACCTTGATAGATATGTTAATGGAATATGTCAAGTATAATAGTATTTTGAATGTGAATTGGCTCTTTCATGTTCGGATAAAGTCTACTACGAGAGAAAGAAGTATTCTTTATTTATTTATTTTTTTTTATCTAAGAAACCTTAAAAGAGGAGAAGAAGAAGAAGAAAAGGCGGGGAAATATTTAAGAGGGAAGAAAGGAAGGACGTTTTCTTGAATATAATCTAACAAGTTTAATAATCACTTATCACAGCATGTCTTAAGACTTAAGCCGTTTCCTAAAAAATCAAAAAATCAAAAATCAAAAAAGAAACTGCACAAAGGATTTTGAAGTGTTAGGGTTTATTTATTGACATAAATGATGATGAAGATAGTTATGACGATAGCAGTAGACGGACGGGTCCTTTGCGAAAAAGGAGGAGAGAGGATATGGTGAATAGCCGCGATAATAATTATGATGATGATAAAAAAAAAAAATTGAAATCTCGTGCCTCGCAGTTTTTTTGTTATTTTATATTATATTATTTTATATTATTTATTTATTTATTTATTTATTTTTATTAATATTATTAAAGGGCATAAGGCGGATGTGCACCCATATATTTTATATAAGGCTTTATTTTGTACTAAGCCAATCAGTTTCTTAGGAAAAACCGCCATATGAAAAATTTTTTTTTTAATAAATGATTGTTGGTGGCTATTTTTTTTTTTTTCTTTAGAGTGAATGGAAGTTTTGCCACTTTAGGTATAAGTAGCAGCTGGGTCATTCACCTCCGGATGTGCCGGCTGTCAATTTTTTATTTTTTTTTTATTTTTTTTTTATTATTTTAACATTTTGGTACATTTTATGTATTTTTTTTTTTTTTTCAAGATCCGCAGGTATTTCAATATTGCTCTTTTTAAACGACTACCAACTAAAAAACAGCTAAAATAACACTCAAAACTAAACAGAAAAACAACTTTGTTCTCCCTCCTCTCATGTCCTTTACAATATTTTCCAATAAAAAAACTGTTTTTTTATACACTTAAATAGTTTTTAAATGATTTATTTCATCTTATTCGTAATATTTGTAGAGAGTTTCTGTTTTTATAAATTTTTTAAATGTCGATGAATGAAAATAAATCAATGTGTATTCTTCCGCTTTCTTTACTACTTTGGATGAATGTACTTAATGACAAAAAAAAATATAAAAATAAATAAAAAAATAAAAAAATAAAACCCACCGGAACATACATAAATAGTAATCAAGAAAGCGGGCCACTGCGTACTTTCCTCTTTTTTTTTTTTTTTTTTTTTCAACGGCTTTGTTCCCAACCTATTACCGCTCCACGATAATTAAATATTAGAATCGCCGATGACCACACAGGCTTAGCCTTCCCATATATATTTATCCCCACACCCATTGACCGCACAGACCATATAATATACACACCATTTGTATAAAAATCTCCAGTTTTCCCATCTTTTTTTTATTTTCTATTTTTTTTTCTCCATCGTTTTTTCATTTTTTTTTTATCTTTAATATAATCTACAAAAATACCTTCAAGTTTCTCCATATTTATTAATTAAAAAATTCATATTTATATCTTTCACCATGTCTACTACAACCACTACAACTACAACTACCACTACCACATCTTTCCCTTCAGTATCTCACAAAAACCCTTACTGTGTAGCCCCGCCATGTGCTTTCAAACCACTTCGTAAACGAACACTTGCTCCTATCAAACACAACAGCCATCACAACAACAAGCTCCATACTTTCAGTGATCGCGTTCCTCTCCGAAAAGTCATCCCCACATCTTTCACTGACATGTACACCCTAGAAGTGCTCCAAGACAAGCGTTTGCTTACGCCGGCTGGCCGGCCAAGCTTTACCCAGCGCGCAATTGTGGATTGGGAAAAAAATGATGTTCGCTCTCTTTTAATTCTTGACTCACCGCGCTCTGAATGGTGCGCAGCTGGACGTATCCCAGATATCATCGAGCCTGGTTTCCGCATTCAGATTCTACCGCTGACAGCTTCAGATGATGAAATCATCCAAACCCTAGTAACATCTGATCTCTACAAGGAACATGGCTTTGAACAAGCCTTTTTGCTCCAAACAGCAATCTACACTGTTCAAGCTGCACGAGCACGACAAACAAACAAATTAGCCTCGTTTACAAAACCAGAATGGCGAAACATAGTTGAAAACTATCTCCTTAATCTTGCATGCGAAGCCCAATGTCGCCTTGATTTTCAGAAAATCTGTGCCTACACTAAACGTCAAAAGAAGTTGGAACTATCTGCTCGCGAATCATCATCTTCTTCTTCTTCTTCACTTTCTACATTATCCTCTACAAAGCATTCCCCAAACTCGACTTCTACATCTCCCTTGCTGCGCAAGGCTTTAATGACATGTATTTCTACTTCTCCAGAATTCAAGTCTCAAATGGAGGCTGTCATGAGAACAAAAGTCACTCTTTCCAAAGCTGAAAAACAACAAATCTGGGTAAAGGTTCAGGCTGACCTTTATGCTCGTCTGGATCTTAACTGGCAGCCGGATGAGCTTATTTGAAAATAAGCTCTTCAAACACACTCTTTATGACGACAAATGACCACTAACATTTCACTCTCTCAAAAATATTGCATGTGATAAAATAAAATACTTCACTAAAAGAAACCTTATGTGAAAAATAATTTAATGACTTAATGACTTATTATGAAAAAAAAAAAAATCAAATCTCTTTTAATGTTAATTATATAATGTAAATAAAAAATCTTTATCTTTCTTCTAATCCTGATACTCTGTTGGCCTTCCTACTCTTCATCTTCTTCATCATCCTCCTGAGCAATCTGAATCACTTCCTTCCAGTCAGCTGTAAGAACAAAATAAATTTGCAATGCCGAGACAAAAAATAAAGCAAAGACAATGCCACCCCAAATCCCCCGCAGCCCATAACCCATGTTAAAAGCAAGATATAGACCCAGAGGAAGAGCAAACACATAATACAAAATCAAATTAATGTACCCCGAAATCTTTTGTCGGCCTTGACCACGCAAAATGCCACCGGTAACTGCAGAAATGCAGTCATTCACTTGGTACAATGCAGTCACAGGCATCACATATGCAACCATATCAATCACATCCTTATCAGAACTAAAAAGTTTACCGACAGAGTGCCGTGTAAAATATAACAAAAAACAGTTGAGCAAGCCAAAAATAACCGACGCATAAATATATGTCTTACTTGCCATAACCGCAGCTTGTTCTAACTGCGCGCCAACAAGATTTCCCACTCGGGTGGACGCTGCAATTCCCATTGAAAGGGGAATCTGATACGCCAACACCGCCAGCGTCGCAATTACTGTTTGAGTCGCAAGCTCTGTCGTGCCCAGTCTTGCTGCAGCAAACGTCAAAATCTCAAACGCAAGCCATTCAGTTTCAAGTGTCAATACTCCTGCAAGCCCTAATTTGGCCATGTGACCCCAGTTCCGTAAAGAGTCTTTTGATAAGCCATGCCAGCACTGTAACCCATCAACGTAAATTACATAAAGCACAGACATAAGTGCCATCACATAATCCGTGGTGATTACCGCAATAGGAGCTCCCACAAACCCAAGTCCAATGTGCCGATTCCACACTAGAACATAATTGAGCACAAGGTTAAACGGCGCACATATTATCAAGACATAGGTCGATGCGTGAAAAATTCCTTGTGCCTGCAAATAATGCTTTGACACCTCAAAAACAATATAGCCAGGGACTCCAATAATCAATACTTGCAAATACTGCGACGCTAGTACCGCCAACTCTTTTTCAGGAACCAGCACTTCAAATATTGGCTCTGAAAATATCCAAACAAACGCAATAGGAATTGCAACAATAAGCATGATTAAAGTACATTGTTGAGTATGAATTCCAACCATTTCGTAATCCTTCCGCCCAAACGCTTGTGTGGCTAATGTATCCAAGCTTGTCGCCAATCCTTGAAATATTCCATAGCCACAAATATTGGCTACCATTGCTGCAACTGATACTGCTGACAATTCATTTTTACCAATGTGGCCGACGCAAAAAACCGAAGCAACAACAAGCGAATATTGCAACAAAAACGCTAAAGAAACTGGGATTGAGCTGTGTAATAAAACTGCTGTTTCTCGTTTATACGATGTGGTAATTTCTCTCATCGCCGTCGCTGACTTCCAAGTTTCTCGAACAAGTTCCTCATTTTCCTCCTGAGTCATCTGCCGTCCCAAAGTTAAATCGGCTTCTTCATCTTCCTCGCGTGGTGGATAAAGCAATGGAGCCGATTCTGAAGGTAAAATAGCAGTTGCTGCACCACCCCCTTCATTTCCTACCCCAACTCGAGATGAATTCGAGGTTGTTCGAAATGCCCCATAAGTGGTCCCTATTGCCGACGATCTTCTACCCGTGATGACCGAGGTTAACGAAGGTTTTCTTTGGGGCGGCCTTTGCAAAAGCTTATTATCTGCCAAAAGGTCCTGCTCTTGGGTCAAAAGCTCTTCTCTCTCTTCCATTGTCATAGAGTCTATTAAACTAGATCTTCTGGGAAGTGACGACGGCAGAAAAACGCCTGGTCGACCTACAGACCCAAATGAAATATAGTCTCGTTGGGGCGACCGAGCAAATTGGGCGTTCATATTTGTCTCGGAAGGTCGACGAGGTGTTGCACCTGGAACAGGGAGTGACATTTAAAGATTTTTATTATGATAAAAGGATAAACTTGATAAACTAGATAAAAAGAGTGAGGAGAGAAGGAAAAAGAAATAGAAAAAAAAAAGAGGGGAAAGAAGGAAAAAAAATGGTGGAAGGAATGCTTGAAAGAAACAAGTCATTTTTACATCATGATAAGATATTTGCCTGCTTGTTACATTACAAAATATATTACACGTTTGTTGTATGCATTTACCACGCACTTCTAAACACATCATCTTGATACTACAACCGCCAGCCATTTTTCAGGCTTCCTTTCCCAAACAAAACAAAACAAAACAAAACAAAACAAAACAAAACAAAAAAAAACACATAAGTCATTAACCTGTACTCTCTTGATAGTCAAAAAAATGTTTAATCCAGGTGCTCAATTTAACGGTGACTCTCAGTCTCCTCCTCTTCATCATCCAGTTCCTCAACGACCCATCCCCAGATCACCGCCGAACTTTGATGACTCTATCCAAAATCCGCCACAAAACCCTTATGTTCCAACTAATGCATATGGAGCCTCGATTCATCATCAACAACAACATATGCAACAGCAGCAACAACAACAACAGCAGCAGCAGCAGCAGCAGCAATTTGGCGCCAACTCCGCTTTTGGAACCGCTTCAACAGCATTCCATTCAATTGGAAACACCCAGCAACAACCAAATGCTCCATTTTCTGGTTTTCAGCAATACCTCAATGATCCCAGTGCTCAAATCGGTCTTTCAGTTGGACGCAATGCACTAAATTATGGTCAAGAGTATATTGGAAAAAATGTGAGTAACTCGTTCAATGTTTCTTTATCATATTTCTAATCAGACTTTTTTAGATCAACCAATACATCTCTACTGGAGCCTTAAAATATTACTTTCAAGTCTCAAACTCCTATGTTCTTAGGAAATTAAAACTTGTTCTTTTCCCATGGAGACATGGCCACTGGACACGATCAATTCAAAGATCTGACACTCCTGGCCAGCGTGATACTTATGCCACTGCCCGCGATGATATCAACTCTCCAGATATGTATATCCCAAGTAAGTAACATGTTTAACAAAATGAAATTTTTTACCTCATCTAACATTTTTAGCCATGGCCTTTACGACCTACATTTTTATCAACTGTATATCTGCTGGTTTGAATGGAACTTATCATCCTCAGTTGATTGGCGTGATTGCTTCTAAGACAATTGCCTTTCTTTTAGTTGAATTGCTATTCCTCAAACTTGGGACCTATTTATTAAACGCCGGTTCTAGTCTACTTGATTTTGTCGCTTACAGCGGCTATAAATTCATTGGTATCATTTTGACCATATTGGCCTATGCTATTTCTTCATCCGCCAAAATAAAATGGGCAGTTTTTGTTTACACTGCTACCTCTAATTCCTTTTTCCTTCTAAGATCTCTTAGATATATTCTTTTGCCAGATAGCAGCTCTGTTAATTCTACAGCACACACAATCAATCCAGGACAAAAGCAACGCCGGATACACTTTCTATTCATCTACAGTTTTATAGTACAGTTTGTTTTAATGTGGTTTTTGGTTTAATAGAAGGATATTTGCTTAGATATATCATAACTAACTATATAGTTAGTTAAATTTAAAAAATTAACTGTAGGTGTAATAAATGTTTAAAGTTACCCGGATATCACTTGTAATAAATTTTATGATAAACTTCACCATCACATGTAAGCTTTTCAGTGACAAATTATATTTTTTATTTTCCTAAATACAATGGACACAAATACTTTAGCTCCCGAAATTACAGATGGTGTAGATCTTTATCAGCTTCTTCAGATCTCTTATGATGCTTCAGAGGCGGAAATTAGACGAGCATATCGCAAGACGTCTATTAAATATCATCCTGATAAAAACTCAGGAGCTGACGCTGCTCAAAAGTTTCAACTATTACTGCTGGCTCTTGAAACTTTAACAACACCAGTATTGCGCACCAAATACGATGGATTGATGCGCGCACGGACCCAAAAGTCTCAACGTGACCAGGCACTCAGTCTTGAACGGCGACGTTTGCAATCTGATTTAGAACGACGAGAGGCACAAGCAGCTATATTAACAAGCCGAGCTTTCAATCAGCATCAGCTTAAAAAGCACCATGTCGATACTCTTAAAGAGGAAGGTGTGAAACGGCGCAAAACTAAAGACACCAACATTGTATCAACTCTTACTTCAACTGAAGATGGTTCTTCTAAAGATAAGACATCTAAAACAGTATTTATTAAATGGATTGCATCGAAATCCGATAATATTACGGAATCTCAACTTTGTAATCTTTTAAAGCCTTATGGTCCTATAAAATCTGTTCATATTGTACTTTCTAATACCCAACCTTCGATATCTAAAACTATCAAAGGACTCATCTTGTTCCAAAGTGATCAATCAGCTCTAAACTGTTATCAATTATTAAAAAATAAAAGTTTTCCTTCGAATGATGAGTTCTTCAATAATATCAAAAGTGTTTATTATCAGAATGTATTGTCATCATCTCAATCAGACAAACCTGATGTTGAACAACCATATTCATATACCAGAAATGTTTCCATAGAAGAAAAGATTGCACGAATACGTATTAAACTTAAATCATAATGATGAATTATATTATACCATAGTTGTTTATGATCCCATTTTTTTTTTTAAAAAACAAATAAAAATAAAATAAAATACAAGATTAGTACAGGTTTTAAATCAATTTTGATTTATGGCGTTTTTGTATGCGTTAATGCATGTTTCCATTGCTGCATTCCAGGTGAATTTTTGAGAGCGCACCAATGCCTGCTTAGACATAGAATTATGGGTTTTATAGTCACTTGAAATTTGCAAAATGGCATTGTGATAATCATGAATAACTTTGTTCTCATCGTTATTTGGATTTACCAAAATACCAGAAACGCCGTCAGCAACAATTTCTTTGACACCCTCAGCTTGCATTCCAACAACTGGAAGACCAGATGCTTGTGCTTCCAAAACAACTTGGCCAAAAGTTTCTGACACAGAAGGGAATGCAAAAATATCCGCAGAGGCATATGCTTCTGCCAGGTGCTCGCCTTTAAGATAACCAGTAAATGTGACACCACCAGTTGATTCAAGCTGACTTTGAATAGTTTGTTTAGCTGGTCCATCGCCAACAATTACTAAATGATATTCATCATGGTTCATCTTTTTGAAAGATTCCACAAGTACTCGGAGATTTTTTTCCCAAGAAATTCTTCCCACATATAACAAAACAACCTTGTCTTGGTTATTATCAAAGGCCACCCCTTCGTCTTCAAATTTAATCATTTTGTCAAGTTCTCCTGTATTTATAGAAGAACTAGAACTTCTTCTGTTGCTAAGAAGATTCATAGACATAGATGATGTGGTGCTAGATAACGCCCTAGATACTGGCCCGGGTGTATTAATCTTTTTTACTGTGTTGCAAAACCAAGATTTTCTAAGGCTTTCATTTCTTTTTAAAGGTGAAAATAAAGCATTGTCAACACCTCTAGACCATACTAAAACTTTGCTTGCTGGAATTCCATTTTCAGCTAGCGCTTCGCGGGTAGAATATGATGGGCAAAGAACATATTTACTTGAGCCATGGTATAGTCTATGTGTTGCCCATATCGGCTCATAAAGCATACTAAAACCAAACATTTTGGCATAGAATGCGATGTTTGTATGGTAGGATGAAACAATTGGCGTGTTAGGTAAAAAGAATTTACACGCCAAAAGAATTTGGGGGCCCAAAAGACTTAGAAAAAACTTGTTAGAGTTAAATAATACGGAAAAATAAAATGGCTGCATACTTAGGATCAACAAGATGAATAACATCGGGTTTGAAGTAAATTAGCTTCAATATCATGTGTGGGAGAGCAAAGTTCAATCGCAACTCGGGATAAAAAAATAATGGCAAACCAAATGTACCTATTAATGGGACTTTGTTTTTGTATGAACCTCCTGCTGGACCAATAACGATTCCTTCGTGGTTATTTTCAATAAGATGATCTAAAAGCTTTGTGATGGTTTTTGACACACCATTGATGTGTGATGTCGAGACTTCAGTAACAAGAGCAACTTTCATGATGCAAAATTATGAAAAGTAAACAAAAATGAAACAGATATATAAAATAATGAAAATATTTGGTATATTAATATAAAAAATTAAAATGAAAAAAATTCTAAGGAGAAAAAGAAAGAAAGGAAAATGAAAATGAAAATGAAAATGAAAATGAAGATGGAGATGAAAAAAGGGGATGTGTATAAATAAATGTGAGAATTAACATATATATATATATATATATATATTATAGCCAACCTGATTTTTTTGTTTATATCATAAAGCAACGCGTGTGCTCATAATGTATTTTCTGGTCATCCTTAAAAAATGTTATTGACATGCGCAATAAAGCAGTCAGGGGCGTTCCTGAAACCTGAAGTCTTTAATATGAGTAAAAATAAAAATATATGAAAGCACGAGCCTGACTTGGGCCAATAATAAGCTACTTATCAGAAAGCCGCGGGCCGTTCACAAGTTCAGGTGCTTGAAATCACAAAAATTAGTGGATTTTTAAAGATTTCGAAACAGGTGGTTCTAATGAGCACATGGCCAGTACTCTGAAAAGGGCTGGCGGATCTAAATGATAGGGCTAAATTAAGCAGTGCGGTCCGAGTTGGTCTAAGGGGATCACTTTGATCCAGTTTTTGTTTTTTTTTTTTTTTGCTATTTCTATAACACTAAATTCTTCTTGAAAAATAGATTAAATTTGAAAAGAAAAAAAATAAATGTTCAGATTTGAATCATTGACATCCAGGATTTTGCCACACGTGGGGAAATAATACGCGGCTACGCCTAATCGCAAATACCAAAATTACCTGAGTTTGTTAAATTATAAAAATATCATACTTACGTTAAAGAGTAGCTAAGCTTCGAGTGATTTTAGTAAACTTGTTATTGAGAATATTTCATCTTATTATAATTATAATAAGATGAATAATTACTTTTCTTGGAATATATCACTATTGGAATAGTCATAATTTGATTATTATAGTTAAAATTTTGGTTGTAAGTAATTATAACTTTGATTCAGCAATATTATTCCGTTACGGAACTTATCAGGCATAGCATTGGAAAAAAAAATATTCACATCTATCAAAAATAAATTAAACATTAATCTGTAGCCAGTTTTGAAAGTTTCTAAAGCTTATCTTAGCAGATTTATTGTTCAATGAACGTAAAACTTAACGATTAAAGATAAATCAAAAATCAAAAATCAAATATCAAATATCAAATATCAAATATCAAATATCAAATATCAAATATCAAATATCAAATATCAAATATCAAATATCAAATATCAAATATCAAATATCAAATATCAAATATCAAATATCAAATATCAAATATCAAATATCAAATATCAAATATCAAATATCAAATATCAAATATCAAATATCAAATATCAAATATCAAATATCAAATATCAAAAAAATTAAACATAGAGGCCAGAGTGCACTCATAAGCTAACAAAGAAATAACTTTATTTTGATTACATGGAAGTCAAGGAAATTTTTTGAGAATTTTATTCCTTTGAAAGCCTACTATTATCCATAAAATAGATTATAATCTGTGATCAAGCTTTCAATTAGATCATTGATGATTTCATTGCACTCTATGTAGCTTACAAGATCCATATAATGGCTCTTGACATCTAACTTTTTATTTATTATGTAATTATTAATAATAATTAAATATAATTATATTTGCTTATAAGCAGGCCAAATCTTAATAAACAAATTTTGTTCGTAATGGGCATTATCTTTCAATACTTTCAATCACATTAGTGTCACGTGACGTCGGTTTTTGCCAAAGCCCTAAAAATAACTAACTCATGATACCATGAGAAAAAAAAGTGCCCAAAAAGTAAGTAGGCAAGATATCTTTATCCTTCAACACCTTCGTGTTAATGCTATTATTTACAAAACCATTCTTTTCAATTTCAACAAAATATATATAAACAATGGATCTTCCTTCTAGTGCCGATAGCAAAGATCTTGATGAAAGGTTTGTTATATATATATATATATATATATATATATATTAGTTTCCAGGTTTTAACTTTGTTTTTTTAGTGAATTAGGTTTTGGAGAAAAGGTCATAAAGAACTGTAAAGAACAGCCTTTAGTTCCTATCGGAGTCGGTATGACCTTAGGTGCTCTCATTCTTTCAGCCCGTGCTCTCAATCGCGGTGATGCTAAAACAGCCAATCGTATGTTTGTTTGGCGCGTTGCTTTACAAGGTTTGACTATTGTTGCATTAGTAGGTGGCTCTTATTATGTGGGAATTAATGAAAGATGGAGAGTCAATAGAGATGATGAACTTCGCAAAAAAGCTGAGGTTCGCGAGAAAATGTGGATTGAGGAGCTTGAGCGCATAGATGTTGCCGCTAAAGAAAGAGCTTTAAGAGCAGAACAGTTCCGTGCTGCGAGAGCCAAACAAGAATCAAGCAGCGCTGACAACGGTGAAAAACAATAAAAAAAACTATACCCTTGTAAATATTTCAACTTATTATTTATAATTACATAACAGCAACAATTTATAACTGAAATGGATACTTGATAGAATCAAAAACCTGACATTCATTGGGCGTTACTGATGCCAATAACGAATTACTTCCAAACTGACATATATTTAAATTGGATGTTGTTAAAGCTTTAGGCCAGCTGATACTGCCACAAGTTTGCGGATATCCGTATTTGGCAAATTTGGCCCACGCCGTCTGTATACTTAAACTAAGACTCTGTAGGTCAGTACTGGTTCCTGAAGGATAATTTCCAAAAGTTAAAGGAATGTCATCCTGATGGCACACTGCATTAGTACATAGTGGGTAATTAATGTTTGTTGAATACTGAATCCCTTTATTGAGTTGGTAAAGGTATATATTTCTCATTTTCGTCTCCACGATGCGTCGAGAGATGTACTGAGTTGGACATCTCCAAAGAAGATCGGTTGAAATATTAGCTAAAATTGAACGGCCATCACCTGTATAAGTATTAAATGGGAACACATTGCTTGCAAGTAAATATGATGCTCTATCAACCCCAAGAAGATAATATGCAGTATTGATTGCACTTTCAGCGGTTAAAGCACTAGGTAAAAGTGTGTTTATTGCAGCCCCACCTTCATCCTTTGTAAATCCAACAATAGTATCCACGCCAGAAGGAAGAGATCCAGAGTTGACATACTCCCAATAGTCTTTAATTATTAGATCGCCATCAATTATAGGTGCAATTATTGACGCAATGTTAACTTTAGGGTATTGGAGTGGGTTTATTTGTGTACTAGCAACACTTAATTGAGCGGTAACAATATCAGAGATAGACTTTGTTTTCACACAGGCTTTATCATCACACCCAAGCATTTCCAAAAACTTAGCTGTAAGGTATCCATTTGAAAAACTTCTTTCGTTAAAACCATAACCATCAGGATCAGATTGAATAATGGCTCTCTGAAATAAACCATTTGCTTTGGAAGAACTCATCAGGGCTCTAATTATCGCCCCACCAGAACTGTTTCCAAAAACAGTAACAAGGTTTTTGTTTCCTCCAAACCTAGAGATGTTGTCTTGGACCCATTTTAAAGCCATTATTGTATCCTTAATTGCAAAATTGGTATTATCATTGTCATCAAAGTAACCCAAAAGACCAAGTCTGTAGTTATAAGTAACAATTACAACATTTTGAGATGATGCGAATTTTGTTCCTTCAAAGTAAGGATCAGATCCGCTTCCTAGTAAATTTGAACCACCATGAATCCAAAACAAAACAGGTCGAGAAATTGACAATGAACTTGGTGACCAAATATTGAGATAAAGACAGTCTTCAGATTCATCTGAATTTCCAATTTGAGGACAGTACGATGGTAATTCATTTCCTTGAATAAGTACAGTAGAATTTTGGGTAAACGAAATTGGATCTTCTAATCGAAGGTCACCAATGGGAGGCTTAGCATAGGGAATAGAAAAATATTTGTAAAGTGTTGGATTAGAACAGTCGCCAACAATGCGTCCCGTGGTAGTAGCAACTGAGCAAGTAGTGAGATTAGTGGAGCATGTATTGCCAGTCGCAAATCTCACTGTAAGCAAGCATTGTAAATAAAGAAGAAAATTAACTGCATAATCCCAGCCAGTCATAGTGAAATGATTTTTTTTTTCAAGACAAATAAAAAAGGAGTATTAAATAGATTTTTGCTATTTTGTTTTATAAAAAAATGATAAACATAGAAGATACCACTATTTATATAGAAATTTTAAACAAAGGTATTTAGTTATAGTCATTCCCATTTCATTTTTAAAAATCTTAGGTTATTTTCAGGGTAAAACAGATGAAACCAAAGGTATATCATTTTGGGAAAAAAAACATAAAAAACTATCATCATATGTGGTGCTAAACGTTGAAATGTAAAGGAATCCACAGATGTGAAGGCAGACCACCAATTAATATAAGCATAAGTTTGTTTAAATATTATCTAATTTTAACAGTTTAAAAAAATAGTTTCAAATTATAGATTATATTTTCCTTATAAACCAAGTAATTACATGGTGCATTTCCTGTTGAAACCTCATTAGATATAATTTCAAAGTTTTTTTCATGTTGTGTCTTGAGCAAGGATACAATCAAGTCCTAAAAAGGAAATTTTTTAAAGTTAAGAAGTGTTATGTTAAAATTACCCGGCTTCTATGATTTTTTTTCAAGAAGTCAAGCCTAGTAATAAGCTTCATATTACAATTCACTTTTGAGACTCCCTTGCCAAATCTTATCTCCTGCTTAAGATACTACGTGTTTTAGTTAAAATTGATTTAATTGAAATAACTTCTGAAATGGTGGGTATTTTTTTGATGAAACTATCATTATAGTTAATTATTTTTTGACTAACATTTGTTAGAGTCAAATATACATTGCCTCCAATAGCATTTCTGATGGTAAGTAATTGCAATATCAAATTTCCTTTTATTTTTTTTAACATTTCATTTTTAGCCCATAAATCAGATATTTTTTCTGTTGCTGTTACTGAATTATTCACTATAACTGCTTCAGGAGATGGTACCGTTTCTCTTTGGGATAACTCATCGAATGAACCTAAGTCTTTCATTGCGCTTCAATCACCTGTGGGATTTCATCATATAGCTACGAATGGGAGGAATGTTTTAGCTGCAGTATCATATGATGGAAGGATCAGCTTTTTTGATTTAAAAGATATGGTGAAAATTGAAGTTTCTGGTAAGTTGTTTTTTTATTCTTTATTAGAAATTTCATTAAATATTGACAGCAAAAAAAAAATATAGCTTTCCAATTAGAAGAGTCTAAATATTGGGCTATTTCTCTTTCAATTGAAAATGATCTACTAGCTTTGAGTACTATTGATGGTGCTGTTGATCTATGGGATATATCAGAGCTCGCACACCCCAAAAAACTAGCAACTCTCAGAGATTTAAAAAAAGGATTTGGCCTTTCGGTGGATATATCACCTGATGGTAAATATATCGCAACAGGCCATGAGACTGGTACTTTATTAATATATCAGGTTGAAACATTAAAATTTTTTTTATCGATTCCAGGCCATTCTTCGCCTATACGGACTATCAAATTTTCTCCTTCAAGCACTATGATTGCCGTTGCAGGTGACTCAAAATTGATATCTCTCTACAACGTTTCAACAGGTGAGCATATAACAAATCTACCAGGTCATGATGGATGGATTTTTTCTTTGAGTTGGAGTGAAATTGGTGACTTTTTGTTGAGCTCTTGTTATGGGGGGAAAGCAAAAATTTGGTCTCTTGAAACAATGTCATGCGTATTTACCATTTCTGAAAATAGCAAGCCTTTACTTTCGAGTGCGTGGTTAGACAAAGGTTGGGGCAAAGGTGTTATAGGTGGAAAAAACAAAGGGATTGTTACAGTCGGCGAAGAAAAAGCCATTAGATGGTACCGAGAAGGCTCTGGTCAATAAAAAATGACTGTGATATATTAAGTAAACTAGATTATACGAAGTCCAGAGAAGAGATAGAAAGTTTTAGTATATCAATTCGAGATTTACCAAAATTGTTTGGATCTTTGAAAAATGATGGCCAGATTTGACCATGTTTAGGCTCAATGCTTTTAAAATCATTTAAAATTTTTTCAACAGTTTTTTCGATATCCAATGAAGATACTGATGATAATTGGCTTTGAAGAAATTTATAATACCACATCCATGCATCACCATTATCTGGGTCTATTTGAATACTTTGTTCAAACCATGTTTTTGCTTTGCTGTACTTTTCCATTCTCCAGAATTCTCGTGCAACCGTAATAAAAAGAAATGGGTCATTCTGGCATGCTAGACTAGCTTCCCTTATCTTAGACCGACGATGAATTAATGGTTCACTTAGTATAGCTTCAGACCATAACAAACCAGAACTTGGTAGTTCTTGCAACGCCCGTGCAAGAAGAACCTTCATTTGAGCTGTATTTCCAGTTCTTTTTTCAAGTGTAACTCGGTAATACCAAATTTGTTCGTTTTTCGGGTTATTCAATGCCGCCTTTTCCAAAACTGAACGAGCTTTAATAGCTTCACCAACTCGCTCTTCAGTCTTGGCTAATAAAATCCATAACGGAACGGATTTTGGGCAAGCTTTGAGCCCATTTCTATAAAAGTTTAATGCACGACGATTATCGTTAAGAGTCTCATATATTTGACCTTTTTGCATCCATAGTTTATCGCTAAAAGGATATTTCTTTAACCCTTCGTCAACTAGCCTACACGCATCAACATTGTTTTTAAGTTGTCTTTCAAGAACGACAGATTTAAACCAAACTCTTTCTGTTCCAGCTTCTGTTCTTGCACGTTCCAATAGCAATCTAGCTTTTCCAAATGCCTGGTTTGCTGCTTCAATGCTGACAGCAGAAAGCCAAATATCTTCATTGTCTGGATTTTTTTCAAAAGCTCGTTGAAGAATAAACTTTGCTCCTAAATTATCGCCTGATAATCTTTTTTCATTGGCATATATGAGCCAAAATTCTTCAAAGTGCGGATGAGCCTTCACTGCCTTTTCTAATATAGAAAATAAAGATTCTAAATTTCCATGTGCTTTTTTGAGGTGGCAAAGTGCTAGCCATGGTCTTTTTGATTCTGGAAATTTTGTAATGGCATATTCATATATAGCGCTAGCAGTTTCATAGCTTTTTCGTTTAACACATGAACGTCCTTCATCAATAAGAAGCATCTCTTTATTTTCGTTTTCAAGACCAATTTCAATAGCTGCATTAATAATGGCATGACATGTAAGAGGCGCATTTTCTTTTTCACATAACTCTGCTTCTGAAATCCATTGGGTTCTGTCAGGGAGAAACCCTTCTGAATCTAATTTACGAACTCCTCTTTCAATGATCTTGTTGACTTTCTCCCTGTTATTACTATCACGCTCTTCTAAAATACCTGCGGCAATCCAAACTGCCTTCGATGCTTTTAAATGTTTACGAGCAGTATTCAAAACTTTTCTTGCGTTTAGAGGTGTTTCTAGCCGCGCTAGTGCCAACCACAAATCTTCAGATAATGGAACTCGATTCACAGCTTCTTTTAATAAAAGTCTGGCATCAGAAGGATCGCTTTCCAATTGAACGGCAGTTTTCCATAAGGTATCTGAGTTAGGTATATTTTCTAAAGCCATTCGAATAACTTTCTTTTGAGAATTCAGATTTTTTTCAAGCATGTAAGATTTCATCCATAAATTGATACTTTTTGGAAGCTGTTGTACAGCTCTTGCAGCAATGCGCTTAGAAAGCTCAAGATTATTAATTTCGTTAAGGCGAATATTCTCAATCCATACATCCTCACTTTTTGGATTATTTCTGCAGCCTTCCTCAATCACTGATAACGCTTTTTGAATTCTGTTAGATAGTTCTTCAATTCTTGCTAAGCCTATCCATCCGCTGGGATCTCGTGGATTTGACATAACCAAAGACTTCAACAATGCTCGTGACCGTTTTATATCGCCGATGTTTCCAGTAGCAGGCAATGATGTACCAGCAAGCGAAGTTAAATAACCTTTTGGATCAACATTACTGAATCCAACTTCATTATGTTTTGTAGGTAATGACAATATAGATTCAGTGCTAGCTTGGTCTAACTTCATCCCAAGCATTTTATCTCTAGCAGAAGAAATTGAGCGAAAATCTGTCATTGCACCCTCATTTTCTAAAGGGTTTCCAGGATCTATACTTGCTTCAATCTCTCCTTGATTTTGAGAATTTGTCAACAAACTATCTGGAACATTGTAAAAACGTGTTTGCTGTTGTTGAAGCTTGCGTTGTCGCTTGTATTTTCTTGTCAAGTCACCAACCTCTGGAAGATTCTCCCATTGATCTTCAGTGACAGTTGACAAAGCTCGTTTTAAATCCGAGAAACGTTCAGATGCCTTTGCCGCCTCTTTTTTAAAAATATCTTGTTCAGCTTTTTCTCTTACCTCATTTTGGTTTCGGTGTCGCTCATTCATTCTCTGATCGACGCCAAGGTATATAGAGTCTGCTTCCTCATCTTCAGGCTCAAAATTTGTCGCTGAAGAAAACAAACCTCTATCATTTTCGGGATCCTGAAATCTTTCATCATCATCTCCCTCATTTTCCCCGTCTTGTTTCACAGAAGACTTCAATGCATCTTCTGCAAATCCTGATCGTGCAGGTCCGATGTCTGATCTAGTTGTAAATCCAGTTGCGCCTCGACCCAGTCCTGGAACATAACCTTCAGGTGCAGGCATGTCCAAAAAACTTTTATATTCAACCATTTTAAGTCGTCATTAGTTGAATGTAAAAAAAACACTTATAAGAAAAATGAATAAAGAAAAAGAATAAGTCTAAAACTTAAACTGATATACTATGCAACTGGAATAATATTAGGTTCAAGTTAATTAAAAGGTTAGTCGTGTAATTGTTCACAGGTTTACTTGGGGTACTAAGCATTGTAACCCTTCACATTAATGTAACTTAGCTAACCCTTTGGATCTTACTTAAACAATCAATTGGTTCATTATGTAATCAATTTGAAATTTAATTATGTAAACTTTAATAGCCTTACCACGTAACCCTTACCCAGTTATAGAAAAATTTTTAAGATTTTTTTTTTTTGGATGAGTTTATCTCTGAAAATTCTGCAAGTTTTAACTCATATTCAATACCGATATCTCAGAATGACGCAAAATCTTGGAAATACTATACAAAAGAGATCATTAGATGAATCTCTTGAAGATGATGTTAAATCTAAAAAAACTTCTTTAAATGATACAATACATAACAAGATAAACGTTGATGAGGACATGGGTGAATTTGAAGATCCATACGGAGACGATTTCGATGATAGTGACGAAGAGATTTTTGAGGCTGGAGACGAAGATATCGATGACGTTGAAGACGAAGATAAAGTTGGTGATCTGATTGAAAATTCTCAACAGCGTGCAATGAAAACTATTAAAGAGGATGAAGATACAAATGAAACCGAAACAGATACATCGAAGAAACCTTTATCTAATAAGCAACAAATTTATCTTCCAGGTATTTCGCAACCTCTTGGACCTGATGAGGTTTTAGAACCTGATTTGTCAACTTATGATATGCTCCACACAGTAAACGTTACTTGGCCTTGCCTTTCCTTTGATATTTTAGAAGATAATTTGGGGGATCAAAGAAGAAGTTACCCACATAGTGCATATATCGTGACTGGAACTCAAGCTCAAAAGGCTCGTGATAATGAAATCACTGTAATGAAGTTTAGTTCGTTGAATAAGACTCTTTTAAAGGATGACGATGATAGTGAAGACGAAGATGATGAGTATACTGATCCTATTCTAGAAACAAAGTCGCTCCCTACAATGTCTACAACTAATAGAATTCGCGTGACTCCTTTTGCCAAGCAGACCAATCAGTATCTTACGGCATCTATGGCAGAAAATGGCGATGTCTATGTATGGGATATCACTCCTCATTTTAAGTCTTTTGATACCCCTGGCACTATTGTCACTAAACAAATGAGCAAGCCTATTCATACTATTACTTCTCATGGCCATTCTGAAGGTTATGCCTTGGATTGGTCGCCATTGATTACCACTGGTTCCCTACTTACTGGTGATGTTGATGGTCGTATATTTCTCACAAATCGAACACAAACTGGTTGGACTGATAATAAACAACCTTTTTTGGGACATAACGGAAGCGTGGAAGAAATTCAATGGAGTAAGTCAGAGCGTACAGTTTTTGCTTCCGGTGGAAGCGATGGTTTTATTCGTGTTTGGGATATTAGAAGCAAATCGCACAAGCCAATTATTTCGGTAAAAGCTTCGTCTTCGGATGTCAATGTTATGAGTTGGAGTGGAATTAATACGTTTTTGCTTGCTAGTGGGCATGATGATGGTTCCTGGTCTATGTGGGATCTTAGAAATTTTAGCCCTAAGGACACCAAGTCAAACTCTGTTGCATCCTTCGATTTTCTTAAACAACCTATTACATCTATTGAGTTTCATCCTACAGAAGATTCTAATATTGCAGTTGCGAGCGAAGGACATACGGTTACGTTGTGGGATCTGGCTGTTGAGGCAGATGATGATGAAATTAAAAAACAACTTGAAGGAGACAATAATGTTTTAGCTAATATTCCACCTCAGTTATTATTTGTTCATTACCAGCGTGATGCAAAGGAAGTCCATTGGAATAAGCAAATTCCTGGAAGCTTGATAAGCACAGGCAGTGATGGATTTTCTATCTGGAAGTCGATTAGTGTTTAAATGGGTTGTAATTGATAGAGTTTTAATTTTGCAGTTTTGTTTAACTTGAGCTTATGAATCCGTATTAGTACTTCCGTAGTTATTTGATATAAGGGAACAGTTATCTTCGTCATTCAAAATACGTTCTGCATCTTTTCGAAGTCTTTTATTAATGTATTCATAATATATTGCGAGGAAAAGAAGGATCCCTTGTAAACATGCTGCTGTGAAATAAGGAAGCCAAGAACTCCATTTGGTTCCTTCACGAGCAGCAATTGTAGCAGACCACAAAAATCCTCCAGGAGTCTGTAAGCACATCATAGGAATGCTCAATGATCCTACGTGCTGTAAATGAGTAGTGGTATAGATTTGAGGAAAATATTGAGCAGCTGCCAAAATCGCTCCAATTATCCCCAAAAAATTCGCAAAAAGAGTGATTTCGTTTTCACTCCCTTTATAATAAAAATAGCTGCTAAAAATTCCCATAAATAAAAAAATACTAAGCGAAAGTTTTCCAGCATACTGAAGTTTATAATAATCCTCTTTTGGCTCCAATCTTTGATTACGCGTAAATACTAATGCAAGAATTAATACCAAAGCTATCGAGAAAGTTTGAACGCTAATTTGAATGATGGCTAATGAAGCAGAAAAGCATTGCCCAGTAGTGATTATATGACAGCAGTTATAGACAGATTGAGAAACTAATAAAATATTGAAAAAAGCTGAAAAGCTAGAAATAATACCTAATAGTAAAAACCAAGGTGAAATACCTTCAGATGACTTCCGTGAAATAATACGAATATATTGAGGTACATATGAAAAAAATATGCCAATACAAAGGCCTATAGACAAAAAAAAATTCAAGTCATATCCTTTTTGAAATATGCTACATTCAGTAGCAGCCAGTTTGGGTATCATGGTAAATAATAAATGGGGTAGGAGTGAAGGTTCTTATCTCAAACTCGTTAGGAAGAAAATTAGTGCGGCAATAGTAATTTGATAGGTATATCTGCAAGCAGTTGTAGTTACTACATACTGATACCTAAGGTATGACTTATGACATTCAAAAAAATATTATACTACTAGTGTAAGTTTTATTTTTCATTAAGAAGTAAGCATGGTCACGTTACATATGTTCAACCAATCAAAAAAAATTTGTTTCAAAGTCCTTAAAAAAATAAAATTAAATTAACTCTTCTTCCATTCCCAACTTCCTCAACCTTTTGTAAATTCCAAGTATTTTCATTTTGCAACTCATTTTTTTTTTTTAAATAATGACTACTGCTGCTACTGCATTTGCGGAAACAACCCGCATTTCTAAATCGTCTCCTGAGCTTAGAGCCAGAGTTCTTTCTCTTTATAGAAAGTTTATCAGAAACGTATGTTTATTACCCTTTATACTTTAGCATATTTCCCTAACTTGTTTCTAGGCCCCTTTTATTGCTGAGACTTACGAATTATCTTATCCTGTGGCTCGCATTCGCACAAAGTTTAGACAAGAATTTGAGCGCAATAGATTTGTTTCTGATTTATCAGTTAAAAATATCCTATATGCTAAAGGTCAAATGGAATTTCAAGAAACTATCAACTATTGGAAGCAACAACCACATATTCTTAATTTTTTCCTAGAGGAGGAAACTGTCAAGAGCAAGCCAAAGCCTTCAACTTTTGTTGAGAAATTTCTTCAGGTTAGTGTTGATTCTTTTATCATTATGGGATTTACTAACAATTTTTTTACAGAACTCGCTATAAGCAATTTCGTTTAGGTAGTAGAAAAAATAATATAAATTAGGAAAACTATTCATAACAATTTTAAATTATCGGGACCACAATGTTAGCAGCCACCAATACTTTTTTAAATAGCTCGCCAGATGGATCAATAGATCGTACAAACCTTAGGAGTTCTTTGCATAGATCCCAGTTTTTTGAATTATTTGCAACTTTCAAAAGTTGGATTGTATTATCCATTGTTTTCAAGGAAATGTCGTGTTCTTTGTTTTTAGTCAAAGTGTTTTGATCCAGATTATGAAGAACAAGAAGATATCCGCCAGCAGTGACCAGTTTTTCTTTATCAATACATTGTTCAAACAGTGCTTGGGGTGACCCTAAAACACTAAATAATTTGCTCCAGTATTTTATTTCAATCTTCCGTGTGCAATTAACAACAACATCAGGCATTTCGGGGAATTGACTAATAAAGTATACTGCAGATTTAAGTAATTCCGTGGAATCGTGCTTGGTAGTTTTATGAACGCTGGTAGCCTGCTGAATGACGCTTGACGCATTAACGAGAACATCATAAAGAAGCACCTCAAGCATATGCTCAAAATAATTAAGGCTTCTGAATGATTTTGCAACTGATAAAGCTTTTTGTTGATTGTTGTTGCGAAGATATGATTCTAGAATGTATGGCAAAAACAATTGAGCACTTGTCCATTGTTTAAAGTATGTAAATGACCCGCTTCTAGTCAAAACTGCGTCACATTCGACCCCCATAACTATACCTTTATCTGTAAGCATAGTGAGAGGGTATAACTCAATTGGAACTAATATAGGTTTCGCTAGATCCTCATACTCATTTGAATTTTCCTGGACACCATTTACCCATGTTACAATATTCTGGCCATCAAATGCCCATATCATGTTCTTGAGATCTTCTTGAGTTCCAGAAAAAGAGTAGTATTCAATATAATTATGAAGTACCCTAAGCTTATAACTCATCTTTCCAGAATCAGAAAGATTTACTTCATTTTGAGTTCGTGGGGTAAGTTGAATGAGCATACCATCAACAAGAAGCAATATTATACTTTCTTCAAGTACAAAAGGTACACGTGTCGAATCATCATGCTTTGGAATGCAACTTATAGATCTAACACGTCCTGGTGAGTGGATAATTCCAGAAAATGATATTTCTGTTATAGGCTCAAGCTCTATTTCTTTATCTCTCACAATAATGTTAAATTGATATAAATTGTTATTAGATGCATAAATAAGCAAAGAATTTCCAAATAAAAACATGTAAATAACTGGGGCTGGTAATGTTTCTTGAAATAAAATATTTTGCGAGTCGAGATCTAGTTCACGAAGAAATAGCTGGATTTCATGAGAACTGCCAGTGTCTACTGCCATTATCAAAACATTTCCATACCAAATAATTCCACCATGAACAGAAAAATCTTTATATGAATCTTCTTCAACAAACATTTTCCACATTCCACTATAAAGACTGTAATGAGTGACACCTCGAATACCTGCAACAGCGACGTAATTACCATCAGATGAACATGCTACATATTTAATGGGCCAGTTGTCTGCGATATAGCTGGCTGGTATTGGTACGTTTAACCATAAAAGAGCATCTTTATCAATTGTTGTAAGATCAGGAAGGTCTTGTCCGCGATATAGCATTATTTTAGAATCTTTGAAAAGAACTGTGTGCGTATTTCCACTCTGAATGAAATTACCAGTCATGTTCCAACGAATGGTATCTAAAACCCAAATTGAGCTTCTATCTTTAGGAAGTAAATATATGGCATCACCTGAAAATGACCATACGGACTTTTCAATCCCATCCATCCATTTTTCTTGACTTCTTTGATCAGCCGAACTTATGAAAGATGATGAATTGAGCATTCCATAAACTGAAAAAAATGCCCATCCTGACTCATATCCAACAAACCATCCAGACCCATCGTGAGAGCATGAAATTGTATTGATTTTTCCCGATGATGGAGTGGGGGGCTCTAGGATTCGAACCAATGAAAAATTTCCGGAATAATCTTTAATATTGTAAAGATATGTTCTGCCAGAAATGCATCCAACAGCAATCAAACTAAAGCGTGCATTTATTTCAGCACACAACGCTTTTTCTTCAACAGATTCATATGGTCTAGGTTTGTGTAAACAACTTCCATCCAAAAACAAATTATAGCCTGAACTGACTGAAAGTCTTCCCTCTTTTTGATCATTCATAGATACGGTCCATACTGAACCGTCTGATAAAATCCAAACAAACAGACGCATTGATTTACTCCAAAAAATATTCAAAATAGTATGTTTTTCCTCTTTATATTTTTTCGATAGCCATTCTAAATGTGATAAAATAATGGTTCTAGTTTGATGACCTGAAGATGAGTTTGAGGAAACTAAATCATTGTTAATGTCAAGATCATAATCCCATTTCACAAATTGAATTGCGGGTGGAGATTTTGTTGCTATCATTAAATCCTTGTCAAGTGAAATAGCAGTAGACATTCCTGAATCTAATCTTACAATCATTTTAAATTGAAGATACATTTCGTGGACACCAGAAGCTTCGCCAGGACCAGGAAAAGCAGTTCTTATCGTTTGCCCTTCGTAAATAAATAATGGCGAGTTGTCAGAGTAAGTAAATACAGCAATTTCTTTAGTTATATCCGAATGAGAGATTGAATAGGTAAGTATATTTCCTAGAGTTGTTGTAACTACCATAATATTGCAGTCAGAGCGTACATGAACATCTAGATTATCTCCAAATTTTTCTATGGACGATTTTGAGCGGATATATGCAATAACCGGACACAAGGGCTAAATCGAAGAATTAGATAAATCTTAAACAATCTCCCAAATGCATACTTTAAGTTGATAAAAATATATCCCATTCCATGTTATAACAATAAAAGCATAACCTGCCCGAGATATCTCGAACGACACAATTTTATCATCTCTGGCCGGGTTAGATGCAGGCTCATCGAGAGTGTTAACAAGTCTAGAGTCTAGTTTTAATTGGGGAATCACAATTTCAGTCGGAGTTCCCGCAGGCCAAATCATATTATATAGATTTAATGGTATTTTCTTACATTAAAAGTTGTGTGAATGAATAGATGTACAAATATGTGTAATTAAGGAGATGCAACGATTAATTTATTTTTTAAACAACGTCAAACTGTTTTGGTGTCTACGACTCGAAAACAGAATGGATTGGAAGAATCTGTTACAAATTTTTGTAATTCATTCTAAGTAATAATTTTTAAAATAAAAATATTACTGTTTTAAGCCGTATTATTTTTTTAGGAAAGTGCAAAAAAACAGTTTTTTTTTATGAAAGCTGGTTTTCGGGAACTAACAAATTGCTTTCTAAATAACCACTAATCCATTATTAGAAGTCTTACAATTTTAAGTTGAGATATTCTAGAAATTACACCAAAATAGATAAAAAAAAAACTTCATTATTAGACAAATTTTCTATAAATCATCAGTTGAAGTGGTGTCGATTAAACATATTTCGGTGTTCATAATTGTTTTATTAAATACGCAATAAATTTTGTTATTTATGGGGAATTTTATTCACACTTAGTTCTCTCCATCACTCAGATTATCACTCCAGTCATCATTATTATTATAATCCGGACGGGGTGGGGAAGATGGTAGAGTCATCCCTTTTCGCTGAGGCGCGTCTAAAATAATTTGATCCAGCTCATTTAAATTTGGAATGGAAGATCTTAAAGGTTGTTGCTCTTTTAGTTGAATCTTGTCGAGATCTCCAGGTTTTGATGTAATTCCATCTTCTTTTCCCAATAAGTTTGACATACATTCATGTGTGTGTATTTTCTCATTTTCCCTGTTTAAAATCTCAGAACCCTGATTATTGTTTTTTTCGTGTAAAAGAGGAATTTCAAAAAAAGGCACTAAGTCGAGCTTGTTATTACTTTGCGTGTGGTGAAAGTCTGTTCCAATACCAATTTCACGAGCAAGTTCTTCAAAGTTAACATCTTGGTGAAAATTTAAAGGTTGATCAAGAGCTGACTCAGAGTACAAAGTCCGTTTGTCCAATTCAGACGATTCCACAAGACTTGGTAAAGGAGATGTCTTTCGCATAAACTTTTTATTTCCTGGTGAAGAAAATAGTTGTGTGATCCAGCTTGAAGGTGAAAGATTTGGCGAAGTCAGTCCTGCTGCTTGTAGCAATTTAATCGGGGTAGTAACTCTAGATCCTTCACCAGAATTAGTATAGCATTTTGGTGTTGTAGGATATTCAGAGAGTTGCTCAAGAGGTAATGAAGAGCCAGCTCCTATTTTTACCTCATCCCCTTTATTCTCTGGGGTTCTTTCCTCTTGTTCAATAGATTTTGAATCAGAAGATTCATCCCCCTTTGGTGATGATGTCTCCTTTTCGACCTGAGAAGGTTCCTTGTTATTATTTGATCGCTTTGTATATTTTCTTTTAGCGCGCTTAGGTTGTGCATCGGTTGGATCCGAGGGCGATGTATTAGAAGAAACGTCTGAAGAAATAACGTCAGGCTTTTTCATACGTCGGTTAAGAGGTTTTGGAGGTGCCTTGCCAATATTTTTAATATTTTTGGGGGCAATGCTAATGAATCGAGCATCGTTACCAGTAGTTTTTGAATCCAAATCTTCCAAAGAATCATTAATGGTTTTTTTGGTAGTGCAAACTTTGCCAGAATCCTTATTTGATTCCTTATAATCTTCAATCATAGAGTTGTTGCTTCCTTCTCTATTATTTAAGGCCTCGATGGTATTTCTCGATTTTTTCTTTCTTTCTGAATTAGCTGCTAACATTTCTGCAATATTTGTACTGATTACTGCTCGTTCTGCTGGTTCGTTCCCCTCTGTTGTAGCTGAATTTGAGGTCAATCTAATAGCAGTTTTTTTTATGGGTTTCTTGGGCTTCTGGTTTGATGAACTGATTAAAGAATTCGAAGTAGCTGATATGGATGAACTTGAAGCCGGTGTCAAAAGAACAGAGTTATGAGCTGGCTCTGTTTCACCATGGTGATTATTCTCTTTTTCTTTGCCCCATCGGCCCATTGGACGCATTGACCCCTTATTTTGAAGCCAAATTCCACAAGGATTGCATAAATGAAACTCTTTTTCAACACCGTTTATGGTACTACCAATGCGACGCCAAGCTGTTGTTTCAAGCTGTCCACAATTTTCGCAGTACTTTAGTTCTGGAATTTCTTTTACATTTAATCTGCGTTGGGTTTTTCGTTTTGCAGATTGCGTAGAAGATTTTCCAGTTATATTCAATTGGTTATTGGAACTCGTTGAATCGCTAAACGGAGATTGTGAAATTAAATTAGGGGTATAAGGTTCATCTACTAAGCGTGATTGCTCCGATGTAGAAGAGATAGCTGAATAGGTAGGTTTTGAAAATGACATTTGAGAGGCTGGAGATGAATTGCAAACACTGATATCTGTTTCTAAATAATTAGAAGACATGATCGGGGATGTAGCAGGCTCACTAAAATACAAAGTACTAGAAGGGCCCAATGAGTTAAGGAGGTTTAACGTCATGTCAGAATCACCTGTACTTTTAGCTTGTGGTGATGGTGATTCAGATCTTTGTCTCTTAACCAAACGTTCATCTGGACCAAGATTTTTGTTTGTTGGTATAGAATTTTTCTGGTAATTGGATATAATGGGCTTTTTAGGACATTTATTAAGGAGACGATTGGTTATTGGATCATCTCGTGAAATGAGTGACTTTGCCGAAGATAAATATCTCTCCAATAAATTATGTTGAGTAACCAAATTCATCCAAGATGGATGATCAAAGTTTTTAGGAAGAATTTTTCCTAGTGTTCTGTAAAGATTGATGGAAGTTATGTACTGCTCTTGAGTAAAATTTTCAACCTGAACAAATTTTAGTCTTACCTCTAAGGTTTCACGTCCAGTTCCTGAAAACAACGACAAAATGTTTGTACATATTCGACCCACAGCCAGTCTAGAAGAAGGAATTTCTATTTCATCTGAAGAAGATACAGCTGGAGCTCTATTTCGAGCCATTAGTTGTTCTTTAACAGAAGAAAATAAAGGTTGAGTCTGTGTCTGTTTTTCTGATGTCATAAGGTATATCCATGAAAACATCCCATGACCTACTAAAGGTAGTTCAGCTTCTGAGTAATCAGTAGAGTAAACAGCATAATCACAAAATTTTAAATTAGAAATTATTTCGGGCGATGATTCAGAAATGGATTGTAAACATAGAGCTATATCAATTATTCCTAAAGGGTGTTGATCACGCGTATAAACAACTTTGACGTCTTGAGGTGTTGGCGATCGCGAAATGAATGTTGTTAATCCATTGTCGAGTGTATAAAGAATTTTAACCGGAATAGCACGATTGGTAGGCTGTTGTTGAATATCCATTGCTTAAAGTATCGATATCATTAAATAAATATTTAAGTATATACATATATGTTTATAAAGAAAAAAAAGTAAGAAAGTGAAAGGAATAGTTTTATGCTAAAAAAATTAATTAAAACGTCTCTCTAGAAACATTGAATATTTTTTGTAAGAAAAGTAAATAAACAAAAAAAAAAAGTAAACAAACACCAACCGCGTCAACGCGTAGACAACCGCATAGAACCTGTTTCGTAAGCGACCTCTATTAATACTAAAAATAGAATTGCTTATACAAACCTAAACCCTGAAAAAAAGTTTCAAGTGTTTTGGTTTTTATGTTAAGATTTTTCTCTGATAACATTACATCTGTCGATTTCATGGTCATTTTAACTGTCAAGATATTCCGAACGCTTTTAAGTCTGAACTTTTAAATATGATTTTTTTCAACGCATGTAAGTTGAACAGCCATGCTGTCTCAGCTTTGAAGTTATTCCTATTTGCGGTTTATATTTTCTGTCTAATTCTGCCCACGGTTGCTCAAGATAGCGGTACATCAACCAAGGGCAATACTATAAGCTCCGCAAACACACAAACTTCACAAGATACAACCTCGGCCACGAACTCCGTTCAAACGACCACTGCTCCGTCAACTACAGTCAAAGATACTACTAAAGATACTAAAACCTCAAATTCGGCTACTAGTTCTGCTTCAAGCTCTGCCCAAGAAAGCGGAGTTTCATCTACTTTAGCAGTAACTGGAAGCCTGGTATCTTCAAAAAATTCAGAATCTTCAAACACCGGGAGTACACATATTTCTGCGACAACTACCTCAGCTTCAGCCATTGTTATCACAGCAAGTAATACGATTTCTTCTGATACTGGTACAAAACCCACACTTAGCGCTGTTCAGATTACTGCTGTTAATACTTTAAATTCAGGTAGTGCTAGTGGTCTTCCTGGTCTTAGCACAGCTTTGCCTACACTTTCATCAACGGGAGCAACAATCCCAACTGTAACTGTTCCCTCTAATGCCAATAATCCTTTTATGAAGCAGTCATCTCTTCCTGAAGGAACAGTTTTCATTGCTGTTGGCTCTATTCTTCTTGGTATTGCGCTGGCCGTAATTGGATGGAACATTGCAATGTTTATTATTGCCAGAAATTCAAAGTATATTGACTACACACCTGCTGGTGGGTTTGGAACTAAGGGACCTGGTGATTCCAAGACAGCTTTTTCAGGTGACCATTCTAAAACCCTAGAAGGATCAGAGGTTGGGACCTCTGGCGTGACTGGTGGAGCGGCTGCTAGAGTTATGTCTCAAGTGGGCTTTGGTGGTGGAAACGATAACGCGGAACGAACAAGATCAATGTATAATTCCGGCTTGTTTTTCTCTCCCACTGCAGAAGTTATGAATAATGCTCAGCATCAGGGTGCTGTTTTACCAGGATCAACACCAGGTGCTGCTGATTCTTTAACTTCAACTGTCAATTCTGCAGCAGGTGTTGGCGTTAGTCCCTCTACATTGGGTGCTGCTGCTGCTGCAAGTGCTGGCGCTACTAGAACATCGGTTTATATGCCATCGGGATACTATGCCCCAGCAACTTCTGCGGGAATTACTGGGAATACAACAATGTCAATTTACAGTACCGCAGGAACTAATACTAACAATCGAAATACGATAGGGCCTACAAGAGAATCTGTAAGAGCTCCTAGTGCATATTTAGATGACTTCCTAGGACAAGATAGCTAAGTTATTTTATTTTATTTTATTTTATTTTACTTTACTTTACTTTCTTTAAGCAGTGATTGGTATTGTTAAATTATATTTATTTTTTTTAACTTAATATCTATTTTATTACAATGTAGATTGATCTTTGAAACGAAAAGTAAATGAAATAAAGAATGCTATGTTAATTATTGTTTAGCGATCAACCTCACCGAAAACAAGATCCATTGTACCAATAATGGCAACAGCATCAGGCAAAAAGTGGCCCCTTGCAATTTGATCAAAAGCACCAAGATGGGCAAAACCTGGAGCACGAATCTTACATCTGTATGGTCTTTCTGTACCGTCAGAAACAACATAGACACCCATTTCACCCTTGGGTGCTTCTATCGCAGTGTAAGTTTCACCTGCAGGGACACAGTAACCTTTCGTAAAAAGTAAGAAATGGTGAATCAAAGCTTCCATATCCTCTTTCATCAAATTGCGAGGAGGAGGGTTGATCTTGTAGTCTTCAACTTTAACAGGACCAGCAGGCATTTGATTAATACATTGTTCGATAATGCGTAAAGATTGACGGAATTCAGCCATTCTAATTAAGTAGCGATCATAGCAATCACCATTTATACCAACAGCAACATCAAAATCAACTAAATCATATGCGTCGTATGGTTGTGACTTGCGAATATCCCAAGGAACACCGGAACCTCTAAGCATAACACCAGAAAGAGAGTAGTTGAGAGCATCCTCGGCAGAAATGATGCCAATGTCCTTAGTTCGGAATTTCCAAATACGATTGTCTGTCAGAAGTTCCTCGGTTTCATCAAGTCTATCACCAAATTGAGTAGCCCACATATAAATATCATCTAAAAGACCAGCAGGAAGATCCTGAGAAACACCACCAGGGCGAACATAAGCCGCATGAAGACGAGCACCAGAAACACGTTCATAGAACTCCATAAGCTTCTCACGTTCTTCAAAACCCCACAAGAAAGGGGTGAGAGCACCCACATCCATGGCGTGTGACAGAATAGACATTAAATGATTGAGAATACGAGTGATTTCGCCAAAAAGTGTGCGAATATATTTAGCACGAATAGGAACTTCAATGTTAAGAAGTTTTTCAACAGCAAGTGAAAATACTTGTTCATTGGTCATCATTGAAACATAATCAAGACGGTCAAAATAAGGAAGAGCTTGCATATAAGTCTTGTATTCAATCAACTTCTCAGTACCTCTGTGGAGTAGACCAATATGAGGGTCAGATCGTAAAATTTCTTCACCGTTAAGCTCAAGAATCAGTCGTAACACACCGTGCGCGGCAGGATGCTGAGGGCCAAAATTAATTGTAAAATGGCGAATCTTAGTATTGGCTTTGTGGGCGTCCAGAACGTCATCATTGTAGGTTGAAAGATCTTCAACAAAAGTAGTCCTGCCAAATTCTTCAGTATGACGAATAGGGCCAATGGGTGATCCCATATTAGCCACATTTTCAGCAGCATCTTTTGTGTTGTGACCATGGGAATAAGACTGTGCTATGCTGGAAGACGAAAAAGATCGTGTGAGAAGTTGTGAAGGTTGTCGATGAAATAGCGATGGTTTAGGTGAAGCAAACAATCGCTTCGATGCCATGCGGCAAGTAACTGAGGATCTAAGCATTAGATGTTATCGAGAAATAAAAACAGAAGTGTTGAAGCTACTAAAAAAAAATGATGCTCGACTACTGTTAAGAGCAAAAATATTGCGAAAGAGAACTTTGTAGTATGTCCCCAGGAGTGGTGGGAGAGGGAAAAATTAAATGGATAGCTATAACACACTGAAAAGAACTCCAAAATCAACTATTGAAAAAACAAAACATTTATTGGCTGAAATTAAGTAGATAAAAAAAAGCTGCCCTTTGCTGGTTAAAAAAAATATTTAAGGGTTGGGGTTTTATGACATTACCAGTAATAAACTATTGAAAAAGTATGATTGGCTGGATTAAAAAAAAAACATCTCGTAATAAGCATTACAAGCACATGTTACAAATTGCAAATGACTAAGGAATATTTTGAAAATTATGCAACCTATATTTATAACCTATGTCATATGGCCCGACTACCGTAAGACTTTCGTCGGTAATGGTTTGCCACTAAAACACGTTCCCCGGTTCCCGGCCCAGATTGTTTTTTTAAGTATTAAAATTTTTTTTTTTCTTTTTTAGAAAATATAAATAGCTAAAATTCCCAAAACATTTTTTTTAATTTTTAATTTTTAATTTTGATTTAAATCTCTATCCAATAACTATAAAAACCAATCACTACAAACACATTTAAAATGGCTAGATCTCGCGGAAGAGCTCCCCCCCCAAGACCTGTCACTCAGACTCGACAGGCCTCCACTGTTGCTGCTCCCAGAACTGTCGCAGCTCCTCCTCCCCCTCCTACTCATGCCCCATCGGCACATCCTCCTCAACCAACAGCCGTTGCGGCACCTCAACAGCCTGGTCTCTTTGCCCAAATGGCTACCACAGCAGCTGGTGTTGCTGTTGGTTCTGCCGTTGGACATACCATTGGCGCTGGTCTTACAGGTCTGTTTTCAGGATCTTCAAGTTCTTCTCCTGCTGAGGTTCAGCAGGCTCCTGTTGCTGCAGCTGCCCCTGCCACCACTTCTCAAGAGCCTGCCTCAAGAGCTTGTGAAGTTGATGCCAGAAATTTCACTCGCTGCTTAGATGAAAATAATGGAAATATGCAGATCTGCGACTGGTATCTCCAACAACTTAAGGCTTGTCAACAAGCTGCTGGCCAGGTTTGATCATCTATGTATATAAGATTATAATTTTTTTTTTTAAATTTAGGCATAACTGTTACGCATATTGGACAGGAACTAAAAAAATTTAGTTTGAAAAGGAATTTTTAAAAAATTATAAAACAACAACAAAAGAAAACAACAGAAATTAGGAAGAGTAAAATTTATTTGATCACATAACAGAGCACCCCGATTTTTCTTCTTCTTCATGAGCACCTTTGGGCTTTGCACTAAGAGCACATCGTGCAGCTTCTGTGAATGCCTCGTTCACACCTCTATTTTTTTTCGCCGAACATTCCAAATACCGTAAGGCGCCAATCTTTTTCGCCACTTCAAGGCCCTCTTCATAAGTTATAAGTTTTTTTGGTGGGGGTTTTGCTTTATTCAAATTTCCTGTACTACTCTTTCCTGAACCATCATTTGTGACATTTTCCCCTGAATTATCAGCATTATTAGATATTTTTGCCTGGGTATTTGAACCAGTACCCTGTGTTGAAGAATTGCTACCAGTTGAATCTTCTAAAGATCGTAAGTCGCACTTCAAGGCCACTAGAACAAGTTTTACACCTTCACAGTGATCCACAATTTCAGAAACCCACTTGGTTTGAACATTTTCTAAAGAATCCCGCGAGTCTACACTGAAGCATAACATAATTGTATGAGTATCTGAATAAGATAGCGAACGTAAGCGATCAAACTCTTCCTGACCTGCAGTATCCCATAACGATAATTGCATGGCCTGGCCATCAACAAAAATATCATGAACATAATTTTCAAAGACTGTGGGTTCATATACTTGGGGAAAGTAGCCCCGTGTGAACACGTTTAACAATGAAGTTTTTCCACATGCACCATCCCCTAAAATCACTATTTTTCGTTGTACTATTCAATAAAAAATATCTAGGTTAATAAAGATGTGAAATACTATAGAAAACATAGAAAAATATAGAAAAAAACGTTGAGATATACACACCTGGTTTCGCGGTTCCTCCACAAACTGGCATTGTAACAAAAATAGTAAGCTTTAAAAATTAAAGATATGACTAGGTGGGTATCTTTTCAGTTTTTCGTAATTTTTCCTTTTTGTCGTCGTATTACTAGTTATCTTCACTCTAAAGATGATAATCTAAAGAAATTAATATTGCTCCAAAGGACACACAAACCAGGAGAAAAAGCAAATAGTAATGGCGAAAAACAAGAAACAAGAATGAAGAGCAGAGAGACTAAATGAAGTAAAAAAAGTAACAAAAATAAAAATAAAAAACAAAAAGAACCAAACGACGCAGAATGTAACAAATTATTGTTACCAATAATTGTAACAAATATTGTAGTTTATGTATTCATGAAGGCTCTAATTAACACTTTCTTAAACTTATGTGGGAGCTCAACTGGATTCAAAATTGTTTATTTTCCATCGTAAACCCTATCAATGCCAATTTTTTCGCCAATTCCATTTATAAAAAGGAATCGAATTTCTGAAAAGTTTCTTGTATTATCATTTTTTGAAAAACTTAAAGATAAACAGAATTTTTTGAAACGAGAGTATAGTTCATTATCTTCTTCAGATAAGACTTCTCATTATGATGTTCTTGGATTAAGCACAGATGCCAGCACGGTTGAGATAAAACGGAAATATTATGAATTAGCTAAATTATATCACCCAGATACCAATCGGAACAGACCCCCAGATTATCGTCGGGTTTCTGAAAAGAAATATTCTAGAATTAAAGAAGCATATGAAGTATTGGGAGATAAGCAAAAAAGGGCTTCATTTGATATGGAACTTAGCAAATGTCATGAAGCTTCCACACCTTCTAATCGGAGTCCAAAGTACTCAGGTTATAAAGGATCAACAAATTATAGCTCATTTTCAACGCATAAACGAACAAGATCTCATACGTATCACTATTACAATAAGCACCATGAATACTCACAAGCAAAAAAGGAAGTCAAGGATACTGACTCAATGAAAGCCGGTTATAAGACGGGATCCAATTATGACGTTCCACACTTTGATTTTGACAAGCATTATCAACAACAAAGGTCCTATGAAATACATAGAAAAAAACAACAAATGAAAGCCAGTCAAAGAAACAGTACACCTAAACCAGCACATTTTAATGCTCATCATTCTGACCATGATTTTATTTACAGCGAATTTGATCATGGTTACAATTATAATCCATACAAAGTTCCTCCCAAACCAATAGTAAGATTGACACCAATCGGAATTATGGCAATGCTGGGAGGTTTTGCATCAATTTCATATTTTGTTATTAAAACCATATTTTAGTGACTTTATAAATTAGGATATAAAATTATATAATTAGGCCTCAACAGTAAGGGAGAGACCAAGCTTATGAGCAGACTCATTCAACTTTTGGGTGTCAAAGGAGACACCAAGACCAAGCTTGACACCAGGTCTGAGAACTTGAGAATAAGCAAGAGAAGCAATAGAAGCAGAGTTAATCTTAGCCTTGACAAAAGCAGAGCTATCAAGCTGGTGCTTGGTACCAACCTCAAGAGCAACACCCTTAGCAGCATTAGCCGAATCATAGACTGCCTTGGCACCAACCTCAGTCAAGGGGCTGATCTTGTGGTAGTATGAACCAGAGAAAACAGAAAGGTTAGAAGTGGCAGTAATAGCAGCAGTGTAGGAAGGAGCACCGTAGCCAAGTGCAACAGAGTACTTGGTCACTGCACCAGAAGAGATGTCATAACCAAACTCAGAGCCGACAAGAAAGCCGCTTTGACCAAAAGCAACGTCACCAGTGAAAATGGGACCCTTAAGAAGATCGAAAAAGGCGCGACCGTAGAAGTTGGGCTGTGAAAAGTGAAAGTTAACCTTGGCACTAGTAGTGTTTTTGGCAGGAGCATAAGATGTAAGAAGTTCTGCCTTGAAACCAGGAGCAATGGCATTGCTCAATTCAATCTTAGTGTCAAGAACATTGGCTGTGGACCAACCTTGAGTGAGAGTAAGACCAGTAGGCTTGTCAGAAAACTTTCCTTCAAGAGAACCAGAAATAGCAGTGTTAGCCTGATTAGCTTTGCCCTTAACAGTAAAAGCAACGCCGTTAGGAGCCTTAGACTTGACCTCAATGGCTGCAGGGGCGAGGTGAAAGTAGTCTCTAGAAAGAAGGTCGTTAGGGGCCTTGCCAATGTCGGAGAAAGCGGGAACAGACATTTTAATTAAGTTTTATTTTTGATAGTTAATGATAGAGAAAAAAAAAGTGAATAATAAATAACTAAGTTTCAGAAGTTATAGAAAAAGGATTGAAAAATTGGAAAAACGGGATGGTCTGGAAATTTATATGTTTTTAATGAAAACAATTCAGTGTTATGATTGGCTGTAAACGGCCATGTGGTGAGCAGCTAATCTCCACTTATTAAAAGTCATGTGATATTCAATATACATGCATATGCAATTGTTGAGCTATAACGTATTATTCCAGAAGTATTTCAAAAGATTTTATGAAACATAATATCGTGGTTCGGTTCAGGTTCAGTTTTGAGTTCAGTCAGTGAGTATTATTTTTCTTAAAATTTAGCAGCCCAATACTCTAGACACATTTTAAAAAATACAAAAAAATACAAAAGATAAAAAATAATATATGATAATTTGATATTTAATTCTAAACCTTGAATCTAGTTTAGTATTTGCTCAAGGTTTAGCTAGAGTATCTATAGTACTAATACTGATTTGGAATAACAAAACCAAAAAAAAAAATAGACAAAACGAGGGAAAAAAAGGGGGAGGAGGGAAAAATTCTATCTCACTAAATAACATTTTGTCTTCACTACTAACAAAAAAAAAATAAGGTCAAGACAAACCCTATTTTATAAATGTATTCTGTTCAAACAAGCTTTCCCAAAGACTCCTCTATAAGTTGTCTTCATGAAAATAGCAACGGCCTCACATATCATTTAGAAGTAGTTCAAAATCCCACCAGAGCTCGAGCAACAGGATGGGGTTCGAAAGGTAAAATCTCAACGTTTTTTTATACATTTAACTTGAACTCTAACAACTTAAATTTTTAGCTGATGCAAGACGACCCGTCGATCCACCTCCTGTCTTAAAGTTTGAAATTAGGGATTCAGACGGCAAGCGAATAACACATGAATCTCGGAGTATGTTTATAGTACACACATCTTTACTTTCAGTAGATGGTTATATTCCTTCAAATGACACAAATGAAGGATTCCCAACGCCTTCGCGACTCGCAGGCACAACAATAACCTCTTTAACTCATGTTCGTAACCCACTTCCAGGAAAGTTCCTCTTTATATTTAACGACTTATCAATTCGACAAGAGGGTCAATATAAACTTAAGTTTCGGATGTACGAGGTTTTGTCGGATCAGGGAATAGTTAGATTTAGAACAGAAACGATATCATCTGTAATCACCGCTTATTCACCAAAGAACTTCCCTGGATTAGCAACTTCTAGTGACCTTATAAAAGAGATTGCTCAGCAAGGTCATAAAGTTCGTGTTAGAAAAGAATCAACTCTTAACAGACGTCGAAAGAGAAGTGCATTTGAGATTCCGCAGTCGTTGCCGGTCACTGATTCTAACTTTAATATCGTCAACTCAAGTAATAAATCAAGAGACCCGAGCTTTCCAGAATCTAATGTTGACATAGGTATACTACATGCTGACTCTAGAATCAATCATGACAAATACTCTAAAAGCCCTTCATCTATCTCACCTGAGTTAGGGCATAAAACTTTATCGGAATCTCCCATTTTCAACAAGGACACTCAAAACTACCTAACCCTTGGAAACCAAACCAATTCCCCAATAAGTTTTCAAGATACTGCTCAATGTTCTTCAGGGAGTTTAATAGGTTCTGGCTCGGAATCACCTTTAATTATTTCGAAACACTTTGCTCCAGTATCAGCTACCCAAATTCAGAGTGAAGTAACCATGATGAAATTAATACCTATTAGAGATGAATGGCAAGAAATGACTGGATAATATGATATTACATGTGCTTACAAAAAACGCTATTAAGCTAATGTCTTGTTTTTTTTATCTTATCTCACAAATTTATTTATTCATTTGTTATTTCTATTTAACAAATTTTATTCTCATTTTTTCATGTTCATTTTCATTTATTCTTAAATTATTGTAGACTTTTCATTTCTTTTTTCAAATTTATTCCAAAAACTGAGAGTAAAATTTTAAACTGCGTTTAGTAGAATTTATTTTACTTTTAATCACATTGGTTTAACAGTTTTTTTTTTGAGTTACCCTATTTAACAAGCAATTATATCATGTGATATTTTTTTTCTTTAAGATCGCCAAAAAAAAAACTTCACAAGATACAAACTTTTCCAAATCAAAATGGAAGCACCTACAGTACCAGCTTGGAAAAGGCTTGGGTTAAGAGTAAAAGAAACGATAGAAAATGACCCATTATCCATAGATAGTCATTATACTGCGTCAAAACCAAAGGATACTTCTTTAAGTAAACGAAAAACTGATGAGCTAAATACCTCAAGTGAAGCACCTGATGAACTCCAAAAAAAACCCCCAAAGAGACCAAAAATTCCTAAATCAGAACGAAAACCTCCACCCGAATCTGATCAACTTGTTTATTTAAAGTCATATTCATTAAATAAAAAGGAGTGGAAATTTTCTAAGTCAAAACAGAATTGGATTCTTAGACATATATACAATCAGACTGTCATCCCTGAAACTTATAGTGAATATCTAATTAACTATTTGGTTGGTATTCAGGGAGGTGTTACGAAAAGAATTGTGGAAGATGCCAAACGCATAATTGAAGAATGGAATAATTTTATGACCGAAGAAGATAAGGTTGAAAAAAACGAAATCCAATCGGATTTAGAAAAAAATGACTCGAAGGAAATTGAAGACACCAAAAAAAAAGAAACGAAATCAGAGTCCTTAAATTATGCACCTCCTACGGAAGCCAGTGCTCGCATTGCACAAAAAATAATATTAAAACTAGATGGAAATCATATTTCACTAGCTTTAATTGATAAGAGCAGTGAACAAGAACAGTAAATTGTTTATTGTTAACAATAATAGTTGATTTAGCTTAAGATATATAAAGTAATTATAATCATTCAATCTAATGCTCTTCCTTTTGAATCTTTCCACCAGAAATGAAACGGGGATGTCTAGGATCATTGATGAATTCGGCAGCTTTAAAAATGTTAATTAACTACTATATAACACATTGATAAATGAAAACATACAGTTCATAGAGGCCTTAGCACCAAGACTGACGAGGTAAGTGACAACAATAGCTAAACAAGGACATTAGATAATTGTTCAAATAATATAAGATAATTTCATACCGCCAGCGAAAAAGGGCCAAAGAGGCTTGAGAACAGGGGTAGGGTATTTCTTGAAACTGCTGAAAAGAGCCATTTTGATGTGAATTGAGTGAGTGGGGTAGAGTTTGGAAAGGATAGATGAGCGACAGAGGCAAAGAAGAGTAAGAAGATATATCATTAATTTTTTGTTTTTCCTATTTTTGTTTTTCTTTTTAAGGAGACAATTGGCCACTTCCTAGCTATTGTATCAACCAATTAAAACAAGCTAAGCAATTACCCGGCTTTATAAGGTGAAAAATGATATTTAATTCCAATATTTTGCTATTTTTTTTAAACTTTTGAATAATTAACTACAATTATCTATTGTAAAAGGGTCTCATTATATAAGTTGAAGACATCAAAGACGATGATTGTCATAGTAAAAACCGATAGTTTGAGCCAGACATTTTTTATTAATGAATGAATTGGTATAGTATTTTCGGAACAATCTATTTTGTAGCAGCAACATCAAGAGCTTTTTGAAAAGTCTTACACAGATCTTCTTGATTTTCTAATCCTACGCTTATTCTGATAAGATTCCTATCAACTCCAAATTGAGAAATATAATCAAGTTCACAATAATGAGCAAGAATGGCATAAGGTGATGTAAGAGTAAAATTTGTCCCAAGCGATGGGCCTTTTGCTGTTAACACTGCGTCGTAAAATAATTGAGCATGCTTGGGAATGTGAAAAATAATAGACAGAAGCCCGCCATAACCTCCATCCTTTTTTTTACAAGCATCGTAGTATTTTCTTGAATCGTTGAGCTTTGGATAATAAACCGTTTTAATTAACGGGTTATTTTGAAAAAGATTCGCAACGGCTTCAGTTGTACAATTGATTTTAGAACTTCTTTCGACAAAATCTCTACTATTCCTTTCAAGATATATTACGTCTTGAGGCCAGAGTAGATTTTCATATTCCGAAGCGAGTGTTGTTTTCAGCAAATCGTAATATTTCCCATCTGGGTTTAACACCAAGCTGCCCCCCATGACATTGCTGTCACCGCTGAAAACCTTAGTAAGACTACTGACCACAATATCAGCAAATGGTAATACGTGCACATTTGAAAAGTTTCCAATAGTTTCATCAACAACAACCAAAAAATCATACTTGGACGCAAGAGCATAAATCCTTTTCAAATTCGGAGCTTTGAGAAGAGGGTTTGAAGGAAATTCACAAAATAAAGCTAAAACCTGCTCACCCGACTCCATCAACTCTTCTAATTTATCTAAGTCGTGATCATCGCCTTGCCCATAAAAATGAAACCCGGCACCAAATTTTGTAAGAATGTTTCTAGTGTCAACATATGGAAAACCGAAGCATACGCTTTTTTGAGTATTATTTCTTGCTTTCATAGTAATTCGATGCGCATTAAAAATGCTTGCCATACCAGATGGATATAAATAAACATCATGTTCTGTTGCACTATTTTCAGAAGCTGATGAATTCTCATTAATTTTAGAAACTATTCTTCTTCTAAGAGCTTGTTCAGCATCCTTTGCCAAAGACAAGTCTAAATTGCGACCAAATCTTTCTTCAAGAAAAGTGGACGATTCTTTATTTTGATCTTGGCTTTTGTATTCCAAAATATTGTTTTTTGTTGAAGGCTTGTGAAAGCCTCCACACTTGGATCCCGGAATATGAGAATGTTCACAATCATCATTCTTAACTTGAGAAAACTTATCTAAACAGAACTCTGCCATCCTTGATGATATCCCTTCTCCAGAATGTTGCCAATAAGCCTTTGCTAAATAAAATTCTGATTCAGGAAAAAAAATTGCAGAAAATGTTGTTGATGCCTTATCTAAGAGTAAAAGATTTTTTGAATCACTTTCAACTTTGGGTGTGCTGAGTTGTAAAATACGAAGAGAAACGTCAGTCAATTTGCTATATTGTCTAATGAAGTTTCTACAACGACATGCAACTTCATATGTAGGAAATATAAGACACTTCTCTTTTTCTCTTCCATATTGATCCTCGATATAGCCCGCAAGCTTCTGAATGAAGGTATGAATAAAAAATCTAGGGTATCCCGAAGTCAATTTAGAGGCTACCCATTCTTCACCTTCTTCATAGGCTATATTAGATTTCCAAGTAGGAAGAGTTACAGAGACGGCATGTGGTGTGTTGGCCGGAATAGGCGAGCCAACCTCCGTAGGAGGTATTAAATTTAAACTCATGATTCGTAAATTGTCAAAGTTAGAATAAGAAGAAAAGTGCTGAAAGAATTGGCAGCATCATTCACACATAATAGCGAATATTTTTTATGCTTAGATCATCTCCAAAAAAATTACTCACTAATCACATGATAATAGTTCCCGTAATTCCGTAACCCTATTTTTTTATTTAACTCATACTAATTTACTCCTACAGAACAAGAAAATACCTCTAAAGTATAAAGATCTGGGCTTTTCTAACTTTTTTTTTTCCCATTTTCATTATTAAAACAATGTCATAGCTATTTTTTTTCTTTTCTTTTCATTCCTTTTTTTTTTTTTTTTTTTTTTGACTAATACCAATAATGGCGAGAATAATAAATGCTTTAACATACTTTTTTTTTTTATCAACATTCATTTTATTATCTTACACAGCCCCTATAGAACCATCCAGAGTTTTATCTTCTCCATCTGATTCAGCATACTTAAAATTTAAAAATGGTGAAATACCCACTTATGTAACCGATTATGCACCGGTTGTTCATTTATATGCAGAAGAAAAGTATTTACCTTATTCAATAGAGGAATTTGTAAAGCACTTCTATGTTTCTACGGCAAATGGCAACAATATTACTCAAAAGTTACCTTTAACTTTAGCAGATCTTAACATTATACAAAAAAATACCAACACAGCTCCTGAAGATATCTATTTAACTGCCTTGTCTAACTTTGATAGTGACCCTAATTGGATCACAGGAGTTAAAAATATTCCAGATATTGAAACCGGGTTACTAAAGAATGCACCCGCCACATTAATTGTTGTGGATAAAGGTGAAGGCTGGGTGGACGCCTTTTGGTTTTACTTTTATTCATTCAATTTAGGACCGTTTGTTATGGGCGGAGGTCCTTATGGTAATCACGTTGGAGACTGGGAACATTCTCTTGTGAGATTTTATCGAGGTGAACCGCAATTAGTTTGGATGTCTGCGCATGGAGGCGGAACTGCATTTAAATTCCCTGCTATGGAAAAGGTATCTATGAAGTCAGTAACCAACAGCAGCAAAATAACCAAAAGACCTGTAATTTTTTCAGGCCGTGGAACCCATGCAAACTATGCTACAGTTGGGCAGCATTCTCATGACCTTCCATACTATATACTTTCAGATTTTACGGATCGAGGACCATTATGGGATCCAGCGAAAAATTTTGTGGCATACACATATGATGGCTTAAAAATTTCATATGCAAATGGATCAGAACCAGGGCGAGAAGAGCGATACGGCGATTGGTTATATTTCTTAGGACATTGGGGTGATAAAAAGTTAGCACCAACTGATCCTCGACAGAAATATTCACCATTTGAGTGGCGATATATTGATGGTCCAATTGGCCCTTTAGATAAAAATCTCATGAGAACAGGACCATGTCAACGATACAAATGGTACAATATATTTCAAACTTGTGATATTCGCTCGACTCTTAAAATGGGTGAAGGAATAGAGGCAGAAGGTGGAGGTTGTGCACTTGCATTTGACAATGTCAAGCCGTATGTGCTACAGATGTTACTACGATTAGTAACCTGGAGGGGATGGGGTTGTAATTTTATTGATAGCATTTTTGGTTGATTTTGATATTTTTATTTGTAACTATTTTTTTCTTTATAGATTTTTTGTTATTTTATTAAGACCTATTTTTTTTTTGTTTAGAATCTTAATTTCTTTTTAGTTAAGCACTTTCCATTTTACTAATATGCTTTAATCTACAGGGTTTATATTAATCTATACAAAATTAAATATATATTAGACAGATCCATTTAAAATCATAGGATCGATTTCTTGTGAATTATTTGAAACCAAGGTAGAATTCGCTTGACTTCTAGTATTACGATTTTCCAGCTGCTGAAAATGATGAGTTTGGGATAAAGGTTGAGGTAAGGACTGAGGTGAATTATGGCCAGAATTGTGTGACTGGTAAGGACTTCCACCAGATGGAGTTGTCGATAAACTACTTGTTCCGGAATTTGCAGAATTATAAATCTGAGAAGACTGAGGATAAATTGGAGTATGTGATCTTGAAGGTTGCAAAGAAGATGGCTGGGAATGACTAGATCCAGAAATGGGCGAGTTTACACTATTACTCGCTCTAGAACTAGATGATGACTGCGTCATAGGAACCGGTAAAGACTGAGACTGTTGCATTGGTTGGGCGTTGTATTGAGAATGCATTCCTTGAGCGTGATGAGAATTATTGTTCTGATACAATTGGCCATTTTTACCGTTTGAATAATGATGACTATCATTTAATATATCACTCGAAATATTGAGCTGGATGTGATTAGAGGTGTTGCTCAAAATATCTGAATGAGTGAGAAAAGTATCCAAAGCATTATGTTGGGAATGAATTCCATTTTCCAAGCTATTTGAACTAGTAGAATTAGATGTTTCAGATTGGTGTGAGTGGGTACTAGTTTGAGAGTGCCGTTGAAGAATAGAAGATCCCTGTAAAGTCCCACTAGAAACTTGTTGAGAATTTGCTGAGTTGCTGGAGTTTCCAATAGGAGAAGTAAAGGCTGGCAATGGTGGTAAAATTGTTTGATTTTCTAAGGTTTCGTCCATAGGATCCGGTTTTATATTTGTAGAAAATGAGGCTGGTGAAGAAGAATTTGAACTAGGAGACAGTTCTGAGTGAGGGGTATGAGAAGTCAAAGTAATGTTCGGCCTAAATTTAGCTGGGGTTTCAGGCTTATTATGATAAATAATAGATGATTCAGGAACAACTTTATAATCCACAATCATTTTACCGTCGGAAATAAGATGCGGATGTTTTGCTTTAACGTGGCGTCTCAAATCATATTCACGAGCAAACCGATAATGACAATCTGGAATAGGACACATGATTCTGCGATGAACATCATAACCAGAACCGGTGATTCGCTCAATAAGGCCAGAAGTACCAGTTAATGGATCCCTTCGTCCAATTGAACTTTGAGTTTGTTGAGGATGATAAGATTGAAAATTAGAGTAGGGAACAGATTGATGATTTTGCGTTAATTGATCATGTCCGCTAAGAGAAGAAAGGGGTGGTAATCCTTCCATAGAAGAAGCTGGGGTAAGAACTTGTACTTGTAAACTATCTGGAACAAATCCATGAAATTGTTGGTAGTGATAAATTAACGAATCTCTATCACGGAACACATAATTAGTAGCTGAAGCACATTGATCTTCCCGACAGTGCCATTCTTGTGTATAATGATCTTGAAAAAAGTTTGAAGATTGCTGAGCATTAGATCCAGAACCAGAATGATAGGTCTTCGTATGATCTGCCAACTGAGACTCTGATGAAAACTTTTGTCCACAATAACAAGAAATACTTTTGTGAGAAACTTTCACATGTTCCTGAAGACCTTGCCAATTTGGAAATGATTCGATACACCCATCCTCTCCACAATGATAAGAAGGCATTGCTGCATTTGCGTGACTTTTTTTAACATGAGATTCAAGACGAGCCTGGAGATCAAACTGTCGCGAGCAAAAAGGACACTGATGCTCTTTGCGAAAAGTATGGCAGTCAGATACATGCTTTCTCAGTTGGGACGCTCTTCGAAACGCCATCTCGCAGCCTTGATATGTACAGCGAACAGAAGGAACATGTGTTCTTTCATGTCTATTCAAATGTTGATTTGTATTAAATCCCTTGCCACAATATGAGCAGTAGAGTGGCTTTTCTACTGAATGAGAAAGAAGATGGGTTTTAAGATGGGAATCCCGGAGAAAAGCCTTTTCACATCCAGGAACAGTACACAAGTATGGACGCTCATCCTTGTGCGATCTTATGTGTTGTTCTAGAAGACAAGGACGAGAATATGCCTTTTCACAGTTATCCATAGGACATGGATACTTTTTAGGTCTAGGCTTGAGTTTTCGTGACGATTTCGAGTTTCCTTCTTGGTTCATAGAGGCTAAAAAAGGTTAGATAATTAATTATAATCAAGAGATAAACAAAACAAAAAATGCATACGGAAATATATAACTGAGCTAGTATTATATTCATTACCTTGCTCCGAAATAGAAGAGGTGGATTGTATCGAAGCGTTTGGCTGCATGATTTTAAATAGTGAAATTTTTAAAACGAGTGTATGATGAGGTTATTCAAAAAAAAGGACGGATACAAAATATTAAAAAAAAACGGTTTTCAACGTTTCAATGTGAATGGAGACTTAAATAATGATTTAAAGAAAAAAACAAAAAAACAAAAATATATATATATAAATATATATTTATAATACAATATTCTTTATTTCACACATATAAAATGTATATTTAAGCGAAAATATGAGAAGAAAAAATTTGAGGAAGGTTCCAAAAAAAGTTATTGGTTGAAATCTGGAAAATTTTTTTTGTCGTAAAATTTTTTTCTTTTTCAAATGAGGCGCCGAATTCCCCAAAAAGGGAAATAAGGGTTAGGATCATGGGTTAGGGCATTAGTACCAGAAATATTTTCATTAATCGACAATACAATGTGATTAGAAAATTCAAATTTATTTTGTCAGGTATTATACTATAAACCATAATCAAACCATATCTCTACACTTTTAAAAAAAGTTAAAAATTAATATCAGTATTTAAAATGTCTGACGGAGAAGAGCCGTAAGTTTTTGATATTAAAATAAAGGGGCTACGTAAATTTATATCTAACTTGATATTATAGTTATAATGAAAACTATGAAAATGCCTTTGAGGAAGATTTTCGAGACGATATTTCAGGCGACGAAGAGCAATTTGATGCATCTGGAAATTTAACTAGCGGCAATTCAATATCAGCTGATGGAAGAACAATAGTAGATTCGGGAATTCCACGAAAAAAATCAGCAAAAGAGTTAGCTGTGCCCAAAGACGAACGACTTACAACCCCTTATATGACAAAATACGAACGAGCCCGAGTTTTGGGAACTAGAGCTTTACAAATTTCCATGAATGCACCAGTTCTTGTTGACTTAGAAGGTGAAACAGATCCATTACAAATAGCTATGAAAGAGCTCGCTCAACAAAAACTTCCTCTTATTATACGAAGGTATCTCCCCGATGGAAGTTATGAAGATTGGGGATGCGATGAACTAATACTTCCTCAATAAAAATAATGAACTAAGCCTATAATAAAAGATAATAAAATAAAAGAATTTACTCATCAATATTATCACTAGAAGAAATGATACTGACAAAATCACCGTAGTAAAACCAATTCCCTTCAAGTCCTCCTGATTTATAAAACGAATTTAGGCAAGTGTTTATATCACCTTCTTTCATTCCACTTTTATATAAAAGATCCTTTAGTTCCTCTACTTTTATTCTGTACGGATTAGAACCCGTATTTCCCAAAGATGAATTTTCCTCTTCAAATATCATAAACGCGTTGATCAAATCAGAGGCAGGTGTTACTTTTCCAAGAGTTTCGGACATCATAGTCAAGAAGGATGAAAAGGTTAATGGTCGAGGCATTTCAGCTAACATATTTTTGATATACTCATCTGAACATGATGATCCTAAATTTTTGTAAGTAATGCTACTAATTTCCAAATAATTTATTTTATTCATACCTAAGGAAACGAGCATTGCCTTAAGATCAGAAAAAGATATACACCCATCTCCATCGTTGTCTATTAAATAATAAGCCTCTTTTAATTTTCGAATTTGGCTAGTGTTGAGTTGAGAGAAAGAGCCAGAGGTCCTTCGACGAGATGAAATAGAATCATCGGCAACCATTTTTTTTAAATATTTAAGGGATAAAATCTAATATTGTGATCGTAGTGAACAATTCCATGTATTTATAATTATAGTTTATAAATTATATTTTATTATAATTATAATAAAATTAGGTGTTGTTTTTAAAAATAAACAAACCAGATCACCTAACCCATCATGCGATAAGGATCACTCAAACAGAGAATTAATTAACTGGCATAATTTACCAAATGTCCTCAAAAAAAAAATTCCATTAAAAAATTATGTTTATACTTATATAACTTGCGTGGTGATTTCTTTTATAAATATATAAATAATTAAAGCCCATTTTCTCCATATCCTTTGCTATCCTCAAACAAATCAATAAGAGTAGCAGAAGACCAAGCTTGGGTAGGAGAAGAATCAGCACAAAACTCACCATCTTTGTTAGTTAATTCTGTCAAGCCAGCCCAATGAGAGGTACGGATCCACTGTCTATGGCCAATCATACGACGAGATAACTGTTGAAAGGTCTCCAAATTACCTGCCTCAGAACCTCTTTTTCGCATCATATCAAAATACAAAAATGCCCGAAGAAAAAAGCCGGTATTCCAAATCCATTCTGGACCTTGGTGATAGTTTCTTCCTTTTGCAGTTGAAAAATCGGTTGAATCTTCACTGTTATTGTAAAACGGTCTGTAATTCAAATCAGCTGGATCCAATGTAGCCATTCCAACAGGACCCCTAATTGTCCTATCTGCAATAGATATAGCAGTGATTGCATGGTCATTGTCAAAAAGCTCTGGAGCGACAACCATAGCAATCGAAAAGTTAGGACGAAGTTGATAATCCTCATAAGAACTACTGGATTTATACAGGTCCTTGTATATTCCACGTCTATGAATGATATGAGGATCAACATCATACTCAGAGTCGTCTTCAGGAGATGAAGGAATGAAAAAGCAGCGCTCAAAATTTTCTTGAATTTTGTCACTCCAACTTTTAAAAGTAACCTCAACATTATGTTGATTCATGACAGACTCATATGGGAAAAGACCCTTTTCATTAAGCTCAATAACAAATCTTAGTGTGCTCTTTAAGAGACCAATAATTTCAATAGCGGCTCCGTCACGAGGAGTTCCCGGATAACCCTGATTACCTGCTTTTGAGCTTTCGCCCATCTTATCCATCCATGTTCCGCAATTCCATGGATTTCCCCCAAAAACAAACCCATTTTCCCAATCAACAAAAATATGCTGGTTAAATCCTTCATCTCTCATTTGAGAGTCAAGATTGGGTCCAGCATTTGCTTCCCGAAAAGTAACACTTTTAGCATGACGACTGAGAATTTCGTAAAGGATATCTCTAATCGATGACTCATCTTGAAAAGCACGAGGATCATTAACAGGGACATAATCATCGTTAAGAGGAAACCGTCGTTTGACTTTTTCATCCAAAATTTTGTGACCTTGGGGAACCTTTTTTATGTATTCTTGAATAATTTGGGCAAAAAACCAAGTGGCATCACGAGCATTATACCTAGGATTTCTACCAGCATCAAGAAGATTAGGAATAAGACCGTGCTTCAAAGTTGCTCCAAAAGCAAGAATATGCTCTTTAGCTTCTTCAAATCGACCTGTTGACAAAAGAAGGCCACGCAAAGAAATAAAGACATCTCGACCCCAGCATCTCATATAGTCATGACTAAAATGTGGGAGTCCAGCTGCCATGCACCCCGATATTTCAAATGGGAAGAGCGACGTACTTTTAACTTTTCCAACCATTTGAATTGAAGTCAGAGCTAATCTTTGAAGAAATAACGTACCATTTTGAATCTGGGGGCTCATTAAAGAAAGGGCATGTTTTTTGCAAGCAAGATATGCGTTAACAATAATTAGTGCAAAATATCTCGGAATCATAAAACTAGGCAGAGGACGAATAGCATCGAATCTTGAAGTTAACCAATCAATATATGGTTGGATTTTGGGGAAGTTGTCTAGGTATTTATTAAGACGATTAACGGTATAATCCAATGCCCATTGTCCCTCTCTTAAGTGTTCGCAAATTGTATGAGCAAGGTTATTGTCGTTGACCATCTCTTGTAGTGGGCCAATCCAACCTACTAATCCAGCATAAACTAAGGTTCCATAATTTGGAATATTATATACACCATCTTTTCCCGAGCTATAATCACGCTCCTCCCCATCACATCTATACATGACAACATTTAAATCAAGAAAATCTAGTTCTGCAACAGCCTCTTCAGCACCCGACCTAACAAATGAATCAAGATCATCATCAATAGTACTAATAGAAGTTTTGATGAGTGCAATTGAGCCTTGTGGGAAGTGGTCTTTAAGGCTAATTGTAGTTGTTTTTGTATCTTCATCATAAAATATTGACGGTGAAGTTAGCTCAACCAGCTCAGTAGGTATGCCGTTCAACTGCTTATCGCTAGCTTGGTATGGTCCTGTTTGTTTTAAGTGACAGCAAATAACATTCTCTGCCAAAGTTCCACGAAGGGAAACATCATTAACTAAAATAGGTGTTAGATTTTACTTAAAAAAATAAAAAAAATAAAAAAAACTTACGTTGCTGATAACCTTCCTTGCTGAATTCTGTTCGAGTAATCAAAAACCAACCATCACCCGTTCTAGGGTTAACTCGGTGCACAGTAATATACTGTCCTTCATGGTGAACATGCATTTCTTCAGAATTGGTTTGACCCATTTCAGAATGAACATCATATAAAAGTTTTTTAATTTTAGAGATACCATTTCCAAAAGTGTATAAACGCTTTTCGGTCACAATTTCTAAGAGGTTAGGATAACATTCATCATATCCCATAACAGAACCAACTGCGCACGCACACATAGCGACAAGAGCAGCATTAGGTAAAGTATCTTCAACCGTTCTTTTTTGAGCAGGAGTCTCATTGTCATGGGTGCAATCCATAAACAAAGCATGTATATTAGAAGCCTGCACTAAATGGGATGCAATATTAGGGTCAGAAGACTCATCAAACGTTTCAAAAGTAACAAATGGCTGTTTAGAAAAAGACCCAATGGGTCTCCCCCCATGGCGGTGAACCAAACGAGAAAGTTCCTCAACTGACCAAGCCTGCATTGCTTCGCGAATTAATGAAGTAATTCCTAAACGTTCAACAAAAATTTTGTCCATCTCTTCAGAACCTGTGAAAAGTTCAGCAACAACGTAAAGATCCGGCCGAACAATTCGCGCTTTATCCAGCATGTACTCTCCAACATGCAATGGGGTTGAATGAGCATTATCAATTCGAAAACCATGAAAATATTTGGCCATAAGTTGTGTGTATTTAGTCATTCTTTCCCAAACATAAGGGCTATCTGATGGATGATTACCATATCGAAGTTTTACACAATCACCCCATATAATCACCTCACGGCGAAGATAAGCTCTCGACTGATTACTAGCAAAATCAATCAATGGATTACCATTCCAAATCCAACCATTGTTCACTAAAGAAACAATCTCTCCATTTGGAAAAGTTTTCACTTTGGTAAAATAAGTTTCGATAACAGGATTTGTTGTGGTAATCTCACCAAGTTTTGGGCCATGGGAATCAACTCTGGTATACTTAATTCTGTTATATAATTGAGTAAGAATTATGGCTGCATCATTATCATAATCCTGATAAAAAGGGAGGTTGATTTCATTCAAGATACTTAAAGTTGTTTTCTTGACAACATCTAAACTTTGAAAGTCAGTTTCAGAAAGGAAAGAAGCAAGAATATGAACAAATGATTCAATTTCAATCGACCTGTTATAACGACCTTCCCCAAAAACATTAAGATTAACACCCGTGTGAGAAGCAAAAAAATGGGCCGTGGATTTAAGGTCATCCTTAGAGTGATCAGGAATTTCAATTCGTGAAATGCAATCAGGTTCCTTAGCTATGCGCTCCCAATAAGCGATTATCTTTTCAGATAAAGTTGCAACATCAATAGTATAATACTCCCAAAGCTTAAGGTTATTAATAACTCGATCCTTAATACCGTTCATAATTTGAGAGAGATCCTCAAGATTATTAAGATATGTGGGATAGCCTAAGGCACTCAAATCAGCAGAAAACTCTAGAAGGGCATTATCAAGTTCTAAAGCTGGCTTCAAATGAGGAGCAGTTTTAATAGAATATCCTGCATCAGGATGATAACGAAGCCATTCAGAATTATGGGCAGTATGATTATATACAACATCAGTAAGTGACAAAAGGTGAAGGTCATGCTCCATATAAGAAACCATATTAGAAACATCACTTTCACCATTTGAAAAAGCCTCTTTGTCAAAAGAAAGTTGGTCATAAATTGAATATGGGGAATTACTCGAACCGCGTACATTTAAAGGTGTGAAATGAACCATGTTATATCCTTTACTTTTAATGTAAGAAAATTTTTCTTTCCACGTGCTGAAATCACCCATCCATTTTGAAATAACAGACTCAATGTTTAAGGAATTTAATGAAAGAGGCTTTCCATCTAGAAATAAACCAGCAGAAACAATAAAGTAAAATTTTTTGGTGCAACTTCGATCTTGGACTCTTCGGATATCAACTTCTTCCATGTATTCCGAGGGTGAGATACTTTCCACATCTTGAGAATCTTCCCTTTCAGAGTCATCTTTAGCAAGGTTAGGAAGATAGGTGGACGATGCATATGGTGATCTGTTTAAAGGTGAAGTAGAAGGCGTTTTTAGATTGTTAGAAGATATTTCCAGTGATTCCAAATCTTTGTCAGAAACCGTGAGATTATTAGTTTCAGTTTCAAGAATAGAAACGTCTGTAGAAACTTCATCAGATTCCAGGTCAATTGAAGAAAAATAAGGATCTTTAACAGGGACGTATGTAAAAAAGAAAGAATAAGCTCCAGAATGAGAAACTAAAATATCGAGATGTGTTTCTTTAGAAAAAGAAGCATTGATGGGATACTGATAAAATTTGGAACGAACAAACTGTTCCCCTGGAGGCGGAACATTGCAATGTAGAACACCTTGATTAATTATATCGGAAGCAGAAAATATAACAAGTCTTAAGATATAAGGCTCGTCATTGGGATTAGGTAGTTTAATGAATTGGCCTTTTCCCGCTGGAAGAGGCTCACCTAATTCAGATAGCGGGAGTGTATGAATTTGCATGTGAATAACTTGAATATCAATTTATATTTAAAAAAATTGAACTTATATATGAATGAAAATAAATAAATAAAACTAAAACAAAACAAAACTAAACAAAATAGGGAAAAAAAGAGAGTAGTGAATAAGGAATAAGGAAAACAATAAGATAAGAAAAACGAAGGGCAGGCTATTTAAGCTAGAAGAATAAGCCAACTTTGAGCCCAAGTGTCAAAGTGCACTATTATACAGATAAACATATCATATGGTGACCTATCATGATACGTTTGAGCCCATATGTAAATTCTGAAAATTACTTAATTCTGAAAGTTTCAGCACATTAGTAATATTCATTTCTTCGCCACGCTCATTATAATCATCCTTTAAATTAGTATTATTTCGACAAACATTTTGATTTCTGAATGAAAGCTACTATTAAATAAACGACTTTTTTTTTTTCTTTAATATTGACTATAATAATGGATTCCGAATTTCCCTCTTTTCAAAATGATAAAATGTTTTCATCGAATGAGACTGAAAATGATCTATTAAATTTTTATACTACAAATTTTGACGGCTTAAGCCCAATGTTGGATAATTTGGATTTTTCTGTAAATTCTAATAACGATACACAGAAAGGGAAATCGTTCGATGTACCACTAGCAATGTCTACTCAGCGAGATTCCTATAATGTGATACCGGGTCTTGAAAGTGACGGGACTCCTGGTTCTTCAATTTCGAGTTTATCGCCACAGTCTCCTTCTGGAATTTTATCAAACTCAACGATAAATTCATTTGAGCAATCACCTAGCAATGATTTGAATTTGCCAGAAAAGCGGAAAGCATCTGTTTCGGTTCCAAGTACTACCATCAATAGCAAAAAAAAGCAATCAGCCTCTACAAAGCCGACTCCTAAAAGGCCTGGCCGTAGAATCAACCCAAATGAACCAGAGAGTAAACGAAAAGCACAAAACAGAGCTGCTCAACGAGCATTTCGCGAAAGAAAAGAAAGACATTTGAAGGATTTGGAACAACGTGTAGAGGAACTGGAGAATGAAGCTCAAGAGACTAACACTGAAAATGAGTTTTTAAGGAAACAAGTTGAAAGATTGCAAAATGAACTTCGAAAGTTTAGAAATGGAAAATATTCTGTCCAAGAAACAGGTCAAAGTATAACACCTGCTTTTCCTGATGCAAAATTTACCTTTGAATTCCCTTTTTTCCAAGGTTCATCCGGCCCTGTGGATGGCGAGAATCAGAGTAATGAACAATCTCAGTTGACATATCATAACAAATCACCATCTGGTAGTATATCCTCGGGAGAAAGTTATAATGCTACATCTCAATTAACTTCCGACACTTCAAGCTGTGGAACAGAACCTAAAGAGGATTCATTTTGCGAACAGTTAAATCTTGCATGTGGAAACAGAGAAAATCCTATCCCTAAATACAAGTCTGTTAATCCACTTATTATATCAACACCAGACGTCTCCGGTACCTCTAATATAACTAATGATACACTTTCGGCGTCACCTGTTCCCAAATTGACCATAAAAAAAGAAGTTTCATCGTCTTTTGAGTTAGACTTTTTGTCTGATTATAAGGACCAAGTATTTGATTCAGATCTTCTGTCATTTGCTGATTCCTCGAAATCTATAAGTGTTTTTGATTCGATTCCATCTGTTCAATCAAATACTAGTGAAAATTCTATAGCTTTGAATGAGCCCCAGTTTGATAGTGATGATAACGACGAAGACAATGAGGTTCCTGCCCCATCGAAGCTTATGACTTGTACCGCTGTATGGGATAGAATAAGTTCCCACCCAAAGTTTGCAGATTTAGATATAGATGGTCTTTGTGCTGAACTTAGAACAAAAGCAAAGTGTTCTGAAAGTGGTGTTGTTCTTACTGAAAGTGATGTCAATAAAGTTCTTTCTTCTTTGAAGTAATAATATTTTTTAATAGGTTTTTTGTATTTTTATTATGTATATCAGCTATACTCAATTTATATTTTAACGGTTAGGGCACAGTAAATCGTACTTTACAAGATTATGAATCTAGAGATAAACGTTAGCAATTTTTTTTTTTTTCGAATGAACAGTACTTACATCTTGAATTGAAGCATTGATAAATTGTCGAGTTTCTAAAGCAAGCCAAACTTTAACCATAGATAAAACATCATCATCAAATGGATTTCCACGTTCTTGGGAACTCAGCTCTCTTAATATTGGGATCGAGCTTTTGAATAAATCCATACCAGGATCTAGCTGTCGACCTATACCTTCTAAAAGTAAAATGGAGAGTACGACAGTGATAAAGTCACTTTCCATACGAACATGATGACTGCGTACCATAGAAAGCATTTGAGAAAGAAGATCCCCAACTTTAACATTGCCTAAAGCAAAGGTACGCCTTTTAATATTTTGAACCAATCTTTGGGTTTTTAAAGCAAAAAAATCTGCATCTATAGCTGTTTCGGGTGTTCTTGATCTTTCAATCATAAGTTCACCAACACGATAACCATCAAATTCAGCAATTGCTTTAAAAAGATCAAGAAAGTTTCTTCGATTATTTTTGTTTAATTCAGTCACCAATCCAACATCTATAAAGCAGATTTGCGGTTGAAATCCCTTTTCCCAAAGATCGTCAAGTTTTGCCTGCCATTTGTCGTGATCTTTTATTAATAGCATTTCTCTGGTTATAGCATTGACATTGTCATCTTGATCGCCATAACCATGAAATCTAACATATATATTCCCAGGATGAAGATCAGCATGGATAAAATTGTCCAAAAGTAGCATTTTTAAAAATGCATCAAGACCTTTTCCAGATATTAACCGTTCCATTTTATTTTGTCCGCCACTAGAGTTTCTAAGAATAACATCCATTGGAATGGCATTTATGAATTCTTCAATTAACACCTGACGAGAAGAATGTTTCAAAAATGGTCTTGGAAATTTGATGTCACTTCGGCCAGCAAAGTTGTTTCTAAATATCTCTAAATTTGAAGCTTCTATTCGCAGGTCCATTTGGAGTCGCATCATTTGAGCAAAAGTCTCTACTTCACCAGGTAAAGAAAGCCATTCCATAGTTGGAAGTAAATTTATTATATTTGCAAAAAAACGCATAATTGATAAATCGCGTTCAACTGTCTTCACAACTCCAGGGTGCAAAACTTTAACGGCAACCCAGTCATGAGATGAATTTGCAATCTTGGCTTTATAAACTTGAGCAATGGCACCAACCCCAATTGGCTCTGGTATAAACTCTTCAAATATTTCCTCAAATTTTTTTCCATCAAAAGATTCCTCGATTATTTTTATCGTGGAATCTATGTTATGTGGAGTAGAATTTGAATGAAGTTTTGACATTTCGGTTGTCAATAGATCAGGGAAAATATCAGTGCGAGAAGCAGCCCATTGACCTAATTTAATGAAAGAAGGACCTGCTTGCTCCATGGCCCAGGTTAGATATCTATACCACAACTCAGCGCCAGGTCTATCATTCGAGGTTCCAACAGAAAGCTTATCAGGAGAAGTTGTTCCGTACGATTTTTTTGAACCAATAAATATCATAGGAAGTAATAACAAAACCGGGCCAAATAAACACACAAGCAATGCAAATCTAAAGCAAGTAGATATTGGCTCAGTTATGTAACGCTTAAACAAAGAAATGATCCAATGGGATTGTTTTTTTTCATGAAGTTGTTCTTTTTGAGACTTTAAAAAAAGGACTTCTTCACGCGTTTCAGGAACATCCACTTGATCACTAATACTTAAAGCTGCCGCAATGCTTAACGATGTTTTGAAAGGAAAATACCGAGGGTTGAATAATATACATTTTTGATATGATGATGCAAAAAATGTATTGAATCTAGGTCTTGTAAAAATTATTCGACCGCGAAATATTGGAGTAAAAATTATGGGTGGCCTTCCTCTTAAAAATGACGCAAACATTGTAATATTGATATGATGAATATTAGAAAAAATTAAAGTAAAATATGCAGAAGGACTTGTTCTGATTGTTGGTTAATACCAATTGTTATTTAACGTTGCTCTTTTTTAAAGTTCAAAACCTTACATTTTCTAGTTCATTGATAACCAGTTTTTAGTGATTTAATTGCGTAGCAAACAATTAAGTTGCCATTTAAAGAGATTTTAGGGCACAGATCAAATTTTAATTTTTAAACAAATGCCTGTTCCATGTGAAAATAAAAGTGATAAACTGAATGTTTTATTTCGACTATGTGTGGTCAACTAATTCAAAAACTTTTTAAATTTGTGTCGTCGTAAGTTGTTTGGATTCACACTACGTAATGAGAAACTCAAACGAACTCTCAGCATTAGCAAGCACTGTAGGAACTAAGTAAATAATCACGTGATCATCATTATTATTTGAGAAAACTAAATTCATAATTTATCATTTTCAACCACATTTGCTTATGACATAATATCTTCGGTTTGGACTACTTATTTTCGGATTTCACCGTAGAGTTAATGGCGCTTCACAAAAGTAAATTTAAAAGTTATTTTAAATAGCCGTTATACTACTAGTTGTTAGGATAATTGCTAAACATTGGTCTAGATCATTTTTGATGATCCTAATAAGGTGGATAGATGCGATGATCATGATGGTCAACGAATTTATGGCTATATGTTTTTGAGAACCTGTTTTGAACTCTATCCGACAGTTTCTTTGAAATAGTTTTTAACCAATAGTGCCTTGGTCAATTTCCCATATTAGTTGCTTATAATTATAAATTGCAATTAGCAATTATAATTATAATTATAATTATGCTTATAAGCAACTAAGCAGAACTAATTAGTTCTAGATTCTAGATTTCTACATAATGTACATACCTAATCATACATACTTTCGGTATCAGCCGAGATTTGTGGGGATCAGATATTAATAATATCTTTAATATAAAAGGAGGGGAAGACCCTACCTTTTAATTTAAATTTAACAATTTAAAGCAATACAACACACGATTTAAAAAATGTCACAAAGATATACTGTCCCTACTTATACTACTGGTAGTGGTAACCCAGTTACTTGCCCATTCGCAACTGAAAGAATTGGTACAAATGGCCCTCTTTTGCTTCAAGATAGTCATCTTATTGAAGTTTTGGCTAGTTTCAACAGAGAAAAGATCCCTGAAAGAATTGTTCATGCCAAAGGTACCGGTGCCTATGGTGTGTTTGAAGTTACACATGATGTCACTCAATATACATGTGCTCAATTTTTGCAGCCTAATACTTCTTCAAAGGTTTTTGTTCGATTCAGCACTGTAGGTGGTGAAAAGGGCTCTGCTGATACTGCTCGTGATCCGCGTGGTTTTGCTGTTCGATTTTATACTGAGGAAGGAAACTGTGACATTGTCGGAAATAATACCCCGATATTTTTCTTGCGTGATCCAGTGAAATTTAGCCCTTTTATTCACACCCAGAAACGCAATCCCAAGACTGGACTAAAAGATCCTAATGCTCATTGGACCTATGTGGTGGAGCATCAAGAGGCGCTTCATCAATACTTTTTGCTTCATTCAGATCGTGGCACACCTGCATCGTACCGTGAAATGCATGGCTACGGGTCTCACACTTACAAGCTAGTTAAGGAGAACGGGCAATTTGTATACGTTAAATTCCATTTTAGAGCGGACCTTGGCTTCAAAACTTTGAGCGATGAAGAAGCAACCAAGCTAGCTGGTGATGATCCAGATCACCATCGGCGTGATCTTTATGAAAATATTGAAAAGGCAACTTTCCATCTTGGACTCTTTGCATCAAACGATGACTCCTGAACAGGCCGAAAAAGCACCATTTTCAATTTTTGATTTGACGAAGGTCTGGCCTCATGCAGACTTCCCTCTTCAAAAAGTTGGCAAGTTAACTTTAAATGAAGTTCCCAAGAATTTCTACGCGGAAGTCGAGCAAGCAGCTCTTTCCCCATCTAACATGGTTCCAGGAGTTGCTCCTAGTGCAGACCCTGTTCTTCAGAGTAGACTGTTTTCTTATCCTGATGCTCAAAGATATCGTCTTGGAGTCAATTTCCGACAGATTCCTGTCAATTGTCCTCTTCATGAGTTCAATCCGCTTTTGCGCGATGGAGCAATGCGAGTTGACGGTAACCTTGGTGATTATCCTACTTATCTACCATCTTCTGCTCCTATCCACTACAAAGTAGTCCCTGGTATGGAACATCATGAACGTTGGGTTGGTACAGTTACAAGATTTCATTGGGAAGCTTCAATTGAGCAAGGCGATTTTGTTCAAATTCAATCTCTTTGGAATGTATTTGGAAAGACAAACCAACAGAAGTCATTTGTGGGAAATGTTTCGGGTCACTTGAAAAATGCCGATCCAGCAATTCAAGATCGTGTTTTTGATTTATTTTCAAAAGTTGCACCGGAATTGGGTAAATGGATTCGTGAAGAAACTCTCAAACTGTCGCCAAGAGAACCCAGAAAACTATAAAATTTGTAATATTGATGAATTAAAAAAAAAAAATCAAGCTATTTAGCTTATGTTAATGGCAAAATGTTGAGTACATTAAAAAGGAGTCATCAGAATCACCATTATCTATATAATTATATATATGAATAGTATTGATTTTGATATCTTATAAGATTATATATTTACGGGAACATTTTATTGTACTTCAGGGCAATAAATAGATTTTGATAGAGGGTTACCCGGCTTATGAAATAGCAACTAAATATTCTGTATGTGATTTTGTTGCTGATTTTTTGGAATTGGTTTCTAAAGTTGCTTGCTTTTGTTTTTTGTGATTGAAAAGAAAAAAAGAAAAAAACAATGTCTGAAAAGAAAAAGATAATTTATATCGTTGAACATATGGAAAATGAATTTTCTAGTTGGGTTCAGTTGGAATATTTATCGATTCAAAAGATGGTGGGAGAAAATAACTTTTATTTAAGTGGAGTTCCAGAAGATGTTAAAAATCTTCCAGAGTCATTGGAATCCAAACAGTTAAAATGGTCGAAAACTGATGTTACTAATTTTGAAAAAGTTATTCCCACGTTTGATAAGTCTAGGGTTTGTTTACTAGATCCCGCTGCCAGTGAAGAACTTTCACCAGAAGATTCAGAAAATTTTGATTTTTTTTTGTTTGGTGGAATTTTAGGTGTGTAATTTGTAGATAATTATTCAGTTTGACTAATATGTATTCTTTTAATTAGGTGATCATCCACCCCGAGATAGAACTGGTGAACTGAGGAAGCATGGGTTTCCAGGAAGACACCTAGGGAAAATTCAGATGACTACAGATACTGCTGTTAGAGTAACCCAAAAAGTACTTGCTGATCAGCAAAGGATTGAAGATATTGATTTTATTGATTTCCCTGAGCTTAAATTCAGTAAAAATGAATCTACTGAAATGCCTTTTAGATATGTTCGGGATAGCCAAACTGGAGAGCCTATCATGCCAGAAGTATGTGAAAAATTTACATATAAGGTATTTTGAAAATTACTAACAAAGTATTTAGGGTATGTTTGATCTTATTAAAGAGGATTCCAATAAATCATTGGACGATCTTATTCTTTAAGATTCATGAAGAAAATATACCAGTTATCAGTTCACTAGGAGATGAAAATATTGATGGCAAATCGGATTGGTTGTGGTTATTTATCCGGGTATTAGTATTTTACAGAGGAATAGGTCTTATGGAGAAAATTTTGATTTTGATTGTGTCTACCGGAAGTGAGAAAATAAGATTCCACAAGACGCAATCATTCAGGGTTTCAAAGTATAAGATATTGGGCAAGTTAAAAAAAAATTATGTAGTGAATAGATTAGAACATTGTAATATAATAAGTTCGATATTTGTGAATTCGCTAGGAGTTTTTTTAGAAGATTGCGAACATTTGAACAAAGCTAATTAAACATTCATTGAATAGAGCAAAAAGAGTATTGTATAGTGATGAAAAGGTATAATAAATATAGAGGGTAGTTTGTCAGGATATATTTCACGGGTTTGTTTGTTTTCATTGAAGGGTTATAGAATTAGATGACATCAGGATCAGTGTGATGCTTTATATTTCAGAGGGAATTTCGGTGCATTGAAAATTATGGTTGTATTGCAAAGGATGAAGGGTTGTGGAATGTGCAAATAGACTGGATAAAGCGAAAAGTCTAAATAAATATTTTGGGGAGATTATATATAGAAAATTATTTTTAAAAAGGGGGATACTAGAGAAAAATTTGAAAGTGTTCTCAGTAAATAAGTCTAGTTTTGAAAGAAAGATTCTAAAATATTGGTGAAAATTGTGAACGCAGAGACAAGATGGGGGATTAAATGAATATGATAGATGGTAATTTGATAGAAGAATTGAAAAGCATGACTAGGCGCAAAAATAAACTAGGTGGTTATTGTTTTTATTAGATATTCAGTAATATCTAGAAGTTAGTGTATTGGATAAAAGTGGGAAATTGAATTATGGGGGTAGTGAGGGCAATTAGAAATAATTGATTGGATGTGAATTTAATTATTTTATTTTATGATAATGATAAACAAAAGGAAGTGGAAGTGGAAGTGTTTTAGAGGGCGTTGAGAATTAAGAGTTGTAGGGGACCTTTTAATGTGAATGGGAGAAAAATTTAGAGAGCTGAAAATTGTAGGGAAGGCATAAAAATAATTAGCATGGAGAGAGTTAGAATTAAATTTCAGGAGTGAGGGGAGAGCACAATATAGAAAAATGGATGGTATGGTATTAGAAAGTAGTAGCAGAAGTCAGTCAGGTAAGTATATAAAAGGAATTGAATTGATAACGGAAACTGGAAGTAAAGTCATTGTATTAAAAATTGGTTAAATTGTTTTTGGAACCACATGATTTAAAATTAGTTGAAATAGTATTTTGCAAGTTAAATGAAATTTTTCACTGGGACTTTTTTAATGGACACCAACATGAAGTGTGAACCGTAATAAAATAAAGAGATCAGCAAAATGAACAATAACAAGTAGTATCTGTCAAGAAAAAGGATTTTGTGTATTATTATTATATTTTTTAACAATAGATTATGATTGATATGCAATTGTCGCTGCGAAGCAAAGGATAAGGCAAAGGGCAAGCAAAGTGTAAAGCGTCAAAGGGAAAGGGCAAGCAAAGAAGCAAGCAAAGCAAAGGGCA